GCCATTTGTTTGAGTCCTACCCTCAAGATCAGGAGAAAACAAGCATGCTCCCTCTTCCATGTGACAGCCTTTAAGATATTTGAAGATGGCTATCATGTCTCCTCTCAGCCTCCTCTTCTCCAGGCTAAACATACACAGCTCCTTCAAATACTCCTCATAAGGCTTGGTTTCCAGCCCCTTGATCATCTTGGTCGCCCTCCTCTGCACACGTTCCAACTTGTCAACATCCTTCTTAAATTGTGGTGCCCAGAATTGGACACAGTATTCCAGGTGTGATGGGAGTTCTGGTCCAGCCACACTCAGAAGGCCGCAGGTTCCCCCCTCCTGCTTTAACATCACCAAGTCCATAAAAGGCAAGAAAAACCCTTGCCTGTCTCTGCAGCTTAGCCCACAGAAAATCTGGTTGTTTTGTTCTACCTGAAATGAAGGGGTGGGGAGCATAAGTAATTTATTTGGAGTGTGAGAAGAGGGAAGGAGAAGAGGCCTCACAGTAATTATAGATAAGCAACCAAGCGTGCCATGCTATTAATGTCTGCTTGGTTCTAATATGGAGAAAGAATAGGAATCTGCATTTCCCCTCCCCCCGTTTTAATTCTTTTAACAGGCACTTTTCAAGCCTGTGGCATTAAAAAAAAAAGCCACCATTGCTCTAGTTTCTGTTGACCTCAGTAGAATGGAGCTGAGAGTCAAGTTAAAATGGAAGAACAAAGCAACAGCCCCTGGGCAGCCTGTGGATTCTACCTTTTCATGTTCCTTTCGCCCATGGCTTTGAAGCAGTGGCTATTGGCCCTTTCATATATGAAAGGAGCGTGTGATGGCTTCAAGGTCTTTGGAGAGGCACAGCCACCCAAATCCTAAAAAGAAAGTGTCAGAAACACAGTGGAGTGATGCTAGTCACTGCGGAAGCAGGTGGAGATTTGCATTCAACCGCTGTGGGATGCGGGTGGTGCTGGGGGTTAAACCACAGAGCCTAGGACTTGCCAATCAGAAGGTTGGCGGTTCAAATCCCTGTGATGGGGTGAGCTCCCGTTGCTCAGTCCCAGCTCCTGCCAACCTAGCAGTTCAAAAGCACCTCAAAGTACAAGTAGATAAATAGGTACTGCTCCGGCGGGAAGGTAAACGGCGTTTCTGTGCACTGCTCTGGTTCGCCAGAAGCGGCTTAGTCATGCTGGCCCCATGACCTGGAAGCTGTACGCCGGCTCCCTCGGCCAATAAAGCGAGATGAGCGCCGCAACCCCAGAGTCGGCCACAAGGGCTATGATCTCCTCCATTGCCGTTCCATCTGCACAGGGGGAAAGGCCATAACTCAGTGGCAGAGAATCCACTGCCATCTCCAGATAGAGCTTCTTTATGAAGTCCTGGAGAGTGGCTGCCAGTCACTGGATTAACTAAACCAATATAACATAGTTTCCTATGTTATTTTGCTCACTTTAACTGCAACGTCTTTGTGAAAGGCTGTCACAAATATGATAGAACACCTCTCCCCCCCCCCCTCGCTGCCCCAGAAAGGTTCAAATTACAAGAAAAGGGGATTTCACTAGTCACTAAGAATAATGTCCTGACAGTATAAGCGGCTGGGGAATAGAACAGGTTGCCATGAAAAAGAATAGGCTTTCCTTTGTTAGAGGTTTTTAAGGCAGGGCAGCCATTTACCAGGGGTCTTGCTGGAGGGGTTGGACAATATGATATTTGAGGTGCCTTCTAATTCTATATATCCCCTAATGGAGAGATCCACATGTAAGAAGCATTTCATGTGTTTGCTGATGCACACACAAATCAATGTAGAACATTGAGGGGAGGCCCCATTAGCTAAAGTGGGACCTCAGGTTAAGAACAGTTTCAGGTTCTGAACGGACCTCCAGAACTAATTAAGTTCTTAACCCGAGGTACCACTGTATGTCCCTGTTAATTCTCCTTGACCTCTCAGCAGCTTTCAGTACTATCTACCATAGTATCCTTCTGAAGCAACTGTCCAAACTAGGGGTGGGTGGCACCGCTTTGTGGCGGTTCCAGTCCTAGTTGGATGGCCGTTCCCAGAGGGTGTTATTTGGGGAATGCTTTTCAGCCTCGTGGAACCTCCAATGTGGGGTTCTGCAGGGCTCAATCCTATTCCCTACATTGTTTAATATCCGCATGAACCCATTGAGTGGGGTTATTTAGAGGTTTAGAGTACGTTGTCAGCAGTATGCTGATGACACTCGGCTCCATTTTTCCTTTACATCTTCAGGTGAGGCAGTGGAAGTGCTGGACTAGTGTCTTGCCTCAGTAATGGAATGGATGAAAGCCAACAAACTGGCACTCAATCCAGATAAAGCTGAGGCACTGTGGTGGTTCTCTAGACCGGATGGGTGGGAGATCACCTGTTCTCGATGGGGTTACACTTCCTCTGGAGAAGCAGGTTCATAGCTTGGATCTTGGATCCTTTGCTGTCGCTCAAGGCTCAGATGGCCTCAGTGGCCTGGAGTGCCTTCCATCAGCTTTGGCTTGTGGCCTAGCTACACCCCTTTCTGGACAGAGATAGCCCAACTACTGTTGTCTATGCTCTGGTAACCTCAAAATTAGATTACTGCAAAGTGTTATATATAGGGCTGACTCTGAAGGCGGTTTGGAAACTTCAGCTAGTGCAGAATTCAGCGGCCAGGTTGCTCACTGGAGCAAGACGGTTTGAGCATATGACACCGATCCTGGTAGCACTGGCTACCAGTTAGTTTCCAGACCCAGAACTGGTGTTGACCTATGAAGCCTTAAATGGCTCAGGACTGCAACACCTCAAGGACCGCCTCTTCCCATATGAACCTACCTGAACCCTGAGATCATCTTCTGAGGCCCTTCTTCATGTGCCTCCTCCATGAGAAGGCTGGAGGGTGGCAACATGAGAATGGGCCTTCTCTGCAGTGGTTCCCCGTCTGTGGAACGTTCTCCCCAGGGAAGTTCGGCTGGCACCTTCATTATACACCTTTAGGCGTCAGGCAAAAATGTTCCTTTTTAACCAGGCCTTTGGTTGATTTCATTGACATCCAATGCCTTTTTTAAATGTGGTGTTTTTTGGGGGGTATTGGGTTGTTGTTTTTATTTTGATTATGTATTTTGTGGTTTTATATTTTGGTTTTATTCTGTGAACCGCCCTGAGACCTCCAAGTATAGGGTGGTATATAAATTCAATTAACAACAACAATCTTCAAACTACTGACATTTTATCCTAGAATCGGTGGAGACTGGGTACTTTTTTTTCTACATAGTCCACACACATGTAGATCTATTGCATATTTGTTTTGCTCCTGAAAAGCAATGGTGGAGAAACTGCTTTCATTCAGAAAGCAAAAGCTCACTGCCGATTAACTCTGCATTAACCTGCAGTGTGTCCGTTCGAACACAGATGTGGGCAGTCTTGGCAATTGCAGGCTTCCTTCTTCATTCAGCTGGGGGAAAGGTGCAAATAACCTAATCTGGGGGAGGTTTCAAATGTGTATCAGGTAAGGACACCCAGCCTTGCAGGTGGCAGGATCTGGAATCAATCTACATTGAAAGCAGCATATTGAGGACGAGCATGAACAATTCCAGATCAAGAAAAACGACATTTTTGTGCTACCAATGAGTCTCTATGCAGCCTGAGCTAGTTGGTTATATGTCCCAGACCAGCTACTGAAGCTTTGCTGGCCCAAACTGGAACCAGGCCACAGAAACTTGCAACTGAACCTGAACAGAAACAGCAAAATTAACGGTTCGCTCTGTGCATTATGTACCACCCCCCACAAATACTTGCGCATAAACAGAGTGCTTTGGTGCATTCGGAAACGGGACACTTGATTTGGGAGTCGAAAAGCTTGGATGCTGGAGGAAATAGTCTCTTTCTATTGATAACCACCAGCGTGCTTAATTTTTCTTCCTTTGTCTGTGAAGTCCTCTGATCTATAATGACACCTAGTGGAAAGAGGCTTCATTGCAAAAGTACATCCCAATGCATTCAATACACTGCACCGTCAAAAGATACATGTAACCCAAGAAGTAATACACAACCCATATGGCAAGGGGATGAACTGCTGGCCTCTTGTGCCATATGGTATATAGTAACCCCCTCCCCCCCAATCAGACTTGGGGGAGAACACCTTTATTGTACCCAACAGAATGCTTTTTGCAAGCCCAATTGCAATAGGAAGGTGCATTTTCAGAGAAGTCACAACTGAGGAAAGGAACCCTCCTCTCCCTGTGTGCGGCAACCCTTTGCTGAAAGCACAAACTAAGCTACAATTAGTCTTGGAAAAGGCCTTCTATCACCTGCATGCCCCCCCCCATGGTGATTTTAAGCCGTTTCCTCTGCTTTTTCCGTTGCGTTGCCATACATCTGGGTTGTCCCTGACATTTTGCCGATTCGGCAAAATTCCCCCAAAGCCATTTTTACACCCAAAAAACAGGACATGGCAGAAATTTTCCTGATGTGTGGCAAGCCGCTGATATGCAACCCCCTAGAGAGCAAGGGTAGACATCATAATGCCTTCCAGATTTTGATGGACTGCAACACTCATCAGCCCCTATTAGTGAGGCCAAAAATCAGAGCTATAGGAGCTGTGCATCACATGTGCATCACATTAAGCACCCTTGCCCTAGAGACTTGGCCAAGAGGGAATATGCAGGGGGAGAGGGGGGGAGAGTCAATATCCCCCAAGCCAGTATCAGAGGCTGCAGGGGAGCGAAGGGGGGGGGAGCCCCATTGCACAAGTTGAAGTCCTTCCTCAGAGCTGGATAGATGAATCCTGCCCACGGCTTTCCTGTATACCACATTACTCTGTTAGCTTCCACCATGCTTCACTTGAAAATACTTCAGGCCAGTTACAACTTTTTCATGTATCTGTGTACTGCCTCCCCAATTATGAGAGCATAGTGATTGGAACTGCAAGGAGGAGGGGTCTTTTTGGATCTCTTTACAGCTGAAAGCTAGAGAATCCTTAAGGCAATTCCTGTGAAATATATAAACCTCGGATAGATCCAAGTAGACACAAACGCTGTGCTCAAAAACACAAAAGTTTATTAGTTTGATAAGAAAATAATAATAATAATTAGACCAGCAGGGAATAAAAAGATACAAATTCAAATGAATTCGGAGTGGAATAATTCCCTAACACATTTCCTACCAGGTAAAATAAACAGCTCACTAACAGTGGAATCTGAAACGCACTTTCCCAGCAGTGAGTCTCACTGAATTAAATGAGACTTACTCCTGGGTAACTGTATATAGGACCACAGCCTCAGTTTCTCTAAGTAATAATTTTGCAATGAAGAGAGAGCACACAAACACATTTTAAATACGATCCACACCCACATTTACAGATTTGGGGGAAAAGAGGGAAACAAGGAAGTCCATGTGGGGTTAAAACAAACACACACAAGCAGGATGAGTATATCTGCTGGTTGACTATGCAGTTTGAGAAATCCTAACTGCCAGAGGGTCAGTAAAACAACTGCTGCCACCCTCTCTTCCTTCAACCTGGCCTGGCTCTGAAGTAGCTCCACCCTGAAAAAAGGCACTTTCCAGTTAAGAAAAAACTTGTGCGTTTGTCAGTGGTTTTAAACACTCCCTTCATATTTCCATTTCCTATAGCATGTGAAGCAAGCAGCAGCAGCAAATCCCTTCCATAACAGGGATATATATACAAAAGAGGCATTCACCCTATTCCCACTCCATTGCTGGGATAGCCTCACTTCTCCTTACCCATAATTCCAAGGCCACGTGAACAGGCCTAGCATCCATAAGACTCCAATGCTAATTGGCTCCCTTTTTTACCCTCCTTGTGGAGACACAAGGTTGGACTGCAAAGGCCAAGCAGCCAGCTTTGAACAAGAGACTGCTCCACATGGTGCAGGACGGACAGCAGTTCCCCACACAGACTGGCTTGCCATGTACAAAAAGACTGAAGGTTGAGGCTACCAAGCTGTTACACTGACACCTCCGTGTATGAAAATGCCTCTGGGAAGTCAGCGTTAAAGTGTCTATCATACAAACTTCCTAGATACTCGAAATGAACCAGAGGATTTTATTTTATTTTTACATGTTGAAAAGAAACTAGTACTGATTTCAAGAACCCAACTTTGCCCCATCCCTTTTAAGCATCATTTAACATCTTTGGTTGCAGAAGCTTATTATTCCCCTTAATGAGGCACATTGTACAGAAGAATGGGCTCGACTCAAATGCTTTAGAACAAGACATTTGAAAGAAATAAACAGCTGATGCCAGCATGACAAAACAGGCAGCGAGGCTGCGGAATCTCAATTATACTCTATAAATAAATATCACTTATCCTGACTTAGGACTTTTAGCTAATGGGACAGATACTGTGATTGGCTGGAGAACCATGTCAAAATGCTGCATGGCTTATAATGTAAATAATATCTCTCCAGATGCTTCCAAATAAATACAGAATGAAATTCAAGATGAAAAAAAGAACCAGCCTAGCCACCCACCACAGAAAAATTCAGGACACTAGACGATGTTGATGTTCTCTGTTCCTTTGCAATCCATTAAAGAAAACAACATTTGCAGCGAAGTTTAAGCAGGCAATGAAAAATAAATAATTACAATGGTAACTTAAAGTACTGGTTTTCTTCTCCTTGTGTTTTTAAGAACAGAGGACTCATTCACACTTATGTTTACCCTGCTCCTTTCCCCTGGGAAAACCTACAGATTAGCAATGGATTGGAACAAGCAGCAATTGGGTTTTCTGTGGATTGCCATTTGCTCCAATTTAGTACTAAAGAGCAGGTTTTCCAGGGGAAAGCAGCCAGGCAAAGGCAAAACCACTTTGACTCGTTCATACAAAGTCCAGGATAAGCAGAGAACTGCTCGGACCTGTGCTTTCTAGGAACTAACATGATGACCTTTCAAGTCTGTATACTAAACCTTCCAAACACAGTGCAGATTCCAGATTCAGAAGCTTTCAGACTGTAAGACACTTGCATCCTGTGAGAAAGCAGAGGTTACAAATATGGAGAAACGCTAGACATGGCCCAAAACTCACACCCATAGGCATTTTGGTAGCTTGGCACTCCCTACGTTATCTGATAAGCAGAGCAATCCTAAGTTTAGGAAGCTAGTGGAACTATAGCCCCGTTCCAAATTCCATTTAGGAGCAGGGCTACTGCCCGTTGAGCCAGGATAAGCCTGGCAGAAAGGAAACGAGCTAATAAAATAAAATTTGACTTACACCACCCTTTTTACTCGCATAACAGTGTCCTCAACTTGACTCAAGACAGCAACCATTTCCAGACATGTTGTCATAATACTGATTTGCTTGGGTGATTTTCAACAAGTTCTCTCCTTTCTCTTTGAACCATTCCTATCCTATTACCAGGTGGTTAGGCAGATGAACCTAGTAGGAAGGATTGTGGTTGCCCAGGAGATGGTGAACATGTGCTTTGCTAATTGTAATGTGGCAATTATTGGACAATCTGTCAAAATAATTTGGTTTTCTGAACAGAAGGTTCACCTGCCTACAATAAAGTCTTAATTCTTCTTTCTAAATAAGAGGACCTGCAACACTATTATTCAGTGTCATGGGGGGAAAATTTAAGGTCAACCAAAAAGCAACAGAGCTAGAAATCTGAAGACGTTAATAACAGGACAGTTGTAATCAAGCTTTGTTGCTCATTCCTCACATCTATGTCCTTCAGTTGGGTGGCAGTTGAGGTCATTCTGTCAAGTGCTTTTTATCTGAGGGTACTGAAGGGTACGCACCATCAGCACCTTTTTTTCTAGAAGAAAAGCACTGATTTGGCCTAATAATTGTTAATCATAGAATGGTAGCATTCGAAGGGACCATGAGAATCATCTAGTCTAACCCCCTGCAATGAAGGAATATGCAGCTGTCCCAAACAGATGTCCAGCCTGCAACCTTGATATTATCAGCACCACAACATTCCCATCTTCTATGTAGGTAAGAGGTCTGTAGCACCTTAAAAGACCAACAAAATGCATGACCACTCATAGCTTGCAAAGCAGATTCCTATACTGGATACATTTATGTGACCATCTCCTACAGTATCAGATGAAGTAGTGCCTTGGTTACAAAAACTCATAATCAGCTGGCATTTCAATGTGTTTTTGTATTTCACGTAATTGCCTAGCCAGGCACACAATAACTAGGCAGTGCAACAGAGCTGAAGCCTTAGCCTTGTTGGTTGATGCTCTCAAATGTAGGGTGATTCTTGGCCAATACATGTTAGACCACAGCAACTGTTTTAGCTCTTTGCTCCATTCCGTAGAAGTGATTTCCAGAATTTAAATTTTCTTCTTCAAATCTCTCTGCAGTCATCTTTTAGAAGTTACATTGTTTTATTCATGAACAGCCTTTCCCTAATTATACCGCTTTGGAGTGTTACTTCCACATTATGTAGAAGTAGTTGGGGGGGGTTATCACATGACTACAGCAGGGGTGGGAAATCTTTGGCTATTGTTGCTAATATTCCCTGACCATTGGCCACACTAGCTACAGTTAATGGGAGTTCCAGTCCAACAACATTGGGAGGTCCACAATTTCTCTATCCCTGGCTATGCCCTTGTTCTCCACAGTTTTCTTCTCTTCACAATGTCTTAAGGGCCAAGCCACACATGACTCCTGTGGTGTATTCTCCCACAGAATTTTTCTTTAGTTAAAATGCAGCTAGCAGGGTCAAGGGGTGCAATTTGAATTGAGGCTGAGGTGCAAGGGAGAGGCTTTAACTCTTTGCTCCTGCATTGTGGCCTTGAGGAAAGTCGCTCCCTTCTGAGGTAACAACCGAAGAAAAGAAAATACAGATACCTGTATTGATCCTGTCTTTCTCTATCCTACTCTGTAACTTCAAGCAGATTGCTTAAGTTGAAGTTGAAGAAATGGCACAATATACACAATATACATTTTGTAGAGCTTTGAATAATTGTACACAAGCATCATTAAATGACATAAGAGGACAAAGCCCAGGAAGTCCTAGCATTCATGGTGGGGTTTTGGTTTTTGCTTTCAAGGGATGTAGTTGCTCAGAAGTTTCTTCACTTAGCACAATGGTAGTCAGGTTTCTTTGACAGATTTCACATCTAGATCACTGCATTCTTTTAGACCCAACAAGGCCAACTGAAAGTCTTTCAAGGGATATTTCCTGTGGACGGTACATCTTTGCTATTGAATCTTGCTACTATTGCACAACAGTTTCAGTTATCTGGTTCATGGCCTATTGCTGGTCAGTTCTACAATGAAAAGAAGTAACTGAAACACACAGAAGAAATAAAGAAATAGAAGAACAGGTTAAGGCTTTACCCCAACCCCAGAAAGAAAACTGGTAGGTGAATACAGCAAAAACCCACTTTGTTTCTGCATATATGTATATATATATATGCATACGCACACAACTTCTCTTGGGAATGAGGCTTGAGAATTAGCTGTTGTAGTCACGACTTTCCAGAATGACATTCAGAATATGCTTCAGCTGAGTGAGACGAGCCTTCAGGGAGGTCTCAGAAAAGATCGTCAATTTGCGGGTCAAGTCAAGGGGCAAGATGGAGATAAGCCACCAACACCAAAGTGGTCCATCTGGAGATGCCTTGTGAGAAAACAAGGGAAAATACATTAACTCATTGTGCTAGGGGTTCCATATCACTTCATGGAGGAATCAGTTATGGCCTGTTCTGTTGCAGTAACTGAGGGCAACAAATCTGGCAACACCAAGTAGCATAAAGGGATTGTTCCTTCTTTGGCTAATTAGTCTGCATTCCCCACCTGCAACAGTGATGGCTGATGTATGCATCTTGTCTTGTTTATTATGTTACTAAGCTGTAAGCCCACCCCATGAGCTTCTGACATAAATTTCTTAAATAAATAGAATCCTTCAATTAATTTTATGATATTACTCTTCAGAAACATACAGCTGTTGTTTCTGTGCTTTTTATCTTTGTTTCGTTCTTACGCCTTTTCAATGTAAGCATCTCACAGGTTGTATGCTGCTCTGGGAGTACTATATTGAAAGGTTGCCTAGAAATTATCTAAATAAGAACAGTAAGGGGGAACATAACGTCAGGAACCAAACCAAAAATAACAACAGGAACCAAACCAAATGTGCCCCTTCCCCACTTAAGATCAGGATAAGGGCTGAGAACTCCTGAGAATAGGAAAGAGTTCCTTCTTTCAGAGCTGTAATTCCTACTTCCATATTGCTTCAGAATAAAGATATGCAGGTTTTGTGCTGTTCAACAAGATAATAATTCCTGTACTTTAATTAATTAACCAACCAACTGAGTAGAATTTGACAAAAGAATCTACCCAAATTAACAGGCTTCTTCACATGCTATACTGAATGAAGGAACAAACTGTCTCTACATATGTACAAGTGTTTGTATGAAAAAATATGCAAGTTGATTGGTACAGCTCACCTATTTGTGTACACAGGTACATAGATTGTGCACTCATTTAATAAGAAGAACTAGCAGTGCAAAGAAGCCCACCCATTACCACCATGAATTAGAAAATAGCTGCAGGACTGATTGGGAAAGTCCTTCACTTCCAGGATTTTTAAAAATACATCAGGTAGTAAATCCTTCTACAGACTTCTCTTCTTGCCTCTGCTGCACAGCCCAAGATGAAGCATCTTGTGGAAAATGCATGAATAGGGATGAGAGTGTATTGGTTCCATGGATATGGAAACAGAAGCCCTCCAACGACTGTCCATTGACCAAATATTAAGTACCCTTTCTCTAGGAAATCACACAACCAATACTGCAATCTGCATTTCCCATCAAAAGAATTAAAGTTTACTTTCATGGGAAATATGCATTAAAAGTTCATATTTAATGGATGTATTGCATTTAAAAAGTTTACTTTTTAAAACTTTGCATGAACTTAAACAGTGAACAATCTTAAACTGCTTAGCACCCAATTTACTTGACATACTAAAAAAAAACTAGTAACAAAACAATGAACCACATGCTCAAAAAAGAAAATACCATAATAGTTCCTTTTTCCTATTCCTTTTTTGTAATTTAAAAAACCTGCTTAGTTCCCAGGCAATAAATTTAGGCAATGTCTCTTGGGAAGCCATAAGAAAAGCTTGTAAATAGACCCATTTATCTATTTAGCAGTGTGCACATATTTTAAACATATGCTCTAGAAATAAATTTGGGAAAGAAAACAAATATTTTGATTCATCCCATGTCCCTTGAAAGACCAATGCAAGAGCTTAGTTTTCTGTAAAATTGTTCTTGGCTGATCAAATATGCCTGAAGATTACATATTGTGGTCTAAAGTTCAAGGTTGGGGTCAAATGTTATGGTACTTTAGTGGCCTTGGGTAGCAAGTTAACAAATGGACCAAATTTTCCATTCCCACAGTTAAGGTACATAGAGCAAAGCATCAATTTATCCATAGTGGCAGGCTGCTCTGAAAATCTTATGATGTAAAGCTGGGACTGATGGAAGTTGTGGTTCAACAACACCTGGAGGACCACAGTGGGAAAGGCTGATGTAAAGGAACTGGAGGAGCTGTTTGGTGCTTTAATATATAGCCAAGTCTTATTTGGTATACAAACAGAAATTCAACACTTGATCACGCTGGATCAAGTCTTATCTTCGCCTCATTCCTTCACTATTATTGCGTTCTTTCCCCACACAATTTAGCCAAGATTGGCAGGTGCCTGTAGAGATTGGCTACTGGTCTTTGAGACAGTCCACTGATCTCAGTAAGGCTATTTCTTAACTTCCTGCATCTCGGCAAGCCAGCAAGAAGATGGAACAGATTAATCACAGGATGCAAATGATCGCACTGTTCCTGAGCTCTTTCAAAACAAGGCTGTTGCTAAACTTGGCAGCAGGCCATTTGCATCGCCATAGGCACAGCCAGTTCAACAGTGTGAAAAGCATAACATTAACAATGGCCTGGGCTATTAGTATCCCCGTTAGGCTGAGTCAACGAACTGTCACTTCACTAAAGGGGAGTTTGAGATGAGGGGCCAAAACCAACACAACTCCATGAACTGCGGTAATTTTTTTCAATGCTTTTAAAACTAGCCTTGTAGTAATGCAAGTCAATGCTGCTTTTATCCACGAGTGCCATGCATCTACTGGTTCCTCACCTTATTATGTTATCTAATAAATGGTCCACGCATCTTGTATGTAGAATCCTGTGAGCATTTTGCCCATTGGGAAGGCAGCTAGGCCAGTGCAAACCTACAATGTATATGCTCTATTAGGCTCTTAGGGTGGGCTTGCAGGAAATAGGATGCATGCCAGTGCAAGTCACTCTGCACATTGTTGAAGCATCCAGATCTAACAAGACTGGATCTCCCATGATTTTTCAGCAAAAAGAGAAACAGAATGGGATGTGAGAGTGTCTGTATCATTAGGTACTTTTCTCCTATTCTGACCCTTCCCTCTGTTTCACTAGTACATTGTGCTTTTGAATCTGGACAGCTCCCATTTCTAGGAGCCTGGAGAGAGAAAGCGCCAATACCTGTATATCTTCCTCTTTCTCAGGAAGAGGTCCATGGTGCATCAAAAGCTGTCTGAAGGTGGTGTCTCCATGTTCATAAAATCTCTGAGTTAGCTGGTATGTGCAGTCATGAAGAATTTGAAGCTCAGCCAGTTCTTCTCCTTCCACCTTTGCAGAGAGAGCAGCAGATGGAAGAACAAAAGAAGTGGAGGTGATGGAGAAGGGGAAGGGGAAGGATAAGAAGGGCGGAAAGAGGGAGAAAAGCTCTGTACGAACAACAAGGCCTTGATTTAAAGGGATGTCAACTAAAGCTTTAGGTAACTAATTGGCAGTGGGCAAATTTTAGCTGGTTAAGCTGCGAGTTAATGCCATGCTTTCTTCTCTCCTTTTTGAGGTTATTTTGGTTTTCAAAGATGTCTCCTATTATCCGCACTGAATGGTGGCCTTTCCTTCTAACAATAAATTGGCTCTCCCACATCCATCAGTATCCTAAAAGGGCACGTTTGTGTGTCTGAAATTTTAATTTGATTAATCAGTTGAAAGGCAGATTAACACATCAGCTCAAGTTCCTTAATTGGAACCTACTAGTTTTGCATTTCTCCTGCACAGAACTTTCAATCAACAAAGTGCACCTGTCATTGCAATGATTTAGTAACTCAGTAAGATGAATGCCTCCACATACACCCCATCACCAAAGCTGGCACATAAGTTATACGGCCAATGGAGGAGACGCCACTTTATTGCCTCTGTCCTATTCCGTGTTATGATTACTGTAGCCATAAGCTACATGGGACACCTTACTCACCTTCTCATCATCCAGATACTCAATATCTGCAGTGTGGTAGCCATCTCTATGCCCACGTCTCAAAACATGGAACCTCCGTCTGCCTATGGTATCCACTAAAGAGCGTCCGTCAGGTAGAAATGCTATCTTCTGAATCTCCAGCATGCAGCCATAATCAGCAAAACTGAAGAGAAGGAAACCAATATTGAGATGGTTTCATAGAATAAAAGAATTGTAGAATTGTAGAGTTGGAAGGGACCTTAAGGGTCATCTAGTCCAACTCCTTGCAATACAGGAATCTCAACTAAAGTTCAATAGAGGAAGAAAGGGATTAGAGAGATCAGCGCCACTCTGCCAGGATCTCTCTGCCACTTACCTCTTCCCATTCTCATACATACACATGCCAAACATCTTTGTGCCAGTTTCCTGACACCTTCGCATCATGAGGCGGTAGCGAGGCTCAAACACATGAAGGGGACACACAATGCCTGGAAAGGACATTGTGCACACAAAGATTGGGATATTCTTAGTCAAGCTGCAGAAGGAAGTAGAAAGAAGCATAATTACATGCTCTCAGTGTGGCTAAAATAAATTCTACTTGTGCGTGTGCACATGTGAATAATTCGCTAAATTGGAGCTCTCCAGATGTTTCAGGCAACAATTCCCATCAGGAATGATGGGAGTTGTAGTCCAAAACATCTGGAGAGTGCCAAATTGGTGTATGTTCCACATGTAAAGTTATACCACTTAGAGATGCGGCACAAGCTCTCTCACACAAAATGAATCTAGGCAGCTGTGAAAGGCAGTCATTGCCAAAGGAATGGGGAAGACTGATCCTCTCCCTTACTCTTCACTTCCATGTCCTTTTCACACCTTTCACATTTTCTGGGGTCTAGTTGCCCTGGCAGGGCCCACTGGAACTGCTACCTATCTTATCTGATTCCTGAGACACTAGGCCCTCATGAAGCATTGCTGCCAGAGCCCAACACTGCTTGAGGCCCCAAGCACTGCTACAGCCATGGAGCCACTGCTCTCCCATATCCTCCTCCTGCTAAATGGGCCTATCCAGCAGCAGAAGACAGTTCAGACTCTGATACAGAAGAACGGGCTGGAGAGGTGTGGGGCCAGGAGGCAGAGAGACAGGACACTGAAGAAGCCCAGGAGACTCCAGCTCCACACAACTCCCCTTGATCTCCTAGGACTTGCGGGGAAATGAAGCAGGCTGAGCAGAAATCAGTTGTGTGCAGGTGAAGTATGAGACTGCTTAGGAAAGACCCTGGGAGAGAGGAGCATTAGTGGACACTGGGAAAGTGGGGTCCTTCAGTCCTCATCCCTGCCTCAATTGGGAAAGACCTGCAGAGAAGGGTGGCTGGGAGTACTAGGCCAGAGTGCTTCTGTTTCACTTTGAATGAAGACTTAACTTTACTGACTTCTGGAGATCTGTCGTTTTATTGCTCACCTACGCCTGACCTGAGCCCTGACACTACAAAACAGAAAGCAAAAGTCTCTGTTTACTTTGAAAGTTCTGCCATTTCAGCCTGGTGGACGCGTTTCCTGTCTGCAAGTTGTAAAGGGAAGACAGCCATCATGAGCTCCTCCAGCAGAAGAGTGGTGTTGTATTTTCCAGCTCTCAGGTACTGGAAGAAACCATAACATCGTAAGAAAAGTCCTGCTGGATCACGGCAAAGGCCCATTTAGTCCAGCATCCAGCTCTCACAGGGGCTAACCAGATGCCTATGGCAAGCCCAGGAAGAGGACCTGGCTTTAATCCCACTCTCCCCACATCTGATTCCCAAAGGCATCACTTTCATTTTATGAGGAAGAAAAATCATTATGGCATGTATTAAGGATTCACCATTTCAAGTAGCCTTTCCCAACCTTGGGTCCCTAGATGTCCATGGACAGGAACTACCATCATCCCTGACCATTGGCCATACTGGCTGGGGATGATGGGTGAAACAAGGTTGGGGAAGGCTTCTTTTTTGAGAGGTATAGGTCCTTGTGCATTTTTCTAGACAATAGAATGGTTTTTCTTTTCTTTTTTTTAACAGAATGTAATTATCTAGTTTTGACAGCCAAGACCACAAATCAGATACATCCCAACACCAGAAACCGAATTCCAGGTTAGCATGTTTTCAAACAAAGATCTACAGGGCTTCCAAACACAATTTGTTTTGTTTTTTTAATGATTTTTATTAAGATTTCAGTAAAAGATTAAACAGAAAAACATAAAAAATTTGAAGGAGAAAGGCATGTGCCTTTTTCATGTTTGATATTGCCGCTATTTGAGATCAGTTCCCTCTTATTATAAGAGTCTATGTTGTGCTACCTAGAATTAAAAAAAACAAAACTTAGAGTCAACACACATCACAGCCTTCTTTCTTCTTGTTTTCATGATGAACAAACCAGTATCTACTATCAGGAGAGCCTCACCCAAGTGAGGCAGAGTTGCAGCAATAACCTCCTGGCACTGTATATCACTATAAAGACCATTTATAGAGATATTGTAAAACTAAGGAATGTCAGAAAAATGTTGGAATGAAATTATATGGCTTTAGTAGAAATGTCATAAGGAATCAGGTATAAATAGATTAATAGAAAATTAAAGGAAAAGTATGGTAAGAATGTGTTAAGATAATTATAGAACAGAAAACAGAGTAAGATGGAAAGGATTTGCTGAAACAAATAATAGAAGTGGAATACAAAAAGGGAGGTGGGAGGAGGTCGCTGGAAATAAGTGAATGAAATATAAGATATTGAAAATGTTTGAGGTGATTTTAAATTGTTTTTGCTTGTTTTTATTTGTTTTTTTTAGTTTCTGTAGCGTTTTTGTATTGTATTTGCATTGTTTTTTCGTTTTTTCTTTTTTTGTTTGTGTTGGAAATGTTAAAAAAGTAATAAATATCATTTTTTTTAAAAAAAAAGAAAAACCTCCTGGCACTGCCACTTACTGGGAGGGGCAAAGTGGTGGAAAGGTCAGGGCTGCATGACTACAGCAGCAGAGCAAATCTGACATGGATATCAACCCACCCCTCCTAGTAAACAGCAGTGGCGCTGCTGCCAAGAGGCTAGTGCTGTGGTTCCAGCCCACAGGGTGAGCCGCTCCTGTCTATGTGTAAGTCTAGAAAGCACAAAACTCAGGTAGAAGAAGGAGAGAATATGGAAACCGAGGTGTGGGAGCATTTACTCTGTGGAATTAAATCAGGGCAAGGCTGTAGCTCAGGGCCAAAGCATCTGCAATCCCCAGAATCTCCAGGTAGGAGAGACTACTGCCTGACAACCTAGAGAACCACTGCCAGTCACTGTAGACAATACTGGTCCTGGATAGCTCAGTTGGTTAGAGCGTTGTGCTAATAATGCCAAGGTTGCAGGTTCAATACCTGTATGAGATAGCGGAATAGTTCTGCATTGCAGGGGGTTGGACTAGATGATAATGGGGGTCCCTTCCAACTCTACTCTTCTATGATCAAGGTAGGCAAATGGTCTCACCAGTATAAGGCAGCCTACTTCTGAAGTAATATGACAATGTCTTCCTTAATTGCTTCCTTTAAGCAGGAAATTACAGCTATTGTTCACTCATCATGTCAACCGCTTCTTTTCTTCATGTGAATCCTGTTGCATGGGGGGAGGGACCTCTACCTACGCAGGATATGGCCCACAGAAACCATATCTATAGCATTCATATAATAACTTAAGCTGATGTTTCCAAGGTGGGGGGACGGACTGTATTTGCCTCGTGTCTGTAGATTAGCTTTCCTATTCCATTACTTTGCTACCTGTTCACAGGAGGCCAGTTTGCTTGTGTCTGCTATTGACCCTTCTCCATTATGGGATGTGTTATGTGATTTCCCATTTCAATAATGTCATCTGCTCAGCAATAAACCTGTGGCTCAGAGGACCCTCTTAATTGGAGGCTGAAAGCATTATTTAATCATTTCCACATCTAATGCAAATATAATGTTTCCATTTAATCAACAATTATCTATGCAAGTCATACCTGGCAATATTCAACAAACCCACATTGATTTAGCACTTGGAGAAGAGCCAAGTACCTTTTGGTCTGATGATCCTAGCAAGAAAGCAGGTGCAGTGATTTCTACCATAGCACTGCACCTGTCATAATTTCACTTAAGTAACATGCTGCTTTTTCTAACAATTATCCAGGTCAACAATGGAATTGAATAAATGCCATCACCTACTCACAGTGATAGAATCTACAAAGAAAAGCTCTAATTCAGGTTAAATTAAACACAAATCCAGACCTTCCTTTTCCTCCATTATGCACACATCCTGCAAGATTTCTCTTACCTCTCTGAGGCTCTGTTTGCAAAGTGGACAGTTGGGTCTATGATCTAGGCAACGCTCCAAGCATTCTTTGCAGAAAGTATGGCCACAAGGTGTGGTCACAGGCTCAAAGAACATTCTGCAGAAAAACCAGGGGAAGAAAGGGAACGTGAAAAATTCAGGTGGCAAGAGAATTCCCAAGCAGCATCACAGACAAGGCTAAGTTGTGTTTTGTTTTTTTAATGTACCAAAAAATATGTCCATTTGCAGAAAGTTTGGTAGTTGAAGCCACATTGCTAATTTTTGATGACTGATATACAGGGACTTATTTCTTAACAATGAAAAATCTCTAGTACAGATCATTACATTGTTATGGGGAAAGGAGTACTGTGTGTTATGCTTCACTGTCTTCCAAGAGTCATGTTTGCACGTTGTGTGTGTATGTGCACAAATCCGCTGTTTGCTGAAAATCCCAAGCATTTATATAAAACTTGCTTTTTCTTTTTGCCTGATAACATCAAGCAATTCATTTGGGAATAAAGCGCAGCTTATATTCAGGCAGATATGGTATTTGGTGTTTTCCTATTGTATTTTTATGTTGTGAACTGCCTTGAGATCTGCAGATGAAAGGGCGGTCTACTAATTTAATGAATACAGTGCTACCTCGGGTTACAGACGCTTCAGGTTACAGACACTTCAGGTTACAGACTCCGCTAATCCAGAAATAGTACCTTGGGTTAAGAACTTTGCTTCAGGATGAGAACAGAAATCCTGCAGCAGCAGAGGGAGGCCCCATTAGCTAAAGTGGTAAAGGTAAAGGTAAAGGGACCCCTGACCATTAGGTCCGGTCGTGACTGACTCTGGTGTTGCGGCGCTCATCTCATGTTACTGGCCGAGGGAGCTGGCGTACAGCTTCCGGGTCATGTGGCCAGCATGACTAAGCCACTTCTGGTGAACCAGAGCAGCGCACGGAAACGCCGTTTACCTTCCCGCTGGAGCGGTACCTATTTATCTACTTGCACTTTGACATGCTTTCGAACTGCTAGGTGGGCAGGAGCAGGAACTGAGCAACGGGAGCACACCCCATCGCGGGAATTCGAACCACCGACCTTCTGATCGGCAAGTCCTAGGCTCTGTGGTTTAACCCACAGTGCCACCTGCTAAAGTGGTACCTCAGGTTAAAAACAGTTTCAGGTTAAGAACGGACCTCCAGAATGAATTAAGTTCTTAACCCGAGGTACCACTGTAAGTAAAAATAAAATAAATATCACACACTTTAACTGTGACACAGACTGTTCCAGCCACTGGTGCACCCAACAGATCATGCACCTCCTCATTTATGTGGTAAGATGGCAATCCAAGAATGTTCCAAGGTGGCATGGGGTAGCTAACTGAGAAAGGCTTGCTGTCTGTCTGTCCATGGCCTGGTATAAGCCAACCATGTTTTCAATGTCAATTTTTCAGAAGTTCATAAGGCACAACATCACCCTCATTCATGAGAAGAAATTGCTTTGCTACAAAACAAGGAGAAATAGGCACTGTAGGCCATCACAAGGAGCCACTGATTTTTCATCGACAGCATGTGGCATTTCCCATTGGTCCTTCTTCCATTTTGAAGGAAGCATCACCAAGCCTCACCTCGACTGCATTGGCATGTGGTCATCTCATTTCCCTTAACTAAAGTTTAGGTGGATAAGCCTGGGTGACAAAGTTGCTAATAAGGATATTGCCTAATTACAGGCATAAATCCCCCAGGCCATGAGCCTTTTGGCAAGGCTTGGGAGAATTAAGCTTTTAAATCCTGAGAGAGAAAGAGATCAGCACTGGGGCATCATTCACATCGGTTTCTCCCTGTCATTTCCTTGATGAACGAGAAAAGGAAAGGCTGGAAAAGGTTCATAAAAAAAGGCAGACAAGGTGTGTGTTTAATTGGACATCCAAATGAACCCAAATCTCACAATCTCACAAAGCTCCAGCACAGAGCCCAACCTCATACTTCCATACAACTCAGCAAAAGTAGGCAGAGATGCAGGGGATCAGCTTTGCTCAGTTTCTCTGTATTTTTATTATTAAATTTCTATATCGCCCTTCATCTAATGATCACAGGGCAGTTTACAGTCTAAAACACTATCTACTGAGAGAAAACAAGATATAAATCTAGAAATAAATAAATAAGGGTTGCTAATTTTATATTATTTTTGTGTCTGTGTTGTTTTATATGAAGTATGTATCCCGACTCAAAATCATGGGTGATAATTCAACTAGGTTTTACTCATAGCAGACCCCCTGAGATTAATGAACATGCTAAAGTTAGGTCCATTTAATGGGTCTACTCTGAATAAAATCTATTTGAGCATTGCCTTATGTATACGGAGGCCATGGTAAGTATTTTAATAAATTGTTAAATAAATGACTATCAACACTTTCATCCGTGATGACGAAAAGCGCTGAATTCTCAAATGCTATTATAAAGTCATTTTCACACCTCCCATTATATATATTGCATTCCACTCTCCGCCTTTCAAGCTTTGGCTAGAATGTGAAGCAGATGGACTTCCGGGTTGGCGCCATCGCCGAATGGCGGACTCCCTCCGAGCTCCGGAGGGAGTCTGCTTGGCAGGGGCTGGGTCCTACCGCGCCGGCGACGCGGGGACCCTTAAAAACCACGGGCACGGAGTCCGTGGACATGGGTGACTCGGCTTGCACCATTAGCGCCCTCCCGACTCGTGAAGGAGCCTTTTTAAAGGCTTCGGATCGGGTGCCGGGGAGCGGCGTGGTGCTTTGAGTCCTTTGCTTTCCCTGCCGAGCGCAGCCGCATGCCATTCGACGGAGAGCGCTGACTTCTTCCATTGAAAATTTGGACTATTAACAACAACCCGTGAGTAATTGGGAAACCGGGTTCAAAATTTCGGATTTGGCACGAGCGGGGGCGATTTAAAAAGGAAGTCAATCCCCCCCCCTACTGTAAGCATTCCAAAACAAGGACTGGGTAACCAAGGTCCAAAGGGAAGTATATTTTTGATAAAAACCATTAATTTCACGATGGGAAATTATAAGAACTGTGCTGGAGGAGAAGAGTGGAGGGTGAGAAGAAAAATGCAACCCCCCCCCCCGGGAACCGGGGCGATTCGTGGAGCCTGGTGAAGAGAGACGGAGACTTTGACAGCTGTCAAAGTGGCTGTCAAAGTTGGAGAATATAAAGAGGATTTTGTTATGAGGACTTTGCCGGTCAATTTTGCTACAATTTGCTACAATATGGATATAAACTGTTGGAAAATAAGCAACAATTTGACTTTTGGATTAAAGGATACAAAGTTATTACAATCCCCCTAGAGGGGTTTCGGGATATTACAAGAACGGTCGTAAGTGGAAAAATACTCCGGGATTTGCACAGGACTTGTTATCTTCTGGGAAAGCTGCAAAACTGAAATAGTATTTTGTCTACAGAGGTATTTACATTAAAGGAGATAATAGAATTTTCTATTGAAGAAAGGAAGGGACTGGACGTAAGTTTTTGTTCCTGAATAACAAACCTCTGCAGAGATACCAGATTTCTGAATTAGAAAGTTTTAGCAGCTGAACAGGACAAGAAACCTGAGAAAGTGAGGAAAAGAAGAACAAAGGACTGATTACGACACGGAAAGAACAACGGGAGGAGTGGTAAAGATCAAGGAAATTAAAGGCCTTTGTTAGATTGGACATTTGAAGTTACATATTATTAATAAATTAAAAGAAAACCGGCAAGATGGAATCGGGGAGAAATTTGGTCATGAATTGAGACTTCCAAGCTGATAATGCATAGACTGATGGATATGGGGAATTCAAACCGGGAAGGGGGGCAGATTTGAAATCCAAAGGCTGTGTAACCATTTTTTGAATTTTTCCATATCTTTTATTTTTTATTTTTTTTTACATAACTTACGCATGTCATTTTATTTTGATTGGACGTGTTTAAAAAAAGGGAATTCGTGGAAGGAACTGGGGTGGATCTTGGGGAAAATCTTTTTTTTCTTCTTTTGTTAATGATGTGGGACGGTGGTAAGATTTGTACAATTCAATTTGGTTAGTGGGTTAAACAAATTAAGCTTTAAATTGGGAGTGAGAGCTTGTAGAACTAAATTAAGGAAAGGGGAATACAGTTGGGGGGGGGAGGGGGGGAGTCCCAGAAAGTAGGTAATGAAAGTAAGGTTTTTAAATATCTTTTTTTCTTTTTCTTTTCTTCTTTGTATTTTTGGAAACTTTAATAAATATGATTTAAAAAAAAAAATAGAATGTGAAGCAGATGACTGATCACAAAGTTTTCACGTCAAAGTGCACAGGTGATCCTTTATCCAGCAACTCTAGAAACTGACCGTATGCAAAGAGAACATTCCAAGTCTGATGTACTCAAGAGATCTGCAAAGTCTGGTTTATGCTCCTGGGTTGACTTGGCTCCTGTTGCCGATGCCCCTTCTTCAAAATCTTTGTTAATGAAAGAAAAAGCAAGAGAGAAATGTTGAATGCCACACATTACCCCACCTCAAGTCCACAGGGCAGCTTCATCAACTTTGCTTTGCACATGATGATCACAGTCATACTGGAACAACCCATGCCTTTGTACCTCCACAGACCAGTGGTCTCAAGCTACACCTGAGCGACAAGGGAAACTGCATCAATAAATGGTGCCTTCACACCATACATTTTTAGGTAGAAACCTGAGGGTTAAAGTGAATCCCTGCTGAATGTGAACTTTGTGGCAAACCTAGTAACATCATGGGAGTTAGTAGCAAACCTAGTAACTTAGTGGCAAACCTAGTAACATCATGGGAGCGGTTTTTCCAGCTACTCCACCATTTGCCTTTGAAGACTTATAAGAAGCTTCTGCAGGAGAGGGACTGTGAGTAAAATCATGGAAGGAGTGTTTCTAGGACTAAGCTGAAACTGTGAAGCTGCATGTTGTTATATTTATGGTATTGGAATGTAGTTTTTGGTGTGTTATATTTGATATTGTTTTATTATGTCGTTACGAAATTGGTTTTGGATTGTTTGTTTCAAATGCATTCCTATTTATTTGTTACAACCTACTTTGAGCGTGATTTTTTGTGTGTGGAAAAGCTGCCTACAAATAAAAGGAATGAATGAATGCCTCGGTATAATGTGTGAAATGGCCTTTTGGGATTTGCAGAGGCAATCTGCCACCTGACAGCATTTTGCAAACTTGCCCTGCGTAGTGTCTGACATCTCATAATTGCAACACTTAACTCAGGCTTCCTCAACATTGGCCCTCCAGATATTTTTGGCCTACAACTCCCATGATCCCCAGCTAGCAGGACCAGTGATCAGGGATGATGGGAATTGTAGTCTCAAAACATCTGTAGGGCCGAGGTTGAGGAAGCCTGAGTTAACTTGATGCCCCCTTCCCTGCAACAACACCAAATAGGATGCTGTGTCATCAGACCCAGTCAAGAGGAGCACTGTGGACTATGGAGACAGCCTCCTGGAAGCAGCATCACTGACCCCTGCCGTGGTGGGGCAGGGCACAGTGGCAAAAAGGGCAGGGTGGCAAGGGCAGAGCCAGTCTGGCCTTCCCACCGATGTGCACAATTACCCTCAGCTCACTGCCATCCTGCCCTGCTCCAAGTAGCACCATCGCTGCCTGGCCAGCTCCATAGCATCACCACACCAGCCACCCCTGAACCCAGTAGTTGCTGCAATCTGGCTCTTTTTCAAGCAAACCAGTGGGAGTGTGTGAGCCCCAGGCAAGGCTAGGGTTAACAATCCAAACACTGCCATACGTTGTGTAGACAGGACCTCTGCTCCTCCATTAAGACCTTGCACCCTAATATAAGCTATAAAAATTGACTAGTGCAGTTTAGAGAATAGTGGTTAAGATACCATACTCCCATGAAGATTTAAGTAGCCACCTTTTGTTTTCCCCAGGTAATACTGACTTCTAAACATTGTTTTTTTATATATCCTTACCCCTTTCCTTCTCTGCTGGAAAACCTGAATTGGACTTCTTCCTCAACCATTCTGGTATGGAAAGTGCCGCTTGGCTGTGATCAGAAGCATCTTCTCCCAGCCAAACTTCCTTTCTTCCCTTCAAATCCTATTTCATAAAGAAAAGCATCCTCTTAAACACCTCCTTTCCAGAGCAGACCAAGCAAAAAGACTACAGGTGAAGAAAGACACGAAAAGACAGTTGTAGTCTGCAAAGCACATACATGCAAACCCCACATTTCTTGACTAACGTTTTGCTTTATTGAAATCTAAAGTTGTTGTCTGCAACAACAGTTGCCTACTTCTTTCCACTATTATTAAGACCCTCAGTTCTCCAAAAAGGTAGAATCTCATTCAAGAGGCAGATTTAGAACACAGGAATAACATTTCCAAGAGCAAATTACTAAAACACAGTATGTATGCTGGTTAGGTGGTCTATATGATGTGCACACCCATCCAAAGTGATATTCAAATGCATACCTCCCTTTCATGCTGCTGCTAGCCTTGTAATTGGTACTGCCACTCCATGTTGCTTACCTGCAGGGGTTCTCCTTCAAAAGACACAAGGGCAGTTAGCTCTTTCCGTGAATTAGACCCTTTCAAATTCTGACTGGCATCACTCTTCAGCTCCATAACAGTGCCTGGAAGAGGGGAGGCATCATTCGCGAGAATCTGGCAAGAAGAAGAAAACAGGTTACTATATTTCTGAAAGGAAAAGAAACTTCAAGGTAGAACTTGCTTTTAAATACCATTATCTCTCTTACTAAGAGTTTCTTAAGTCAAAAATGGCTAAGCTAGCTAAATGCAAATTAAAATAGTCTTTGATGCCACAACTAAAACAAGACTTCAAGCCAGTTTGTTTACCGTTTTTCTTTTAGTCTTTCCCTTTCACTGGACAGAAAAACTCTTTCCTGTAGCTCCAAAAGATCAATAACAACATGCCTTAAAAAATATGCATGCAATGAGACTAGATGCAAAGGCAGAAGCTTATACTTATATCACAATGCATTAACTAATATATTTGACTGTAGTACTATAGTTAAAGAACCCACCTGAAATCAAATTATTGGAGGATTTCCACTCCAGGAACTAAAGTCCCCTGTCAGCATAAATGGTGTACTGTTCTGAAATGCAAACAGTCACACTACCTCACCAGAGTGTTTTACTCCTAACCCATAATAATGGCACGAGCTAAACTGTTTTAAACAGTATGACAGATGCTCACAGCACCTGTTGCCTAGATTACTGTACACTCTTAACACCTAGCAATACTAACGTCTGGTTCATTTGAGCCTGCCGTTATTGAAATATTTCCGTTCAAAGCTGTGATTATATTAAAAGGTCCTGTAGCATTATTTCATGCTCAAGCCATCAAAGGGAGGGAAGTTTGCAGTGTAAACATGGAAGCGCCAGTTTAGCTTTGGTTTTGCAGCCAATCAAAATGAATACTCCATCTTTTGTTTTTGAGCAGTCTGTGTAGGCACAAACATGAGGCTGCAATGCTGCGTGATCAAACAGATGAAGAATCTCGTGTTATTTTGCTGGGAGGCAATAAAGTGTCAGACATGGCAACGCTAACAATTCTTTATACCCAAAATTTAAGCTGAAACTAATTCAAATGGCCATTGTGCATTTTAACAGTGTTGTCTAGGTAAACTGTAATATACATATATGTGTGTGTGTGTATTACACACACACATTTTATGTTTTACAAGCCACATTGAGAAAGTTTTACCTTAAAGGAACATAAAATTATTTAAAATAAACAAATACCTTTTCTGTTTCGTATTGAGCAGCATGAAAATTGGGATTCAGCGTGAGGCAATGTTGGAACTGCAGCAGGGCCTCAGATTGCTTCCCCATTTCCAGGAGGACCTTTCCCTTCCTAAAGAAGACCTGCAAAGAAGCAGACAACATAGAATTTTAATTTAAAGCCTTCAGACTTCCTGAACCTCCATATTCTTCTCTTAGTGTGCTGCTTTTGGCATAATTCAGAAGGCACCAGTCCAATCCCCAGCATCTCCAAGTCAGGCCTGGGAACTGGAGACCTTCTGTCAGACAGTGCAGACAGCACTGCATGTGATGGAACAATGGTCTAAAATAAGACAGTATGATATGTTCCTAACAGTGACTGGGAATTATTTATGATTCACATGCTAACCAAGATACATCAGTACAAAAATCATACTTGTGATGCTGTTGAAGCCTGTTGAATACAGTAAGGGAAACCTGGAATTTATTTGTTTCTTCATTTATTATATTTCTATGCCGCCCTTCCTCCCAAAGCAGCAATAGTTGAACAAGCTGTCAATCACAAAACTACTTTTAGCCCTTTGGAGTATAACATCCGGCATGAAGATTGCTGGACTTATTTGGCTGTAATTTGGTAGGATTTATCCACTAAAGAGTGGCTATTATGCTTGCAAACTTCATCCACTTCTGTCAAAATGGAACAAAATTTGTAGCTTTGTTATTATTATTTCCCAATAGTGATTGGGGAAAACAAAGTAGGCTCAAGGCCCCAAGTTGAATTAGGCGGTCTTCAGATCGGTGCAGCCTGAATCAAAGATAAAATTTTAGTCTGAACCTAATCTTGTGGCTGCTGTACACCCCCACCTCCTCAAAGCAAAAGCCAAATAATCTTATTGAAGCAATGCATTTCCTTGTCCTGTTTGGACTTAGATTTTTGCTTAGTCCAAACGTATACATATTCTGCATATTATAAATTTGTTTTAAGTGTTTGTGAGTCACTATTCCTAGAAATGTCTCCAAATCAACGGATAGTCAAATGAAATGCTGGAATTAATGTGGTAGACAAATAAAACAGAGATGAACAGCGAACAAAATAAACAAAACAGGAGTCAGGAGACCCAATAGAACAGCAGGAGTGTAAAGCTATTTAAAGTCTTAGTGATTTTAAAAAGCGCAGTTTGTAAACGTAACGCTAGATCTCTCAGGCTCATGCCTAAATAATGGTAGTATTGGTGCCACATAAATCTATCTAGGAAGGATAGTTCAATGACAGGATGCCACCACTGAAAAGGCTGTGTGGTCAGCCATGGTACCTATGGTTGGTTTTCTGAAGCCAGCAGGGCAGACTCATATGGGAAAAGGCAATTGTACTTCCAGACCATTTTAATTCTTATCAACTTTTACAAGCCTTGTCACCCATTCCGAGACCATGGAAAATCTCACCTACCCCCAACCAACGGATGAATTATTTTACTCTAATGCCATTTCACGCTAATCATTGCTTCTCTCTCTGAAAGTAGTCCTGATGCTTCTGATCTGTGTATTGTTTCAATTAAAGAAACAGAACACCTTTACCTGGTCAGCTTCATCAGTTCAGCTCACCACCACAACTTGTGCTCGCTGCAGGAATTCCAGCCTCTTCATAGCTTCTGCCTTATTAATTTGCTGGCAGACAAGCTATGAAACTGACTGACTGAATGAATGAAGATTGTGTATGACAGGAAGCCAGACAAGTTCTTGGGGTGGGGTGCTGTTTTTCTTTTAACCCAATAGAGTTGTCTAGGCACACCGAGTTTAACGAGGATTGACAGATGAACCAATTAGCATAATGGAGTGTTTACATTCTATCCTTGAAACCTAATGCTTCATTGACAGATTTGGTTAGTGTGTTTCCGAAGAAGATCTACCCAACAAAGCCGCCAGGAATGTCTACGTTTAGGATTACCAATGAACAGCTGTACCATGGCTACAGGCGATCTGCTGGCAATTCAGAAGTTAGATTCACAGTGCAGCAAGTGAACACATTTGTTTCTGCTCTCCGATGATAGACCTGTGCTATCTGTTTTCTCCGGGCAATTTGAAGACAATAAGAATTTCCTGGACGATCTATCTAACCCTTCTTGATACATTGGGTTTAGCACAAAGATGGGGAAGCAGGATCTGGCTAATGGGCCAGATCCAAAACTTCCTCATCCCCTGTGGGCTACTTTGACAAACAAACAGCTCCACCCATCTGTCAGATCGCATGAAGTCACATGATATCAGGTGATTCAAAGAAAGAATTAGCATTGCACACTGCGTGCTCCAAATTATTCGCTGTAGCTTCAGTTCAAGTTGGGCTGCAAAGGGGAAAATCTGTAGCATATACAGAGTACAGAGGTTGTTGTTGTTGTTGTTGTTTTATATGCCTGTTGTCTTTGTCCATGGAGTTTTCTTGGCAGGGATACTGGAGTGGCTTGCCGCTTCCTGCTCCAGGTGGATCACGTTTGGTCAAAACTCTCCACTATGACCTGTCCATCTTGGGTGGCCCTGCACGGCATAGCTCGTAGCTTCTCTGAGTTATTCAAGCCCCTTCGCCACGGCAAGGCAGTGATCCATGAAGGTACAGAGGTACCTTACAGCAATTACACAGATGCCATGTCACAATCATGGATCCAAACGTTTCCTTACAAAAGACACAAGAGAAGCTCTCCATCATCATGGGATGCATGTCTGCTACCTACTCTGGCACAAGCCTATTCTGCAGGAGAGGGGGCAGTTATTGGTTTGCATTCACAGTCGTACCTTGGTTTTCGAAAAGCCTAGTTCTTGAAAGTTTTGGCTCCCAAACGCCATAAACCCGAAGTGACTGTTCTGGTTTTCGAACTATTTTTGGAAACAGAATGTCCGATGGGGCTTCTGCAGCCAATCAGAAGCTGCGCTTTGGTTTCCGAACATTTTAGAAGTCGAACGGATTTCCAGAACAGATTCCATTCAACTTCCAAGGTACGACTGTATATGTTCTTGTTTCTATCATGTATTTTATGTTGTGTACCACCCTGAGAGCTATAGATGGGGTGTATACTAATAGTAATAATACTTTATAGAACGATAGTCAAATACCATTCTCAAAAATCAGTGCTCCAATTGATGAGGTTTTCAGCCATCTAACATATGACCATGTATACTTCCGGGGAAAGAGAAATAACCAGAGACGTTGTCAAAGCAAATTTACATATACAAACATCAAACAGTACAACGGATCTTTTAAGGATGCCATTTCATGGAGCTTAGATGCTCAAGAGGGGTTTTGTGTTTGGGTGGTGGTTGTTGTTGTTTGTTATAGACTGAAATGCCGCTCCTCTTCTCTGGCACCCAATAATTCAAGCACCATAAAATATTCTGGTAACACTTTCTTAAGTTTACTGTCTGTCTACCAAATTTTGACAGTAACAGTGCACTGGGAGGCAATTTTGGCGGCTGTCCCTCAAGTACAGAATGCCTTCCTTCCAAAACCTCACCAGAGTTTGTGAATATTCCAGAAGTAGTAAGGAATTCATCTTTTTTGGCTTTCGGTAGCCAGGGAGGAAGGGAGAGAGGAGGAGGAGGAGGATCATTTGAAGCATTCTAATAAGCTTAGTAGATTCAACATCATTGAGCCTGGCAACTTGGCAAAGAGTTGCCCATTAATTAACTGCTCCCTTTTCACCTGATTGCAGGGCTACAGTATCTCACTGCACACTCAGCCTATTACAGAACACAGTTCCATCACATTCATGGATTGCCTGTGGGCAAATACAGATGCTTGTCCGGGACAAAAACATCAAACTGCACATTCAACTCACCTCACTCTCTTCTGGCTTTTGCCTGCACAGCACCTCCAAATCCTCCAGGGCATCTGGGTATTGCTGCAAAGCCACATACACCTCCGATCGGCAGAGTCTCAGCATAAGATCATCAGGAGCTACAGGCAAAAGCAGGACACTTCAGAACTGTTGCTAGCAAAGCAGTAGTCAAGGTAAATCCTTGTGCCAGAAGTTGGGGACCTGGGATCCGTCTGGACTCCCAACTGCCATCAGCCCTTGCCAATGGGAGCTATAGTCCAGAAATATCTGGGGAGCCACAGGTTATTCACCTGCTCCACAAATTCTTGCACTCCCAAGCAGGGTGGATTTGATTTAAATCTCAGCATAAGATCATCAGGAGCTACAGGCAAAAGCAGGACACTTCAGAACTGTTGCTAGCAAAGCAGTAGTCAAGGTAAATCCTTGTGCCAGAAGTTGGGGACCTGGGATCCGTTTGGACTCCCAACTGCCATCAGCCCTTGCCAATGGGAGCTATAGTCCAGAAATATCTGGGGAGCCACCTGCTCCACAAATTCTTGCACTCCCAAGCAGGGTGGATTTGATTTAAATCAAATTGACTTAAATCACGATTTAAATCACTACTGAGTAAGACTTGATTTAATTCTTTTTTTTTTTACAGAAAGACTAGTTCTTGCTGGCATAAGCTTAATATTTACAACCAGATGAAGGTTTCATTTTTGGAATAGTAAATTTTCAGAGTAGTTTTTACAGTGATATCAAAAATTACTGATTTGGTTATACGATTAGAAATGCATAGACAGATAATTATGAAATTATTGTGAGGTTTAATAAATTAACTGTTTATATTTGAACAACTTTTCTGCTGTACTTTATTGGAAGGAGAAAAATAATCATTTCCTTAATAACAATTTAAGCCATTTATTTAACTAAAAGAAAGAATAACATTATAGCAACTGTATCCATGTTTGTTAACTGATGTGGTTAAACAATTTTTTTAAAAGAAAACTTAGAATGAGTTTTAGCACATATGAAAAACTTAAAACAAATCCTTATTTCCTGATGAATAGCCTTTGGACTATAATGTAACTTAAATAGAAAACTATCTTTAGGAATATTTTTCCTCCAAAAGCATTTTATTTTAAAAATCCAATTTAAATTTTAAGAAATCTGATTTAAATTTTTAAAAATCTGATTTTTTTTATTTTAAAAAAATAAGCATTGATTTTTATCCACCCTGCTCCCAAGTTAATGAAAGGTGACATAAACTTTTTAAACTGTGTGTGTTGCTTTTGTTTGTTACTACGGTATGTATTTTTTGTGTATTTATATTGTAAACTACCCTGCAGTTCTTGGATAAAGGGTGGTACAGAAATTTAATTAATAAACAGTAGTAGTAATAATAATAATAATAAATACTAGCTAGACTGTGTTATCTTCCAGTGCGTTATGGTTCATCTGGGCAAGGTTTGGGGATCAGAAACCACTGTACAAGCAGACATCAAAAGGGTTGAAATGATGGGATTGTTAGGTGACTTCAGTTTGCTCCTAACCTAGTCACAAATCCCATCATCTCCAAAACCCATTCACCACATATACAATCCAGCTATCTATAAAATCTATAAGTGATGTTACCTTCCAGTACACACACACACACACACACACGTTTTCCAGATCTGAATTTGCAGTAGAAGGGCAAGTTGGAAATGAGGAACTGGAGATAAAGGTTCTGTGTGACACAGCCCAAAATAATTCCCATCACAGATTAAGGCTGCAATTTGGTACACACTTATGTGGGGAAAGCCTCGTTGAACTCAACGGGACTTATTTATGAGTACATATGCATAGGACTACGAATACAAGACAGGAATATACACCCCCAATTTCTGAGAATCATCTAGTCCATCCTTCTACAATGCAGGATTCTTTCTGTGGTTATACTCACAGATGCAACACTCTGTGTTGTTTGAGGTCTCTATTTAATATGGTTGCTACTGGACCTAATGGTCAGGGGTCCCTTTACCTTTTTACTCATATTATTTTATTTTTTTGCTCCCAGGTTTCAATGTTTTGCTTTCAGTAGCAAATGGCGTGGTGGGGCAGAGTGGCTTCCCTGACCTCCTGGCAGATGAGTCATTGTTGCTTACAGGAAGAGGTGAGGCACAGGCACTATAAGGTCAGTGTGGGGCAAATGCACCAGCAGAGCCTATACAGCACTCCAGTCTCCTGCTGCTGCGTTTGCACTGCCTTCCCCAAAACCCTGGTAAGCAGCACTGACTCACCTGCCAGGAGGTCAGATAAGCACCTTTGCCCCACCATGCCCATCTGCTACTGATGCTGCTTTGATCTCCTTGGAGGGAAAAGCTGGCTACAAATGCCTTAAGGTAAATAAATAAAAAACAAATCTACACCAGAGGTGCGGGATGGAAATCAGCTTTTATTTAGAGAGAGAAAACAAAATCCACAAGTTTTAAAGAGGTGCTATGTGTATGGATAATGCAATAGAAATTCCCTACCAGAGAGGAATGGCAAACTAAGCTGTTAGACTCTGCTGAAATGGCAAACTCAGAGAACAAGCAGACAAGAAATTCAAGAAAGAATTGGAAGAGTTTGTAATTTATTTAGGAGACCACTGTAAGCAGATGAAAACATTAGCAGGATTTTAATCCCACTTGTAATGTAACAAATACTATGGACAATATGGATAGATGCAAGGCATAGGCTATGAAATAATATGCAGTTGGAAAGGCTGACAATAGAACCCATGAAGGGGATGGGGGGGGGAGTCTCGAGATTCAGAGAAATCTCATTTTATGGATATGTATTTGGTATTGCAATTAATTTACATTTGTAAAATCAAATAAAAAATGATTTCCAAAAAAAGAGAATGATATAGAAATAACATTCTACCAAGGTTGGGAGAAAGCTCATATAGTCTACATCCCTCAGTTTATAGCAGCACCTTACTTGCCCTCCATCATTACGGATGCTTTAGCTGAGATTCCTGCATTGCAGTGGGTTGGACTAGATTACCCTTGGGTCTCTTCCAACACTAAGATTCCACATTTAAGCCTTATTTAGAATAAAACATCTGAACTGTATCTCAGATAATCTTCTCTTTGTGCAGATTCATGCCCAAAAATCCTCATTTGAAAAGCATGCTCTTGTGCAGTTCAGCAGAATCCGACACGGTCACTCAATTCAGTTTGTTTAATGACAGGACCTACTGGCTTTTGAATTAGAGTGATGCAGCTGTACTTATTTTACCTCAGAGGGGAGGAATTAAAACTGGTAGCCTACATGGTTCTTGGACTGTCAACAGCCCACCCACCCCTCCGTCCCCAGCCAGTACATTTCCACAATTAAAAAAAGAAAAAACACCACAGGGCTGCCTTTGCTCTAGTGATTCACCTATCAGTACTGCAGCAGTGATTCATCTATCAGTGCTGCAGAAAAGTGATTACACAACAACAGTTTCCATTGCAGAGATGTTGAAAGAATGAGAACCACGGAGCACAGGGAGCCTGCTTGCCGTGAGCTGCGGGTCACATTCTCCCCTTACATAAATTAGCTAAACTCTGACCCTCGTGTCTAACTTTAAATCTGGAAACCTGCAATGAAATCATCCCAGAGTCAGTTGCTAAACAAAGTGCGCTGGAATGCTTTTAGAGCTGGAAGGTTGAAATTCATCACGATCAACCCTTTTTTGGCGGAACCCAACAATCGCAAGATGACAAAGATCCTTAGAGTAAGCCATGAGCTGCCAGTGCTTCTAAGAACTTATCACACTACCCCAATGTAGAACCCACAGATCTTATCAAGTGTTGCCATGGGCTCCCAATGTATATTTTAGAGTTGGGGTGACAGGCTTTGATTATGCAGCAAATGCAGAAATAATAGTAACACAAAGAAGCTGTGTACATCATAAGCATGTGATGGACAGATGATCCGGGAGAGCACCTAAGGTAAAGGTAAAGGGACCCCTGACCATTTAGGTCCAGTCGTGACCAACTCTGGGGTTGCGGCACTCATCTCGCTTTATTGGCCGAGGGAGCCGGCGTACAGCTTCCGGGTCATGTGGCCAGCATGACTAAGCTGCTTCTGGCAAACCAGAGCAGCGCACGGAAACGCCGTTTACCTTCCCGCTGGAGCGGTACCTATTTATCTACTTACACTTTGACATGCTTTCGAACTGCTAGGTTGGCAGAAGCAGGGACCGAGCAACGGGGAGCTCACTCCGTCACGGGGATTCGAACTGCAGACCTACTGATCGGCAAGCCCTAGGCTCTGTGGTTTAACCCACAGCGCCACCCGTGTCCCTTTGGGAGAGCACCTACTCTCATACAAATGTATGATGCATGGAGATGGGGACCGAGAGCCCACACCTCATTCTCATGCCAAACTCCATGTAAAAGAAGCAATCGATCCTAGGCCAGCCAGAAATGCAAACAGTAGGGAACTGAGTACAAACTGCCACTATTCGTGGTCATAGGTTGAAGAGAAGTTCCCTTCACGTGTTTAGTGAACATATGGAGAAAGGGGGAATCAGGCTCACAGCTACTGTCCCAGCTCCTGGCCTCTCCCTTACGCATCTGAAGGCTGTATGCATAGTTAAATCCCACCTGCACTAAACATTTAAAGCAGTATCATGGCACTTTAAAACAGCCATGGCTTCCCCCAAAGAGTTCTGGGAAGTGTAGTTTGTTAAGGGTGCTGAGTGTGGTTAGGAGACCCCTATTCTCCTCACAGAGCTACGATTCTCAAGAATGGTTCAACAATCTTAATTGAGGGAATTGCAGCTCTAGGAGACAAAGAGGGATTGCCTAACAACTCTCGGCCCCCTTAAACTAGCATTCATATGGGGAAGTGACAATGGTTTAAAGCAGAATGATTCCACTTTGAATGTATAGTGCATAGTTCCTCAAACAAAATCAGGAATTCTACAAGAGGCAGGATCTCTGCAAATATACATTATGTGTAGACATGGTGATGGCTGCCATCTTGGGTGCCTTTAAAAGGGGATTAGATGAACTCATGAAGGATAAGACTAACAGCAGGTACTAGTTATGTCAGCTAGTCCCGCCTCCTCACAGAAATGTGTTCAGACCTTTAGACCTTGTTCACTGAACAAGTGAAAATGACTAGAGGAGGAGGCAGGCACAGTCTTCAAGGCTGAAAAAAAAGGAGGGAGGAGGGAGTCATTTGGAAAATGCAGTAAGCTTTGCCTCGATACTGTTTTGCTTGGTGTTTCAAGACGTCTATCATTCGTGAATATTTTAACAATCTACAGCTTCTGACCGATCAAAATACCTTTTAGTGGCATATGCCCTAGTTATTTTGTTAATGCTCACCACTTATGTCTGCATTATCCAATGACTGTACATTCTGTTCTTATAAAGAATTGATAAAAAACCAAGCATAACAAACAAATGCAGCACTTTCCCAGCTTCCATGGCTCACAGGTTCCCCCTTCAGATGCCAAATACAGGTTCCCTGAGGGCATGTTGTTGCATAAAATACTTTTTAGTGGGAGCAAGAGAAAGTTTGCCCTGGACTCCGCAGACAATAATATCCTTATCCTTGCCTTAAATCCCTTTTGGATAATAGCAGGGAAGGCTAACCTGTGGCTTTCCGGTATCTTTAAGGCCTTCGCCTAGCCTTTGCCTTGCACAAAATATTTAAGTGCCTTTGCCATTTCCTAGGCAAGCAACATTGTAAGGGGTTGTATGGACTGGGCTAAGGTGGTGGGTACATTGTTGCATCTTCACAGCACCCAAGTATGTCTTCTTTCAGTTGGGTCTTTGAACCTAGGTCAGGGGTCTGCAACCTTTAAGACAAAAAGAGCCACTTGGACCCGTTTCCGAAGGGAAAAAAACTGGGAGCCGCAAAACTCGTCATTATAAAAATAACTTTTTTGTCACTTTTTATTATTTCTGTGTTTGACCCCTCAGAATTACTCCTCCTCATAGAAATAAATGTTAAATTAACAAGTTACCTTTTTGTGTGTATGTTCTTCACTCCCCTTCAAAACAGTGACCAGCGTACATGCCCCCTTTCAATGCAGTGACTAGCGTACATGCCCCTTACAATGTAGCGGGCGGGCGGGCGGGAAGGTGACGTCGGGACGGTGCGTGACTAAAGCACGCACCGCCCCCATGCGACGTCACAGCCAGTACAGCGCCCGCCACAGTGGGGAGTGTTGGGGCGCACAATGCGCCTCCTCCCCTCGCTAGCATCCGCCCCGGAGCTGCGGCAATGGTGTAAAAGATGCGGCTCCGGAGCCGTGGGTTGCTGACCCCTGACCTAGGTGATAAGATGGAAGAGGAAGTAGTGGAGAGACTGTTCATTTTGTCCGACTTGGTTGACTGAAAAAGCAGTCTAAAGGCAACCTGGTAGCAAGGTACAGATTCTGCAAGCGGCCTTGAGTCTCGTCAGGGGAAAAGGCACATTATATAATAAGAGTATATAATAAGCAATTAAATCTGAGCACCACTCTTGCTTTGTGTCAAGTATAATTGGGATCACCACCCAAACAACTCTGCACCTTACTTCTGCAAGCAGTACCATGCTTTGCAGAATCCAACTCTTTTACTTAAGATTGCCACACTGTCTCCTGTCTGGGGCCTTGGTGATGACCAGCCACATGCCAAGAGTGGATGCACAGAATTTAGGACTGTGTCAGTTTGCCAGATTACTGCCAGACTTCTTCAGGCCCATTAACAGTTTATAGGCTATTCTTACATAGCCCTACATACCTGATCCACAACATGCTCTACTAAAAAGTTATGCCATAGCCAGGCTCAGCAAGATCTAGTGTTTGTTGTGCTCGAGTATTCCACCATAGATTCACCCGCTGTGCTGGGGAAGTCATCTCTATCTCTGCACTATCCATCTGTAAAATGGGTTGGTGACTTCTAAATGCTCGACAGAATGCTGACAACATGAGCATAAGAGAGAGGTGATTTGAAGTGAGTTTATAGTCAAGCTCGACTTGTTATCTGTACTGCGTGTACCTTCAGTTCTTGCTTTCTGCCTGTGACACAGTGAAGTCTGGATTGTGTTAGAACAATCTGAGGTGGCTTGGTATCTTATGTGGATGGTATTGCTTAGTGGCAAGAGACTCGGAGGCACAAGCAGCAGTTGATTTGTCCTAGTCCCCCAGGCTTATTGAGAGCGTTCTTCTCACTGATAATATGAAGCCTATAGGAACTGGAAAAGCAACATCCTACTTTGAAAACACACCAGATTTTTTCAGGAAATAAACCAACTCCTCCTCCTCTCTAGTCATGCCAGAGGCATGGACTCGGAAGCACAAGCAGCAGTTGTACAACTTGGGTGACAGTTCCAAGACATTTTGCTGCTTGAGGTGAAGGATAAGATTCCTTCCCATTTCTAGTGGCTACATTCTGCCATTTCTCATATGTCGCTTTGCTAGAGCATCCTGTTTCTAAAGTACAGCTTCAAGCCAAGGCCTTCCTACAGGGGCATTATAAGAGAGGGGGCAGCTCATGACAGCCACCTAAAGAAGGGATGGGGTACCTTGCTCTCCAGATGTTGCTGGACTACAACTCCCATGGTCCCTGGCCATCAGCTACGCTGGCTGAAGCTGATGAGCCCAGTATCACCTGCAGCTGGAAGATCACAGGTACCTCATCCCTATCCTAATGCTACTGTAGGCGAGAAGATTATAAATATAGATCTAACTTGTAAGTGGAGCTGCACTCTTTCACCTGCTTGCTCACCTGTTTTGTCACACGTGGGACATCACAACCTTCTGCTTGTATGAAGGTTGCAATATGAAATAAAAAACAGCCTGAGTTTAGGGTCTTGCCACATGTCATATTAACCAATTGCTGTTTCTTCACCTGTCTCCCACCCAACATCTACACCTGATGTTCAACTGTTCTGTTTTGTATCCAGGTCTTCTTCTTGTGTGAGTAAATAAAGAGCTGAGGGTCTTAAATCATTTGATATGGTTGAAGATGGGTTGCTGGATAGGCGGCTGATGCACTGTTCAAAATGTGGACCAAGATTTAATTGCTTAAACAGTCTGTGTCTAAGAGAATTATGAAGAACACAAGGGGGCTGCATTGAGCACATCCCACACCAATACCATTTCTCTCCAGTTACCCTGTGTTCCCACATAAATATAGCTAATGCATCTCCATCACTCCTAAACATTTGGTGAGGAAACAAACAACGTTCCATTTTTTAAAAAAAGTTGGATATAATTACTTATTTATTTTAATGTAACTATTCTATTGAAGGGGCTCCCTATTGTAGTTCCATGGTATTTCCGCTGTGGAGGGTCCATCAGCCTCTGCCTTGACTTGCTAAGGCACTTCTTCTCCCTCTTGTGTGGCAGCCATGTCAAGGTGGTTTTAAGGAAACAGGGACCAAAAATGCTTCTTCCTGTTTCCTGAGCCCCAGGACCTTCTTCCAATGGCACCAACTCCAGAAGAAGAGATTCCCTTGCAAAGGAAAGAGATCTTTGAATAGACTCCCTTTTCCTCCCCATCACAGTGTTGTGGAAGGAAACCTCTAGTTCCCAGAGCAGTATAATGGGGAGGAAAAGAGCTAGAAATACCCCCCCTTATTTGGCTGGTCTGCCTGCCTGTGTTAATGTGTTTGTCTGTCTGTGTATGCCCCTCACTGCTGAGGGGATGTGTGAGAGACACTGCTGCCTGGCTGCCTTTGTGCCCTGCCTTTGGCAAGTGAGCCTAGCTGAATCTGTAAATGTTGTGTGTTCACTTGTCTACCTGTTTGTACCACCTCTGCTCAGTGCATGTGTGTGTGCGCACCTGCTTATGTGCATTCATGTGTGGTCTGCATGCACACAGATGTGCTGTATGGGTGTGCACACAAGTGCATGTTGGCCAAATGAACCACCTTGTAGCCTTGCAGGATGAAAGGGAAAGGTACGGCTTAAGAATTGCCCCTGCATGAAACCCAATCATTTCTGCAACAGCAGCAGTACTTGCCCTTTAACTATTGTATGCAAAACTCTTCCTGATGTTTGCATATGCTCTCGTCCTTAATGTTTTAAACAGGTTTTATTTCATTTTTTAAATTCTATTGTTTTACTACATTGCTATTTGCCACCCTGGGCTCCTTTTCAAAGAAGAGAAAGATGGAAATTTAATGAATCAAAATAATATTGTTCACAATCCATTTCAGACTTCGGAAATCAGGTTTAGGATTACACAAAAACATGGGATTGGTAGGAACTGATTTCTAACCAACTTAAATTTGGTGCAGCTTACTCGCAGGTAATTGTGTAAAGGATTGCTGCTAAAGGCAGAGAAGATCCCAAAGGTTTGTTTTAAGTTAGTCTACTGGAAAATATTTGACTGAGGTGGGAGTCCTAGCAATCATAATTTTGAAGAGAAGAAACATTAAACTAGCCTAAAATGAAAAGGTTTCAATTTCCCTGGATTTTATTGCATGCTGTTTCTTTCACAAACCAAAGCAATAATAGAAAGAAATTATGAAGTGAAGATGAATAGAGCAATAAATGTGGCTCTGAAAACAACAGAATGCCAGTTTGGTGAGTTTCCATAAGGAAGTTATTGTCTGTTGTGAAATGCATTAAATTGTTGCTTTAAGAGGTGAGCTGAAGAAAGAGCACGTTCTATCAAACAGGCAATATTAACTAAATACATAGGGCTGCCTTATTTTCCTGACCAAGTCTCTAAACCATTGCTAGCAAAACAACAGGCAGAAATTGAACATGCAAAAACCCGCCTAGCACAAAGACAGTGGTTGGGAGAGCTGCACCTCTTGAATAGCTGCCTGCTGCATGGCTGTCAAAGACACAGAGTCTCCAGAAGAAAAATGTGATAACCCAAACTGACTCCAAGAGACTACGCAGTCAGCTTTGCATGCTAGAAGTTTGGCAGAAAAGGTGAGGATTTTACAACTGAATAAAAAAAAAATCACTGATCTGGACCAGCCTTTTCAGGAAAGTCTCTCTCTCTCTCTCTCTCTCTCTCTCACACACACACACACACACACACACAGTCTATCTATATGCAAATACCATACAAAAATAAAGGTATTTTGTGACAAACAAGCCATTAAGCAGTTTGGGAGAGTGGTTTAAATGGTTACAGACACAAAAGTGAATCCAGTACTATAGCTCATGGCGGAATTAAAGGTTAATTTCAGATCAGTTTCTTGTTGTAAAACCAGGAATATAGTTGGACTTCTACACAAGAAATATAAATCTCTCCATAATAAACTGAATAAATGTCCAGCTAATTCCTAAATGAATCCTTGTGACTACTGCTAGTCATGCATATTTTGCTGAATTTACAAAACATAAATAACATAACATGCTGTTTACAGGCAAGTCCTGACAAGAAATTCATGACCCAAAGTGAGGGCTAGCTTTTATGCTAACCGCTGATTACTGTCACAGAAACGGAAATCTTTGTGCTGTGTTATATAAACACACACACACACAAGCTCCAAAACCAAGTGCTAAATTAAAGGATTTAACAGTGAGATCCTAAGCAGGTTTACTCAGAAGCAAGTCACATTGTGTTCAATGGGGCTTACTCCCAGGTAAGCATGCATAGACTTACAGCTTTAATCTATATTATCCAGAGAGTTATTTGCACCCTTCAACATGTTCCCTCCTGAATAAGCCTAGAGAGGAATCTAGGAGGACTGCCTTTGAGGTTGGTAAAGTTGAGGTGACCTAGAGCTTGTGGGATTCAAGAGCAGCTGGATCATACAGGCTTCACTGATTCAGACCTTCATCTCTTTATAGAATTGCTGAGGCCCTCACATCATTCTTCATTTGTTAAGAGCCTGTTATAAAACACCAGCTCAGAGTCCGCAATGACTCAAACGCGGAGCACAGGTGTTTCATAAAACAGGTGAGCCTAGCACAGTGGAATAAGCTCATCCAGCCTCCACTTGACAGTTTCCCCCTCTTCAGTTTGATGGTTACCCCCCAACACAATGTCATGCTAATTCAATAGGTGCAGCTTTCTCTTTCACTGCCTCTCTATACCAGGAGCCTGTTGAATTTCTCCCTATCAGCCAACTATTTAAAGAAAGCCTGGGGGTGGAAATCACAACACTCCCTGAGTTTGGGGAGTGGGCATGTAAATGATGAGGTGAAAGAGGGAGTGTATGTCTTCTCTAGGGAAGGATAGCACAGTCAGTAGAGCATAAGACTCTTAATCTCAGGACTGTGGATTCATGCCCCACATTAGGCAAAAGATTCCTGCGTGGCAGGGGGTTGGACTAGATGACCCTTGTGGTCCCTTCCAGTTCTATGATCAGGGAAGAAATCGTATTGCCCGCTACACTTTTATTTTGTGCAGCAAAGCGTGTACTGGGTTCAAATCCCCACACAGTCTTGGGCAAGTCATACTGCCTATTAAGTTCAGAAAGGACAGCTACAGAAATGACCAGTAATCCTGAACTATGACTACGTCCTACTCCATGGACTTAGCCAAGGGGGGGGCAGCTGCCCCCCATCAATAAAATTCCATTAAAGTACATAGGAAACTGAGGTTCTTTCCCCCCCAAAAAAACCCTGCCCCCCTAACAAAAATCTTGGCTGCTCCCATGTCCTACCCTTATTTTTGTGTTCTGTGCCCACAAAGAGGAGCCAAAGGCAACCACATGTTCCCCACACCCCTGAACAGATCCAGCAAATCCGGCAGCACAATTCGCATAGGTCAGCTTTTCAAAGGTCCCACGAGGTGCCCTATAAAAGGGCTGTGCCTGCCATATAAGGCAAAGCCATGCTTTTTTCTATAAAAAGACAAACCAACAAACCCTCGTTGTATAAGTAATTTTCTGATGTCACCATCGCCACTGGACGCCTTCTTCTCCTTGACACACGCGCAGCATAAAAAGTTGCAAGAGAAGCAAACTTCCCAAAAGTTTACTTTTAATAATATTTTTTTAAAAAAAAAATTAATGCAAAGAGCCGTTTTGGCAGAATGCGACATGCATATGTGGCATACGCGGAAGGCGGCTCCGTGTCCGCAAAGTCTCTTGCCTGTAAGGAGCAGGAAACGAGGAACTCGGCGACAAACTGTTATCGAGGATTGTCCCTCGCTGCTTACACAATGCGATACGGTGACAAGTTGCATAACCGGCGACGGCGGGGTGTGTGTCTTCAAATTCAAGACTCCCGAAAGAAATCCGTCAAAGCCCCCCTATTAACCTGCCTTGCCCCTCTACCCCCACCAGACCCGTCAGTGTCCCCAGTCCCCAATAAGGCATCTCTGGGGCATGCAACGCTTACCCAGCGCGAGCCCTTTCTGCACGCTCCTCAGCGCTGCCCGGTAGTCTCTGCTTCTCAGCAGCTCCTGCAAGTCGGTCTTCAGCCTGGCCACTTGAGTGCCTTTGTCCAAGCATTTCTCCAACAAGTCACACAGCAGGACGTTGCAGGCCACCGTCCGCGATCCCAGCAGGACGGACTTCCCCCCACAGAGCCGGCACTTGGAGGGCAAGTCTCCTCCGAGGCATCTTCTGCAGAAGGTATGGCCGCACGACACGGTCACTGGGTCCCATAGAGCCCGGTGGCAAGCGGCGCACAGGAAAATCTCCATGGCTCCTGCCACGGAGAGAGAGGGCAGGCAGGCAGCGGGGCTGGCTAAAGGGTGCCTCCCAGGGCAACGGGCGAAGGGCGATCGCCTCTGAAGAAGAGCGGCATCGAAAAGGTGCGGGGATGGAATTGGGGGCGGGGGTGGGAAGAGGATTTCCCTGCAAAACCGAGTCTCCCGTGGGAGCAACTTGGCGTGGCGAAGTAGCCTCCTGCAGCGACCGGGGACACTTTCCCAAAAAGGCCGGGAGGTTCACCTTCCTGCTTTGGGGGGTGGGGGGGGGCAAGACCACGAGCCGAGTGGTTCGCTGGCTCTTAAAGGCGCAGCGCTCTTCCCCGGAGGTTCCCCACGCAGAGCGAGCTCCGGAGAACTTTGCAACGGATCGAGAAGCAGCAGCTGGTGCAATGCGAGCAGCTTTCCGCTTTCACTTTCCTTTGTTTATTGCGGGTCGTCGTCCCACCCTTTTTTATTGCCCCTATTTCATCCCTTTTCACCCAAGAGGTGCCTGCTCAGCCTCGTCGCCCGAGACATAGAAGCTTTCGAATGCATCCAGACAGACACCAAAACAAAAACAACAGGGGGAGGCGGCGGCGCAGGGGAGGATGACCCTTTGTCCCCACCACGACCGGGGAAAAGTCAAGCTCGCTCGCAGCGCGCCGCCCGCCGCTCCTTTGCCGCGTCTGCGCGGAAACTAAGCGAGCAGGTTACTTTTTGGAGAGGTGCCGGCCGGGGCGGAGTGGAGGTTGCTTGTGTAAGTGCGAGCTCCACCCGCCCCCTTCTCCTCAAACTCTTCTGACGGGTCCTGCTGCGATCGTGCCACTTCGCCGACGCGCTGCCCATCCGCTCCCCTTTCCAAGAGGCTGGGAGAGAAGCGAAGGACATCCGATTTCCTCCCTCGCCTCTGGATTCCTGCAGGGCGCACCGGCCGCCTCTCCGCGTGCGTCAACTTGGGGCGAGTTCGCAGGAGGGGAGAAGCGTGGCGGCAGGATTTGCAAACAGAAAAAGCACAATCGGTCACTTTTCTTTTCCTGCTCACTCGCCAGATTGCTTCCCCCACCCTACCCACGACCCTTTTGGTTACCTTCTGAACACAGGCGCGCGCACAAACATGAAACAACAACAAAAAAGGCCCGAATATTACATAAAATGTGGAGTAGCCCCATGTGATGGAGCCGGAGAGCTGCTCCATTGGCTGCCGGCTTCGGCCCGCCCCTGTTGTGAAACAGCCATTGCGGAGCGCGTTTCATAACCTCTGAAATGGGCAGTTCGGAGTTTGGAGGTGGGGGCGGGAAGGGAAGACGGGAGAGAGAGAGAGAAGACCCTACTTTTTCTGGGGGCTGCGATTTTGTTTTGAAGTCCCCAACCAGGAGGAGGGAGTGGCGATTGCTTGCGAAGCGCAGTTGATGCATTGCAAGAGGCCAAGTCTCCTGGGTCAGCTCTGCATGTACTCGCAGGCAGCCCTTAGTCAACCTATAGCCCTTCAGCTCGGCGTTGACTCTTCGTCGTTATGCTTCCCCCGGTGAAATGACGCTCCCGGAAAGTATTTGCATGCAGAGTACAAAATGTTCCGGATCTGAAATGATTGCTCATGAAATGAGCAGCGCGAGCAATCCCAGGCAAGTTTGCTCGGAAGAACCAAAGTGCCAGGGAAAGGCGTAGCTGGTAGGTGAGCTGTCCCCTTACTTAGAGGGAGCAGGACCTATGGAAGAACCTGGTGGAAGTGGCCTTTTGGGTGTGGTGTGGACAACGCAGCAGTAGGGGACAATGGTGGCATAATTTACTGGGTGGCTGTCAGGCTTACTTGGGTGGCCATGGGACAGCCTTCCCCTTGCACTAAAAATGCACTAAATAACATGTATCTGGTAACCTGTGAGCCATCAGGATAATTCAGTTCCCCTGCTGTTTGTCCCCCATCACAGGAGTGGAATGGCCAATCCATAGGCCTGTTTAGGTCCCCCAGGCTTCCCCATTTGGCCCACCAGACCATTTGGGCCAAGGCACAACCCTGAGATCAGGTGTGGGGCAGGCAGGGCTGGGCCAAAGGGAGGTCAGAATTGGAAGATGCTTTGAAGCCCCAAACAGTCAGCAGATTGAACTTTAAAGTGCAAATTGCAAGCACCAATGATCAGCTGATTGTCAGTGCTTGAAGATGAGTGGCACTAGAGAGTTCTGCTTTGGAAAGAAAGAAAAAATGCTCCAGTTAAAGGAGCATTAAGAGGAAGTTGCTGTAGGCCCTGATGGGCAGTTACAGGGACCTTAGAATCATAGAATCATAGAGTTGGAAGAGACCACAAGGGCCATCGAGTCCAACCCCCTGCCAAGCAGGAAACACCATCAGAGCACTCCTGACATATGGTTGTCAAGCCTCTGCTTAAAGATCTCCAAAGAAGGAGACTCCACCACACTCCTTGGCAGCAAATTCCACTGTCGAACAGCTCTTACTGTCAGGAAGTTCTTCCTAATGTTTAGGTGGAATCTTCTTTCTTATAGTTTGGATCCATTGCTCCGTGTCCGCTTCTCTGGAGCAGCAGAAAACAACCTTTCTCCCTCCTCTATGTGACATCCTTTTATATATTTGAACATGGCTATCATATCACCCCTTAACCTCCTCTTCTCCAGGCTAAACATGCCCAGCTCCCTTAGCCGTTCCTCATAAGGCATCGTTTCCAGGCCTTTGACCATTTTGGTTGCCCTCCTCTTTGACCTTCTTTGTCAGCTGTTAAAGTTCAATCATCCAATGTGATTAGAACATAAAGTGATTGGCAGGTAGGTGCTCCCACTCTCCTGCCAAAGTTGAGAGGGTGAGGAGAATCTACCATCTTGAATTCAGAATGCAATAAAACTGTAATAGTCTCTTAGAGTTTGTTTGTTTTTTAAAATAAGAATCTTCATTTACATCTATCAAGCTTAAATGTTATGTTTCCATCTCTAAAATGGGCACATGTGTTTTGGGAAAGTCTTCTACTTTCTTAATTACTTGATGATATGTCAGGTTTCACGAACTTCATTGCATTATTTGCTCTGCACATAGTGCGATTTCCTGCTTTCCATTTGGGGTGCAAGTTGTGTTGGTCTGCGGTTGCTGAATGCCATGTGTGGATAGAATCGACTCGTGTCAGGGGACTTGTAAGTACAAGCAATGGATGGATGAGGTGGAAAAGGGGGGATCTGTGTGAACAAGAGTGGTGGTACTGCTTACCTGGGTTTGGTTTCCTTTGGAGCAGAGAACACTGGAGACATGATATTTTTGAATATTTGAGTTTCTTTACAAATATGCATGTAGAACATGGACGGAGACAAACTAAACATGCCCAAAACAGCATTTTTCCCCACATCAGATCTCCAGGTGCTTACAACTCCAGGCGTGAGTCTCAAGGCACAATTTCTCTTTTGTTCCTTTTCACAGACACACCCACCTTCATTCAATTAAGTCAAGGGGCCTCAGGAAATACTCTGAATAATCCAAAGATTTAGGTACCAAGAACCCATCTTTTAACACTCACAGACATTCATTAAGGAACACCAAGCAGCCATTACACAAGAATATAAGAAGTGTCAAAGGGCCCTCTAGCCCAGCAACCTGTTTTCTCAGCATATGGGAATCTCACAGGTGATTATGGAAAGCTCTCAAGGAGCCTCACCATTCTTTTTCCTGACAAAGCATATGAGCTGAGTGACGGGCAGGGCTTGGCCACCTTTCATAACACCATTGTAGTCAGCACTGGCGAAAGAGGGCAGAGGCAGATGGGCACAATATCGGGGAGTCTCAGAAAAACAGTTCACACACATTCATTGCTGAGCTTAGAGCCAGTTTGCATGTTACCACACAGAAGCCATCACAGGAAATGTTTTCTCAGACCATGGACTCCATTCCAAAGCAAGACTTTCAAAATGGTCTTCAGTGTAGGAAATCAAGAGCTGTCTTCATTCTCTTGGGCATAACATGAATTTCCCACCGTTCACCAATGTCTTTTGATGCAAAGTTTGCTAATCGTACACTATCTTATGTATCCTTCCCCTTAGCATTCAAAGTTACACATGACTTCCCACCCCCCTCACAAAGACGTTATCAGGGGTAATTTCAAAGAAGAAAATTGGAATAGTTGATTGCCATGGAAACAAACTCTCTACGCATTACATCGTCATGCAGATCGTGGAATAAATGCATTTTAAGATGTGAAATGCTACCAAGGGTGCTGGTGTGCTTATGCAGTAAAATAAGCAGATATCTCAGGGAGGGGAACTTGGTCCCCTCGGAATGTTGCAGAACTGCAGCTCCCAACAACCCTCTCCATTTGCCATGCTGACTGGGACTGATGGGATATGGAGTCCAGCCAAAGGTTTCCGCATCCATGCCTGATATTGTGAGGTTAACAGCCTGTCTTTTTTGTTGTTGTTGGTTGGTTGATTTTTCTTGTTCTGTAGAGGGCCGTGCATATTGATGGTTGTGTTATATAACTAATTAATAACAATGTTATTAACGACAAAGTATACGTAAGCATTCCTAACTTATCTAATTGTTTTAACAATACTCAACATATTTTTTTTAAAAGTATTTTTTTAAGGAAGTGGCATGCCCCACTTCCCTTGCTAGTAAGAAATTTGAGAGGTTTGCCACTTATTGCTCTGTTTCCTTGCAATAAAAAAAAGGTGAAGATTTATGGTGTATTTGTAATTTCTAGTTATTTTCAAATATGCCAGCATAGCATATTGAGACCAATGAGATTTACATCAGACAGAATAAATGCAATCCTGTTTTGCATTCCCCATTAGCAATAGTTGCATCCCTCCTTCAGACAGCTCCAGCTCTCAGTCTGTCATTGTCCAAATTCAAACTGCCATTCCTTTGTTTTTCTGCCGCACACAAAGTTTGTTTTCAGTTGTGATTGGAAGGCATGGTTTCCCACTACATGAGGGAGCCTACCATGCTCCACCTCCCCTTATTTCCTGTTTCACACCCCAAGATGGATATTATAAGCTTCACTGACTGGTTTCAAACAAGCCATGGCGTTATGATGTTTGAACTTTGGGAACTCTGGTTTGTTTAAACCCTGGTTTGAGAGTAAGATCAAAACACTGGTATAAAGGGACAGCAGCAACTGATTCAAAAGTTGGCAGTCCTATTTGAAATCAAGCAACACTGCCAAAACTTACAACAGTATGAGTTAATATGAACTGGGGCTGATTGGGGAATATATTCTAGTATTGGAGAGTGTGATTTGGCCATAACTGGTGCTTGACTGAACAACAGAATACAAAATATGATACCTTTTAATGAAATGCGAAATGATCTCTATACTGTAGATGTTTCCTTTATGCAACGTTGGAATTTTAAACAGGTTTATTAGGCACACCCATTAAGAAACAAATCTATTACTGAGACTTAAGATGTGATTGCAACAAGCAGACCAGAAGCATACAGACTCCTGTAAAGAGACATCAAAGCCGTTGATTTGTTATCAGATTCCAAGAGAGAGCCCTAAGGTGCTTTACTTTCAACCAGACTCTTTCTCTCTCAATCTCTCTCCCTCTTTGCACTGGGCCCGGGGGTAACCCATGAAACATGGTCCAGGACCAGTCTAGAACCCAAAGGTTCCGCTGGGAGTCAGTCTGACAGGTCCAAGGCAGGACACGAGGCAAGGACAGGTGCAGGATCTAGCATACAGCAATGTTGCTCCTGCAACCTGGGGCGGGGTCCGACAGCCTTTTATCTTTGTCGGGGTAGATGCCGGTACTGATCTCCTGGCGACTCACCTCCCTGTCTCGCCCAAAGGTGAGCACTCCTCCTGCGAGTACTCAGGTCTCTCCTTCTCTCAGACCTTAGTCTCTGAAGCTCAGGAGACGTCAGTGGGTTACTAGACCCAGAGACCACCTCAGCCTCCCCTGACCAAACCGGCAATGGAGCAGCTGTAAGTGATGGCCCAGCTGAAGGCAACAAGGTAATTCTCGCATCTGGAGCCAGGGCAGGCTCAGGCCCCTGACTCTGCCCAGCTGGTGTTTGTTGCAGGGGAACCTGTGTAGACTGGGACTCTTCAGGATCAGGCCCCAGACTTGGCTCAGATGATACCTGAGGCAAAGGATCCGGTGCAGACTGAGTCTCCTCTGGTTCCAAGTCCGAGCCTGAGTCCCAGGCCATCACACTCTTGGAGGTCACTTGCACATCACCCCCTCCCCCCCCCCCAGGGACAGAAGAGGATACAGACTTGCATAAAATCTGCACATTATAATTTATATAAGATGCCAGCTTTAGAAATAATTATGATAGTTTAGATGGGGTGAGGATCCGCTGGCCCATGGGCCAAAGGAAACCCACCTGGGATCCCAACTTGACCCACAAAACTATTTCCACCAAAACATGCCCCCTACCCCTCACCTGACGTCATCAGGTATGGGGCAGCAAAGGATGTGGCCGCAAACTTAACCATGAGTTTAAAGTGAGCTTGAAGAATCCGACTGCTCCTACTGCAGTAGCAATTAGAATGATGGAAGATGGTACCGTTGAGAATGAATTATCCACGCGAAATTTTACTCTGAGCAAACTTCTGTCAGTTGCACTTTTTAAAAGAACCCCATAATAAATCCATTTGATTTCAGTCACACAATCAGGGTTGCGACTGTATCTGAGCATGAAAGCTTTTGGTCGAACACTACCACAGGGATTGAGATGGTTGGGCAACAAATCCCCTTATTTATTTATTCTTTAAAAACCCTCACCAACAGACGGCATCCGAATCAGGAAAGAAGTGGATGAAAAAAAATGGCCCAACATTAAAATTGGTGAGAAATACAAGTGATTTGAAATCTATTGGGGAGACGGGGCAACCACATTGACTCTTGGATGAATGCTCCCTTGCTATCCCTCTTGCTGTTCTGGCTTCTGGGATAGCTGCACATCCTGCACTCGCTCCATAAGACGCACACACATTTCCCCTTACTTTTTAGGAAGGAAAAAGTGAGTCTTATAGAGCAAAAAATACGGTAAATCAAATTGATTTAAATCACAATTTAAATCACTATTCAGTGAGACTTGATTTAAATCTTTTTTTAAAAAAGAAAGACTCATTCTTGCTGGTATAATCTTAATATTTACAACCAGATGAAGGTTTCATTTTTTGGAATAATAAGTAGTATTTACAGTTTATATCAAAAATTACTGATTTGGTTATACTATTAGAAATACATATACAATTATGAAATTATTGTGAGGTTTAATAAGTTAACTGTTTATATTTGGACAGTTTTTCTGCTGTACTTTATTTCCTTAATAACAATTAAACAATTTATTTAACTAAAAGAATAACATTATAGCATCTGTATCCATGTTTGTTAGCTGATGTGGTTAAACAATTTTTTTTTAAAGAAAACTTAGACTGAGTTTTAGCACACATGAAAAACTTGAAACAAATCCATATTTCCTGTTGAATAGCCTTTGGACTATAACGTAACTTAAATAGAAAACTATCTTTTGAAAGATTTTTCCTCCAAAAGCATTTTAATTTAAAAATCCAATTTAAATTTTAAAAAATCCGATTAAAATTTTTTAAAATCTGATTTTTGATTTTTTTTAAAATCATTGATTTTTATCCACTCTGCCTGGAAGGAAGTCCCATTGAATTCAGTAGAAGGTACTTCTAAATAAGCATGTGCAGTCCTGGCTTAGAATAAAATACTTAGGGTTGCGTGACACATACAGCCTTGCCCTGGATGTTTCGCCACTTGTGGGAGTGGAAGCAGGCTTCCATCAAGCCAAAACATGAGGGAATTGTGGGGAATTGTTGATGAGACTCCATCATCTGTGCAAAATTCTCATCTTTCCAAAGCCTGCAGGTGGGTGGACTGCTATTTAGAAGAACTCACTGTAGACAGAAATGCTAACCAGCTCTTAAATTGGGACAAATATGTAATCTGTGGGGTTCTCCTCACCACCATCACCGTCATGTACTTAAGGCACTGCGTGAATCATACTTGTTTTAATGATTCAGCAATCACAGGGAGTCTGAACACCAGCTTTTGCACACGTCGGGAGGTTGCTACATAACAGGAACTTTCAAGTTATGTCACAGCAAAGCCTACCATCTCAGCAAGGGAAGAACAAAACATTTATGGAGTTCTATGTCCTTCCAAAGCACTTTGGTCAAGCCTAGAGACCTACAACCCACCCTGTGGGCTTTTCCCAAGGTGTACCTTCAAGTGCATTTAAAAAGCAGGTTCCAATTGTAGAAAAATGAAACTTTTCTGGGAAAGAATGCAATTGATGCACCAACATGCGGAAAACCATGAAGCCTTTTCACAAAAACAGAAATGTTTCTACAGATCTGATAAATTTTGGGAAAGGAACTCTTGCAGGTAATGTTGCCCATTAAAAGGTGGGGGAAGCAGAACTGGATTTTGATTGTTTTGTACTTTTAGCATTAGAGCTGTGAGAAGTCGCTTCTGGCATGAAAACCATCAACATAGTTTCTAATCATTATGTGCATCGCGCAAGTGCAGGCAACGATTGATTCAGCAAAGATATGACAGTCCGGTCAGGTTGACCTGGCTTGCAGTTCAGCTCTTTATGGCTCATCCTCCTTTCCCAAGTGGCTTTGGTCACATTCACACACCATCCATTTGAAGCATGGCTTCTCCCAAAGAATCCTGGGAATTGTAGTTCACCCCTCACAGAGATTGCGATTCTCAGCACTCATAGCAAACTGTACTCCCCAAGGTACTTTGAAGGAAGCCACGCACTTTCTTTGAAGACCTCTTTTTCCCTCTCTCTGTCCTTTGGTTCAAACCCTTGCCTCTGACCATGTGCCTTTTCAATCCCTTGAAATAGCAAAGCATAGTTACATTTAATTTTGAAAAATATATATATATCATCTGTCTGGTTCTCTCCACGTCATACAGAAAATTACTTTGAGGACTGGAGGAAAGCTGGCAAGGTGGTGTCCCAGTTACAGGAAAAGGGGTTTCTGGGGATCAGTGCTGGACCCTCTTGCTAGGGCCATGGGTTTAAGGATTCCCAAGGATGCCAGCCACTAGAATCTCCCTGATTCTTCTTCCTCATAAGAACTTTGCTTTCTGGCCAGCTCACAAATTTTATAGACACTGATTATGACCGCTACAAACTAAATGGGCTCATGTGCTTCTGTTGCTGCTACTATTAAACCCATTTCACAACAAGCTGCATCTACTGGTAGTCATTCACATGATAGCTATCCAAATGCCAAAACCACAGATACCTTCCCTTCCATAAGGGTGCCCTACCGTAACATTCCTCCGAGTGTTCAGAACAGAAATCCATTAGAATACAATCACAACATTGCTACCCAGATGTTATTTGACATGGTTTTTAGAGTTATAGATCTTCATGACATGCACACATAGATGCAGACCAACAATACAGACTTTGTTTTTCAGACAGTGCCTGACGCACAGAGATCCTGCAATTATTCCTCTATGCGTGAGCTCGCCTGAGTATTTCTTATAATTAAGTAAGATGCTGCTATGGTTGTTGTTCAGATGTTCTGTTCAGGGACTCCTAAAGAAAACCTGTGTGTGATGACATGGTTATATAAATATGAGTGGATGCATGTAAACAAGATATCTCTTAAGTAATCATTACTGGCTCTCTTGCTTTCTCTGCTCCACCCTTCAATGCCTTATATAACAGGCATTTGGTTTATATACTGGTTATTTTATGCAAGGTTGTGTGTCAAAGGGGGTAATGAAATACATGTGGGTGTTTTTCAATCCTAGTAAAGGGATTGGCTGGTTGGCTAGAACCCTGGAAAGGGTGTTACGTTATACAGCCAGGTTATACAGCAACCAATCACCTATACTTGGCCAATTTAAATAACAAAAAACCAGGCTCCTTTGGTAGGTTAAGCTGGGGTTAGCCAGTATGATGACCACCTGAGGTTGCTGGACTCCAAACTCCCATCATCCATGACCTTGCTGGCTGGAGCTGATGAGAATCCAATATCATTGGCTACCCCTGACTTGAATAGTTCTGCTGTCCAGACCCCAGAGCCTTAGAGCCATTAAGCTGCAAGGGACTTGAAGGTCATCTAGCTCATTCCATTCCCATTGCGGGGGGGGGGGGCGGGGAAGGCAGGATATAAATATGATAAATGAATCTATGCCTAAAAGCACAAAGAGCTTCTCTCCAAATTGCCTTCCTACTGTCGATCCACATGACTTAAAAAAAAACAACATTTTTTCTAATTGGGTTTCAAGATAAGAATACAAATATAAAGAAAAAAGAAAACCTATAACCAAACTTATCCCCTGCAACATTAGAATCATAGGGAAATGACTGCTTGAGACCAGTGTGACTTGCCACAAAGCAAGTTCAGAGCTCAGTAGGAACTGGAACTTAGGTGATCCAAGTCTATGAGTCTCCACATGTGGAATCAGAGAAACCCACAACAAAACACATTCCCCTCTTCTACTTTATAGAAGTAGACATGCTTCATTTATGTAAAATGGATTCAAGTTGCAAGAGATTCCAACTAAACATCAGGAATAACTTTGTAACAGTAAGACCTCTTTGACAATAGAACAGTCTCCCTTAGAAGACAGTGGACTCTCCTTCCTGGAAGGTTTTTAAGCAGAGGTTGGATGGCCACCTGTCGTGCATGATCTAGTTGAGATTCCTGCATTGCAGGGGGTTGGACTAGAATCATAGAATCATAGAATCATAGAGTTGGAAGAGACCACAAGGGCCATCGAGTCCAACCCCCTGCCAAGCAGGAAACACCATCAGAGCACTCCTGACATATGGTTGTCAAGCCTCTGCTTAAAGACCTCCAAAGAAGGAGACTCCACCACACTCCTTGGCAGCAAATTCCACTGTCGAACAGCTCTTACTGTCAGGAAGTTATTCCTAATGTTTAGGTGGAATCTTCTTTCTTGTAGCTTGGATCCATTGCTCCGTGTCCGCTTCTCTGGAGCAGCAGAAAACAACCTTTCTCCCTCCTCTATGTGACATCCTTTTATATATTTGAACATGGCTATCATATCACCCCTTAACCTCCTCTTCTCCAGGCTAAACATGCCCAGCTCCCTTAGCCGTTCCTCATAAGGCATCGTTTCCAGGCCTTTGACCATTTTGGTTGCCCTCCTCTGGACACATTCCAGTTTGTCAGTGTCCTTCTTGAACTGTGGTGCCCAGAACTGGACACAGTACTCCAGGTGAGGTCTGACCAGAGCAGAATACAGTGGCACTATTACTTCCCTTGATCTAGATGCTATACTCCTATTGATGAGGCCCAGAATTGCATTGGCTTTTTAGCTGCCGCGTCACACTGTTGGCTCATGTCAAGTTTGTGGTCAACCAAGACTCCTAGATCCTTTTCACATGTACTGCTCTCAAGCCAGGTGTCACCCATCTTGTATTTGTGCCTCTCATTTTTTTGCCCAAGTGCAATACTTTACATTTCTCCCTGTTAAAATTCATCTTGTTTGTTTTTGCCCAGTTCTCTAATCTGCCAAGGTCGTTTTGAAGTGTGATCCTGTCCTCTGGGGTGTTAGCCACCCCTCCCAGTTTGGTGTCATCTGCAAATTTGATCAGGATGCCCTTGAGTCCATCATCCAAGACTAGATTACTTTTGGGCTCCCTTTCCAACTCTACAGTTCTGTGCTTTCCCCTCTCGCTCCCACATTACTTTTTGATGAGCTCTGAGACCCCTAACATCTTCTCTGCTTTGTTAGGGATCAAACAACTTCACCTGAACACTTGTTTGACATTTAGGATTAAAGATAGTAGCTTCTAATTTGCAGCTCCTGCACAGGTCTCTTCCAGTATCCTCCCCTCCCCACTTTGTGAAGCAATTTTTTTTATTTAAAAAAAGTACATACCCATAGTAGTCATTAGTTAAGAACAAACTCAGCAGGAATTTTCAAACATGTTTGGCTAAATGTTTGATGAGCATGAGATGAGACCTTATGAGAATGCGCATTATATTTCCTTCATGTGGGGGGTGGGAGGAGAATCCTGACTTGCCTGGGATCCAGTAATTGTTTCTACATGTGCAGATAACCGTTAGCATATGCAAAATCTGTGTCCTCTCTTCTGTTCTGGGGTTGTCCCCAACCTTCCAGAGCAGGATTAGGGACTGTGGGGTGGGAGACGCCGGGGGGGGGGGGAGGAGGTGGTGGGAAAGTTCCATTGCACAATTGGACCACGTTTCATAATTACTTAACAAGTGCCAGAAGCCTAGCCTGCATGCTTAATGCATTTTTGTTTTCCTTTGGGCACTGTGGAATCATGCTGAAAAAGGCTTGACAAGCATCCATTAGATAAGATTTAGAGTACAGATGCAGCAGTTTTGTAGCACCAGCTGGTGGCACTGCTACCTCACTTTTATAGAGCTGATTAAGCCATCCTTCCTGCAACAGGGTATTCCACAATGTGAATCCTACCACAATGGTATTTAGTTATTATCACCTTTCACTAAGGCTAGAAGCAGATTGCTTATGAAGGGAGCATTAAACAAGAGTATTAAGTTTTAATGGAAAACAAAACAAATACACTTCGTTTTACATGCATTGAACCCAGACACTTCTTCCTTCCTTTCCAAATGCCCTGAAGACATTCTTAGGCAACTCGGCTCATGTCCTCTGCTAGTTGTTGGCTGCCCCAAATTTAATCCTTTTCCTTCTTTTTCTTCTTGTCACCACTGCGAGCCTGCGGCATACAAGAAGGGAGAATGTAATTTGGAGCTGAGGAACATTTCACAATCCCTCAACCTTCTTTCGCCTTTCATTATGATAACCACATTCCAAAAAGCAGAGGCTTCTGTTAGTTCAAGCAGGGATATTTTTTATCAGGGACAGTTTTCATCCTCGCTGCCATTGCTTCTCTTTTCTTCAGAGGCAGAAGTGCTTTTGCACCTGAGACCACACAGTTTCTCACTGTATCTGCCCAGAGCATGCAAATACAGGGTGATGATAGCAAGAAGGAGGGCAGTCTGGCCCATCCACCAGCCAAAGAAGGAGCAATTATAGGAAACTGCTTACTCCCCCCCTTCCCTGCTAGAAAAAACACATTCAGCTTCAGCTGCCAGTTGCACTGGGACTTCAAAGGAATCATCTGCCAACTGACCATCCATTGGTAACAGGACTTAAAAGTGTGGTGTGGGTTTCAGGCTTGTAAATGTCCATACATTATTGAAGTCTACTGTAAGCCGCCTTAACGATCTTCCAATCTTAAAGTGGGATATAAATATTCCAATACTTCTCACAGGGGTACTAAAACCTTCATTTGGTTTGTACCACTTCAGACTGCCATTGGGTGTGGATGGGGGTGTTATGTGATTGTGTGATACCTCGGTTTACGAACAGCCCTGTTTACGAACTATTCAGTTTACGAACTCCACAAAACTGGAAGTAGTGTTCCGGTTTGCGAACGGAAGCCGAACAGTGGAAGGGCACCGGTGGTGGGAGACCTCATTAGGGAAAGCACGCCTTGGTTTAAGAACAGGTTTTGTTTAAGAGCGGACTCCAGGAACGGATTAAGTTCGTAAACCAAGGTACCACTGTACAATGAAACCCCCACAGCATAAACTGGCATGTCAAGGAGATGGGTGGTTGTTGATACCATGGAGTGCCTTGCAACATGAAAGTCCACAACTGAAGTCTGAAGTGGTACAGCCCAGACAAAGGTTTACGTCCTCTCTGAAGGACTAGACTGTGTCTGCTGCTAGTACATTGGCAGTGAATACAGGCAGGGCTGCCAATTAGCTTTCCAGCAGGCCTACTGAAAGGCAAACATTTAGAAAGTGGCTCTTTCTTTAACTTGGATAAAAAGTGGGGGGGGGAGTGTTGTCTGCTAAAATAATATGGGACCAAATAATAATCAGCCTCAGCCTCAGCCTCAGCATCGGCATCCCTACCTACCTGCCAGCAGCTGAACCCCTTCCCATTCAGTCTACCAAGCATCTCATTACCTTTTCAGAATCGCTGTCTGAGCTGCTGCTGCTGTCATCATCTTTCCCATCATGCTAGGGAGCAAAAACCAAGCGATTAGACCAGTGGTGGTACAGAACACAGAACTTGGCAGTCACAGGAACATACCATTGTTCCACCTGGCTTGCATCATCTAGCCTGACTTACAGCAGCTCTTCAGAGTTTGAGACAGGGGTCTCTCCCAGCCCTACCCTGGACATGCCAGGGATCAGATCTGCAGCCTTTGGCATACAAACCGTCTGCTCTGCCTCTGAGCCACAACCATCCCCCTTGCTTAGGGGAAAAAACAGCTTTGTATATACAGTAGAAGGTATCAGATTCAATCCTGGTATCTCTAGAAAGGCCTGGGAAAGACTCATGGGGAGCTGCTGCTAGTCAGTATATTTGTTTCTTCAATTTCTTGCTCACCCTTCCCTATAAGGACACAACAACAACATAAATTTAAACAAAAGCAACCATTTAAAAACCACCAACCCCAAACAGCCATACTTTTCAGGCAGGTCATAAAAACAACATTCCTTGGCTGTCAGGGTAAGGAGATGCATTGTCAGCCTATGCTGAAAGCTATACAGCATCACGGACTGGGTGGATGCAGTCATAATGGGGGAAAAGAGAAACCAGAGAACCTAAACTGACAGATCCATCCATCCCTACCATCACAAGACATATGGCAAATTTGGGGGATTTTTTTTAAAAAAATGTGGCCGATAAATGGATGGGAATCTTTTGAGATTTTGAATCCTCGACATTTGCCAAAGCTTACATAAATGAACAAAGCCTACTGCATCTTGCAGGATGAGAAGGTAACTGAAAGAAGGCACCTGGGGCCGAATTAGCATCTTGACTTCAATGCATGTCGATGCACTTTGTGCCAGTCATGGACTTCTATGCTGTGATGTGGGAACATGAAAGTGGATTCTAAAGGGTAAAAAAAATCACCGCACTCTCATTCTAGCCTAAAAGCTCACTCATCATGCGCCCTTTGAAAGATGCTACACACCCATCCAGCTGTTTTCCCCCTACATTTCGCAACAGCGTCTTTCTATCTCCCTATTAAATGCTGAGTTCTGTAGGCATTTTCCCCGATTAAAAATTTCCCTTTAGTTATCCAAGCTGGGCCCAGGTTGACTCACATACAGAGCAGGGAGGAAACAGTCAGCTGAACTGCATTGCTTTCAAAGGTCTTAAGAAAACAAGTGATGAATCATAGCCAAATAGTGATTGTGGCATGTTATGTCTTGCAGACCCACTGTGTGGGAGCCTCACAGTTAGATAAACAATTCTTCTCAGCAGTAGTTTACCAAGATGCACAATCTGAGCCAGTGTCTGTAAAAGATTATGAGTTTTAAGCCTTCTTTCATAGCCTCCAGTCATAGACCTTTATTCCAAACTTTCACTACCCTTCACATTCCTATATCTTTCTTCTTGCCACCTACACTCACATTGGCACAGAGAATATAAAAGTGAAGCAACTACTGTATACATCTTTTTGAAGTGTTACACAAATAAATGAATTTCCTGATCTGCATAAATGTATTCCTCGTGGAGGATGTTGGTAGAATGTGGTCAGTCCTTTGCGGCCACTGACATCACCTATAATTTGAACTCCCATTGTAGGACAAATTCTCACAAACTGCAACATCATGTAATTAATTGGATCAATGTAGCTTTACAGGAGCAGCTGCTGCCTCAGAGTGATAAATAGTTCTGCCATCTGAGCAGAAGAAACGAGCTTGCAGTAGCTCTGATGTGATGATTTCATATGGCACAGACAGTGAATGAGCTATTAAAGATTTCCATGCTACTTCATAAAATTGGATTGTGTTTACTGTATTGATTTTTGCAAATTCATGCATCAGGATATACAAAGCTAGCCAATGACCATCATTCTGTGGGGCATTTGGAATGGTTTTAAAGAGTACTAGTAAACTAAATTTTATTCACACTAGATACACTGAAATTAATGAACATGACTAAGGTCCATTACTTTCAATGGGTCTATTCTCACTGGCGGAGGAAGCTGGGGGCAGGGGGAACGCACCGTCCCCAGCAGCGCAATCCTGGTGGGGTGCCATCGCAGCTGCCCCCCTGTCCATGCTGGGCACCACACCCCAGCAGGCAGCAGGCCACGCCCCCAGAACGTGCACCACACCCCCGGGATGAACGCCAGCCACACCCACGCCTGCTCTCCACCCCCCCAGTGCTGGAGCATGAAACTCCGCCACTGTCTACTCTAAGTAAAACTTACTTGAAGACCACTCAAAGGCTTTCAGGACATTGTACTGAGGAATCATCTGTCTCACCAAATGAAAGAGACTGAAGGTGTGTATGCATAACCATTTACTCCAATTCCAGTGCTCTCTCACCACTGATGTTTGAAGCCATGTGCACCCTGACAATCACCACAGTCTGTATCTATTTTGTAGTTTGATGAAACCACCTTACATCAGACTTCAGAGTTAAGCTGAGATGTGTGCATTTGAGACATTCGCAGGTGACAACTCATGAACAGGTGACAGCTTCACTTGAGGGACTTGAAGGGAACCAAGCAAGTAAATGTGCATTGGGTGGAGACATGCCTCCCAACTGTAAGAAAAGCCACCTCTAATTCAGCATCCTTTTTCTTACCTTTTTCTCCTTTTTCTTTTTCTTATCTTTCTTCTCACCCTCTTTGTGGCTTTTTTCCTTTTCTTTTTCCTTTTCCTTCTCGTCTCTCCCAAACACTAATGGTTATGAGATGAAAGAAAACAGAGAAACAGGAAGCAGAGATGCTGTGACGTTTACAAAGTGAAGTCAAAGATCCATCACCTTCATCTGCATTCCCCAGCCAAGAAAACTTCCAAACACTATTGCAGTGGTAGCCATCCTTGCTTTTGCCAAGTGTGCCACACTTGGCTTTGCAAGTCTGCTTTTCTGCTATAGGCACTTTACCAAAGGCCCTTCAGCCTTCAGTCTAGGAATGCCACAAACCACTGTTGTGTATGCCACAACTTGGTCATCCATGCTTTTTTGCAAAGATGGGGAACCTATAGCTCACCAGGTGAAATGCCCTGCTGCTGCCCACACGATGGGGGAACAAGCTCGTAAGGAGTCTCCCTGCTAGGTGGTGGGGGAAATCCATTCCAGATCCCCTCCCTCCCACCGGCCAAGGGGTTTTGCATATCCTTTCAGGAGAAGCCAGTGCAAAGCCCTACCACGCTACCATGTGGTGGAACCCTTCTCGCTGACTAGTAGGAGGGGAGGCATTCCACAGAGCTTTGCCACCAGTCCCTCTCTGCCCCTAGAGGCTGGGAAGACCAACGGCAAAGCTGGGCAACGGAATAGGGTAATGCTGCCTGAGAGGTGCTGCCTGAGGCAACTGCCTCACCCAGCTTCATGTACAGTAACTGCTTCTTTGTTAACAGAAGTATTCTCAGTATAGATACAAAGCAAAAGTGACCCACCTTTTAAAATGGAAGACATTCTTCAGTCGTGATGCATCTGCATTCCCCAGCCAAGAAAACTTCCAAACACTATTGCAGTGGTAGCCATCCTTGCTTTTGCCAAGTGTGCCACATGCCAAGGCTTTGCAAGTCTGCTTTTCTGCTATAGGCACTTTACCAAAGGCCCTTCAGCCTTCAGTCTAGGAATGCCACAAACCACTGTTGTGTATGCCACAACTTGGTCATCCATGCTTTTTTGCAAAGATGGGGAACCTATAGCTCACCAGGTGAAATGCCCTGCTGCTGCCCACACGATGGGGGAACAAGCTTCGTAAGGAGTCTCCCCTGCTAGGTGGTGGGGGAAATCCATTCCAGATCCCCTCCCTCCCACCGGCCAAGGGGTTTTGCATATCCTTTCAGGAGAAGCCAGTGCAAAGCCCTACCACGCTACCATGTGGTGGAACCCTTCTCGCTGACTAGTAGGAGGGGAGGCATTCCACAGAGCTTTGCCACCAGTCCCTCTCTGCCCCTAGAGGCTGGGAAGACCAACGGCAAAGCTGGGCAACGGAATAGGGTAATGCTGCCTGAGAGGTGCTGCCTGAGGCAACTGCCTCACCCAGCTTCATGTACAGTAACTACTTCTTTGTTAACAGAAGTATTCTCAGTATAGATACAAAGCAAAAGTGACCCACCTTTTAAAATGGAAGACATTCTTCAGTCGTGATGCAGCTCTTGCCAGGAGGAAATGTAGATGTATTAGTATTTAAACCTGTTTCCTAAGGCCACACAATGCACATTCCCAGTATATCAAGGGGACTGGTAAGGATTTGGAAGGGGTAGGAGAAAAAGACTGTGAAAAGGTTATTGGAGGCAAGGGGATTTTTACATGGGAGACAAAATATTTCTGCCATGGGGTTGCTCCAAATACCCTGATTTAAATTGTCTTCAGGAGACTTGCCTTGAGAGAGTATATATCATCCTAGCACATACAAAAGAATCTGGTTTTGCCTGTTATTTGGCCTCACCCACCTCCACCACTATATAACATACCCGGACAGAGTAGCCAGCACTGGATAAGCAAATTGACTAATTTTGTGTAGCAAAAGAGGAAAAGTTTAGTTCCTCCCGATTCCCCAGCTAAGGCTGAATAAACCAGCAAAACCACTACAGAGGAACTCAGGCACATAAAGTCAATGCAAATTTCACCATCCTGCATATGCTTATTTTCCTATGCAAATCTGGCAAGCCCTAACTTTTACTTCTCCTGTAGATTTGTCTCTGGGTGAAGTCTTAATCCACAACCTATACCGCAAGGCAAAAATGTCCCAAACCTTAGTTCAGTAGGTGATATGTAATGCAAACAGCCTAAAATCAATAGACTCCTTCAAAATGCATGTGCAAAATATAGTGTCTTCTATAAGCACAGAATGAGAATCAAGTTAAATTTTCTTAATGGGAGAAAAGGAAAGCAGGTAAAGGAAAGCAAGCTTACCTGGTAGGGAAGAAAGAAAAGCAGCCTTGCCTCTCCAATGTTCTTTTGACCTATGGAACTTCCGTCCCTGCCGCCTTGTCATTTGTGCTCTCTCCTCCCATATTGCAACATGGACAAGAAGAAAAACTTGTTCCACCCACCCCAGGCACCACACACAATCAGGGAGTGTCCTTTTCGTAGATTCTGTCCTTGCTCAGGCAAACCTCATTCTGTAATCCTGGCATACCTTCTACCAGAAAGGTCTGGTTCAAAGCAGTTAGAACAATTCTGCGTCACATTTGAGATATCTTTCCCTTATTGCTCCACAGTTAGAATTAAGCCACTGAATCAAATGGTGGTCAGCTGCAGGGCAGCCCAATACTATTGGCCACCTGAGTCAAAGGACCGTCTTGCATCTCCCCACTCCCCATTCCACGTACAAGAGCTGATTGCAGTGATAGTTGAATCTTGCTAACCTTAAGGGATAGCAGTCTCCTAAGGTCAGCAGGCTGGTTGAAGGAGTGTAGTGTAAGCTGCAGGTCTCAGCACTGGCTTCCTCACTCTGTGATGGGTGAAATCTTCTCTTGATTCAAGAACTTGTTTTTTATTTATCAACTTTGCGGGGGGATGTCCCAGAGTTCTCTCCTGGCTCATAGAGTTTATTCACTCATTTCATTCTTATCCCACCCTCCCTCTAAGAACTCAGGGTAGCATATAAGATATATACCCCTCCAGCTTTGATCCACAAAACAATCCTGCAAGATAGGTCAGGATGAGAGTGGCTGGTCCAAGATCTGAACTAAGGATAGAAACATCTACACATCTCTGGGGCATGTAATACAGTCGTACCTTGGAAGTCGAATGGAATCCGTTCCGGAAGTCCGTTTGACTTCAAAAACGTTCGGAAACCAAAGCACAGCTTCTGATTGGCTGCAGGAAGCTCCTTCAGGAAGCTGTGGAAGCCCCGTTGGATGTTCAGCTTCCAAAAGAACGTTTGAAAACCGGAACACTCACTTCCAGGTTTCGATCGTTCAGGAGCCAATTTGTTCAGGAGCCAATGCGTTCAAGATCCAAGGTATGACTCTATCAGCATCTTTAAAGGATTGTTCCCTGCAGGCCATAAACAAACAAATATTCTGAGCTAGGCAACTTCACTGTGGACTTTGTTGTCTGCTCTAGGTGGCTGCTGCTCCCGCGACAGGTATCCCATCTGTGCAAGTGACTTGATGGCATGTTCCTCTTGTGTTTCACTTGCAGCTTCTTTGCTTTGCAAAGGCAACCTGCCTATTAGGGTCCAAAGCAGTAATAAAGTAGAAGCCAGAGGAAGAAGCCGTTATGTTGCTTTCTGCCCAGAAATACCACTTCATTATGAAACGTTAGGATGGAGAACTAGGAATAATGTAGTATACTATTTTATTATTAACAAAAGGCACCTTTGGGGTGTGGATTTGTATGCAGTAGTATTACTATTCCTAGAATGACCTCATTCAAAACCACAAACTGTAGTCAACACACCCATTCCTTTTCAGTATCACACCTACCACCTTCCCTCCAGGGTCACTATTTATCTGATGATCTGCCTTTCCATGCAGATAAATAGGTGATGTGTTGCCCACTGCTAGCATGGGGGAAATTTTTTATTATACACCGACTTCTGTTGTCACATTAGGGAAAACACAAGCGCCTGTATATTTCCCTTTGTGGGGCAGACAGTTGCTTAGATGACATTTGAATCGGCAAACTACCCTCTCCTCCTTCCTGGGCACCAGGCTGCCAGTCTCAATTCCCTCCTCCTCCATCTGAAGGTGCTTTTTTGGGGAGGGAGAAATACGTTTAGGGAGAATGGAGACCCACTTGCAAATCTCCATCATCTCTTCTAATTTGACCATCATAGAAAGCCTAACCACAAGTACATGTAACACATGTGTTTCACAGGGGCAGACTTTAGTCTTTCAAATTTCAATGGCACCCTGTGCAAGGCCAAAACTCGGCACCCTCCCACGTCTTGCCTTCCATCCTGATCAATTCACTATGTCATATTTTTGATATCCTGCAGCACCCGCTAGGCTCAACACCCAGTTCAGAACTCATCGTACTGCCCTAAATCCGCCTTTGTGTTTCACTTTCACTACATTTTACTTTTAGAAAGTGCTTCTAGTCTTACCATTTGTTCTCGGCACTCTGAGTATTGCCAGTTGCTTGCCTGGCTGATGAAGCCCACACTGTCAGCAGATGTTCATAACTGACGACATTCATGTCATTCATTGTAGAAAATGTGGCCAGTAGCCATATTGTTTGAGGGGCCAATCATTCACAACACTTCATTTCTGTTTCAGGTTAGGAAAAATCACTTAACGTTTTTGACAGCTCCGTAATATGACATGAATTCAATTTTTTCTCAGCTGTTGACAGTGGATAGATTTCCATGGAATCTACTTAACAGGCTTATTAAATCTGATGCATCTGGTCCTGCTTAGCACTCCTGTCCTTTTTTCTTTAAGTATTACATGCTGTACTTAGTAAGTCGCATACTAAACATACCAAGCTGCCCCTTTAATTTTGGAGCAGTCGTTAAAACAAAAGGGAATGGGCTTGCTTCCCTCTCCCCATTCTGATGTGACTAAGTGTGTACAGGTAGGAAGCAAGGCTTGGGGAAAGATTGTGGACAGCTGGCCACGTCAGAAGCCATTGTTGTTTCAGGCGGTACCAGACCTCCAGCAGGGATAGGATGAGTGTGCGAATGCACAGAAGCGACAAGCAAATAGTGCTACGGAATTGCTTTTATTAGCTGCATAATAGAAAAGAGATGTTATGTGGCCTGCAAATGGTACAATTATATTTGCATTGGGGAGATATTTCCTGCCCAGGAGCGGGGAACTTTTGACCCTCCAGATGATGTTGGACTCCAACTCCCATCAACCCAAGCAAATATGGCTAATGGTCAGCGATGATAGGCGTTCTAGTACAACCACAGGTTCCCTATCCCTGCTTTAGAATAGCACGTTCTGTCTTCTTAAATTCAAATTTACATGGCTGATATCGCAGACATACACAAGCCTATGTTTGCTCAATCCCTGCTCAACATGCATCAGGTTTCCTGTTTTATGGAACCACCTTACTACTTCTATAACATATTTGTATGTGCATTTACTTTCAGATCAGGGCCTGCTTTTGAAAATGGTGCATACCTAAAACCCAGAGTCAACATATTCCTATGCTTTCTCACAGTATCAGGTAAGCAAGTCTCCATGACTCGAGGGATGACATAATCCACTTTTTAATAGGCAGGTACAAGCAGGTTCAGGGATGTGGGTGGCGCTGTGGGTTAAACCACAGAGCCTAGGACTTGCCGATCAGAAGGTCGGTGGTTCGAATCCCCGCGACAGGGTGAGCTCCCGTTGCTCGATCCCTGCTTCTGCCAACCTAGCAGTTCGAAAGCACGTCAAAGTGCAAGTAGATAAATAGGTACCGCTCCAGCGGGAAGGTAAACAGCGTTTCCGTGTGCTGCTCTGGTTCGCCAGAAGCAGCTTAGTCATGCTGGCCACATGACCCGGAAGCTGTACGCCGGCTCCCTCGGTTTGTAAAGCAAGATGAGCGCCGCAACCCCAGAGTCGGTCACGACTGGACCTAATGGTCAGGGGTCCCCTTGCCTTTACCTTTACAAGCAGGTTCAACTACTTAAATGTAGAGGCTTAGGGCCACTTCCTAGACCCAGGCCCTGCTTAAAATGATGGATTACAATAGGTTTAAGCATGCTTAACTCTCAGTTAGATTGTAGCTATGGAGGGAATGGCTAGAAACAGAGACAATTGGTCAATACTGGAAACTGAGAATATCTATATTATTTTCAAAGCATTTACCGATAATTTAATGAACACAAGACCATGCTGAATCAGGCCAATGGCCCATCCAGTCCAGCATCCTGTTCTCACAGGGGGCAGACCAGATACCTGTGGGAAGCAGGACATGAGGCACAATGGAACTCGGCTCACCTGCGATTCCCAGCCACCAGTATTCAGAGGCACACTGCATCTGGCAGTGGAGGTAGAACACAGCCCTTGAGGCTAGAAGCCATGCATAGCCTTGTCCTCCATGAACTGGGGTAATCCTCTTCTAAAGGCATCCAAGTTGGTGATCCTCACTGCTTCTTGCGGAGAGTGAGTTCCATAGCTCGACTATGCAATGTATAAATAAGTCCTTTTGTTTTATCGGTGCTGAATCTTCTGACATTCAGCTTCAATGTTCACAAGTTCCGGTGTTAGGAGGGAGCAAAAATATTTCTCTATCCGCTTTCTCCAACCCATGTAATGTCACCCTCTTACTCACCTTATCTCTAAACTAACAAGTCCCCAAATAACGCATCTTTTCCTCTTAGGGGAATTGTGTGTTTTTTCAACCTATGGTCTTAAGATGCAATTTACTTCCACTTATCTTTTCAATGTATTTTTTATATAAAAATGTTTGTGTGTGTTATTTTCACTAATGTGTGAATTTATCTTAGTATACATATGTTTGTACACATCACTGGCATTGCAAAACGCAGAGAAGTTTGAATTTGGAGGCTGGATGTTTTTTGGTTCACATATTGATTTGGATTGGCGCAAATCAAGTAAGCTCACCTTTAAGCATGAACGGAGTTGAACTTTTCCTCCAGTAAAGGCATTAAGATTGTGGGAACAGCCTTTAAAGTAAATTCTGATTGGCTACAGAGACTGACATCCGAGATGCAGCACCTCTCACAACTGGACAAAATAGCTGTCCCTCTCCATCGAGGGGTCAGCTTTTACTGCTCTCAAATCCCCATAAATAGATGAAGTCTCATGTCAGTATTTCTTTTCTTCCTATAATCATCAAAGTCACTCTCAGAATCTCTTCTACTCTGAAACTCAATACTCTCTTGAAGCAAGTAAAATATAAATAGAAGGTTTAAAGAAGGTTTATTGTTAAGCTAGAATTTCACAAAGCTTTCTTACGTCCTGTGTCCTCTGGGCATTAGGAAGTATAGTCAAAGCTCCTTACTGTTTTAACGTTTCTAGAGCTGGGATGAAGATAGGACTCCTTGGATGTAGGACTTGACAGCTAGAATATTCAGTCTAGGATTAGCCTATGGTGGCAGACCATTACAATTCTTTTCTGTGAGTATCTTTATACAAAAAAGAGCCCCAACCACCCAATAACACCAGCTAGCATAATTCAGGTCCAAGCTTCAATCTTATACAAACTTATTCAAGAGCACACTTCATTGAACCCAGTGGGACTTGTCTCCAAATGCATAGGATCACACAATGCAACATGTGCAACTTAACTTTCTTTGCAACTAGCTGAATATTTTACTGAATATGCTGAAGGATGGAAATCTATAACCATTTTTCTTTAGGGGAAAGATACCCTTAGGACCACCTCCTGAGTTAGCAGGAGACGTTTGCAACACCATCCTTCCTTAGCCCTGCTCATGCCCTTCCAAAACTGAGAATGAAGCTAGTCTATCATATTTCCTTCCTGCTACTTATATAACTTAACTCCACGCTCATTTAATCTGAATACATTTGGCAGTGCAATTTCCCTCCTACTGTGTCCAAGCAAGGATTTGTTTTTAATTCCTGGAGGCAGCAGGATACTGACCACTCTTCCCTGGGGGTGCAAAACATTTTCTAGTGCTCTATATTTTATTTGAACAAGATTTAACAAGGAAAACTGCTGGAGAGAACACACCATTATTCCATTTGAATAAATACACTCTCTTTTTTTCTTTATGAGTACAGCAGCAGGAGGGATGATGCCTGCTAAGCCAGAGCATAATACAATTCCACACAGGAAGAGAAGAAAAATGATTTGATCTTGTTGATGTTTATTCACAACTGCCATGGCTATCTCCTGTTCTTGGCACCGATTTACAGTTTTACTTTTTCTCTGCGGAAGGATAACCATGAAAAAGGAGTAGGTGGGAATGCAAAACTATGTGGGAAGCAGATGGTAGCAATAATTGGATGCTTCACAACAGCAGGAAACAAACAGTAGAGTGCACCAAAGAAATAAATTAGCATTACTGCTACAGAATAGCTAGTTAATAAATAGTCTGAACTTGGAAGAGCAAAGTAGCCCAGTCTGGGACTGGGAAATCCCAAAGAGGCTGAGAAGATCCCCCCGTTAGAAACATATTTGCTGTATCATGAAGTAAGAGTTTTAGAGACCTGCTGTTGCATGTTCCCACTATTAAAAAAGCAAGAGGAAAACACTCAAAATGTGTTGGGAAATCATGTTAAGTGACTGCAGAATTACACCTAATGTGCAGGGGATGGAGGAGAGAAGAGGGGGTGACAACTAGTTCCTCCCCCCCCCTCCTCCTGGTGCCTTGGGAGAAGCCTTATAATTTCTTGAACAACTAGCAAGGCTCATTACACTACAGATCTTGGATGTTGCTTGAAGATTTTTCCATTAAAATTATTAATGCCTCTTGGGAATTGTTTTCCCTTTCCTGCAATTTAACAATACATCCCCCTTTGTTTGTGTTTACAATGAAAAACACAGTTGCTGTGAGTCATAGTTTATGGAAAGCTGTCAGTTTCTGCAAAACTCTCTGTTCACAGGTTCCAGAGTCAGTTTATCGAGCATATATACTATCATCTCTCTTTATATTTCAAAACACCATATGCAGGACTGCCAGACTATGATACATAAGACTGTTACCTGCTACTACTTTGCAGGATAAAGCACATGTAAGGGAACAAGCTTTAGACCAGTACCAACAAGTGTGATTCACCTTTTGTTGACCCATCCTGGAATAAGCATGCCTGCATCCTACAGACAATGGATAGATAGCCTGGTTTTAATGGAAAACTTTCTCTTTATTGAATCACAGAACAACATTTATTCTCTTTATATAATATAGTGCAGATTTCACAAACATACATATTTAAAATATAGATTCTTTGGTAGAAAAAGAATCTGTCCCAAACAATAGAACATTTATTGAAAGCTGAAAGATGTTTGCCCTGATGTAGCCACCATTTTGAGTGTGCTGCTGCAACGCTGCTTTTCTGAGTAACAGGGTATGCCAGTAGTCAGAGGATTTAGAAATCAGAGCAGTTTGAAGGCTGAAAAAGATACTAAAAATATTACAACAAACCAGGGGTAAGCAACATGGTGCCCTCCAGATGTGGTTGGACTGCAACTCCCATCATCTCTATTGGGGATGTTACCCAACAACATCAAGAGGGCACCATGTTCACTACCCTGGCAATAGACCAATCCTGATAAAGATGGTGAAAAATTCACTCTTAAAATAAGAGAAAAGTTGGGGGTTGGACTAGATGACCCTTCCAACTCTACAACTCCATGATACCATTTCAAACGGCTGTATCCAATGCTAGTCCTACTCAGAGTAGACCCATTGAAGTTAATAGATATGTTAACTTAAGTTCATTAATTTCAATGAGCAAGACTTAATTGGATGCAACCCAAGCCTTTTCCCTTACTAGTCAAGCACTCATTTTATTCTCTAAGTGGGGCAAATCATAGCAAGTTGCTTGGTTGTTTAATACAAAAATATTCAGGGTGTTCCTCCCAAACTGCAAGCACAAGGGGGGGGGGAGGAAAACCTTCCCATAGCCATGCAAGATATAAACAATGCAAAGTAATAATTCTATAAAAATAATTCTGTCCTGAAAGTCTTGGGGCTTGTCCATATGAATCAGCAACAAACCTTTGCCTAGGCATCTAGGCAGGGATCCCACACTCCTGAATACAATAGCGCAAGAGCATTCAGCCACTTAAGATAGGGCCAAGAGGAACAAAATACAGCCGCCAACTATGTACATTTAGCCTATATTAGCTTTTTATTAGCTAGTTCTCTTTGAGCTACTTTTCATCGATCACTGAAAAGGTAGACATTCCAAGTATATTGACCAAATCTGGTCTAAGTTTCTGTTCTATCCAAACAAGTAAGCTCAAAGAAACAGTGCCACTTGAAGAGCGATTTTTTTAGAATTCCCAATTTGTCTCTAAGGTTTCATTAATAAAAGAAGCAAGGCTAGGAAGATAAGGGGCTGATCCAGGCATTTAATGAAATCTCTTTAAAACACTCATACTTGTAGTGTAACCCCATGTTTGTTCACTTGGAAGGAAGTCACACTGTGTCCTATGGAACTTACTCCCGTGTAACTGTGCCCAGTATTGCAACCTTAATGATTCTTTCTCCAGGAACCTCTGGGGAAAAACATTAACCGACACAGTGACAAAGCCGCCCCATACTTTGAACTTGCAACGTTGTCTGCACTTTATCCTCCTCGCTAGCCTAGGCAGATAAATAATGGCCATTCAGCAAGTTATTACTGGTCAGTGAAACACAGTCAAAACGTTTGTCTTTTGTTACAAGCTCCTATTATTTTGCTGAACCGGGGAGGTGCCGTTTATGCCGGCTGGGGCACTGCTCTAGGTGCAGAGATTTGATTTATTGCCGTGTTAACTCTGTACGAGCCTTGATGTGAGAAATCTGTAGAACTGGCAGGAGTAGCTGGAAGGCATCTTGGATGTAAGAGGCACTGTTTGAAGCCTGCAAAGAAGAACATAAAAGGGCAATCACGCTGGGGGGCCCTTTCCATAAAGAGTGCCTGCTAATTCTAGAGGTTAGCATTTGTTCAGCATCTCACAACCACTGCTCCCCCAATCAACCACTTCAATGGAATAATGGGACATTATGCAACAAAAGGCATCTAGGAGAAAGGGCTGAGATATAGCCATGTCCCATCTGGTAGCCTACAAACCACGTTCACTGAAGGGCTATGCCCACCCTCCACCCACTGTCATTTGAGCAGATAGTTCATATACTTTCTACATCTGCAATCCATAAGAGTTTGGGGAGTATTAAAGATTATTTTTGTTCCAAAAATCCAGATTAAAGTTTTACAGCATAACCTTCCACAGTCTAAATGAGCAGTCAGAAATATTTCTCAACATTTTATCCTCTACTTGCCACCCAATCAGCACAACAGAAAGATTACACCACACTTAGCTCTTTCGGTAATGAGATTTCAGAAACTAGTTACATAATATGAACCAGATGCTGTAACTTTATGACAATATTCACACACACACAAGATTTCTCAACTTATTCTTTCTTCACTCCAGTCATCAGCCAGCCCACTTCAGACAAAGTCATAGCCAGTAAAAATATACATTGTTTAACTAGCTAAAATTTTCAAGTACATTGCAACTGACCTCCAAAAACACTCCAGTGATTAAAGGGTTAAGGACATCTGCCTTCTCTTCCACCTGGAAAGATTGGATATTTTAGGTTGCATTACCAAACACAGCACAAAACCTCTTGAATATTATCTGATCTCCAGTCTAAAAATGATTTAAAGATACACTGATTAGATTAGCTGATAATCCATCTCACATTATTTGAAAATGCAGCTCTGATGTATTTCACATCAAAAACATGTTACATACAAAGTAAAGTCAGTTTCTCAGATGAGCTTGCAAAAATTAAAACAACAGCTGTAATACTGGGGCATCACGCTACTTGAGAGAGAGAAAGGTCAGTATGAACCAAGTGTACTGAGGGGGCTACCAGAAATTATGAATAGGAAGTTCATAATATGCAGTCAATGTCAGCCGCCAAAGGAGGGGGGGCATAGAAACCAAGAAGATATCTCTAAAATAAGCATAGTGCAAAATGGACATTTTCCACAGACGTTGCTAAACAACAGTTTGCAAAATACTGTTACCTCACTAAGTCATATTATGAAATTAATGGACTTGAATCCAATGATTTTAGTTGGTCTACTCTATGAGTATAACTAACTAGATTATCACCCTATGGATTTTTCCCCTTCTTTTCTTTTTTTTAAAAACCTTTTAATAAAGAGAGAGTAAAGTAAAGTCCAGAACTGACTGCTGCAGCCACAAGAGACCATAGGCTGCCTCCTCTTTTAAAAAAGCAAAACAAAGGGAAATCCAGCTTTTCAGATGACTGAAGTAAGATCATACCATTGTCCAACAACTCTTTAAACTTGACTTCTTACCCCAGCAGCTGTTAAGCACGTCACGAAGCCTTTAGATACAGCCGATAGTTCTTTGCACAACACAATGGTCATTCTAAGAAAGAACAAACAGCATACAGTAAACACAAATTGAAAGAAAATTTCCTCCTTGAATGCAATGCTTTTCAATAACTGCTTTTCAAAACCAAAAGTGATTTGATGAATTAACATTCTTTTTGAAAAAAGATATGAAAGAATCAGCCTCCTTCAAGCTTAATTCAAGCCTGTATTCAAGAGACAGATGGTGGAGGGAACAGGGATTTTTCAAATAATCTGTCAGCATCACACTCTTACACTCTGGGGCGGGGGGGGGCTGATCTGGACATCACTATTCTGTCTCATCGATCCACCACTTTGGGTGGTGAGATAAGTATAAAGTCCCCTGTGGAGTGAAAACAAGCACATGGCCCCAAAGGAGTGGTGTGATCTCCTGGCTCCACAAGCAAGCAGGAAGACAAGTCAGAACTTCGGCACCTTTGCAGCAGGAACACAACTCCATCTACACCATTGCGCAGGTTGCTACTGATTGGATTTGAAATTATTTTTGTGTATGTTTTTGTTGTTTACCGCTTCTAGATGCTTTGTGAGAAGCGATTCACAAATGAAATAGATGGAAGTATGAAGCAATCTGCCTCCTCCCTGTTTTCCCCACCCCTAGTTCTGTGCTCCAGACTGCAGCATCCATGGCCGCATTTGATTTTTTAAAATGCAGAGGAAAACAACACATAACCAGGGGCAGGATCCAATGCACTTATTCCATTGGAATAAAAATTTATGCATGCAGAAGGGAACTTTCCTCCACTCCCCAAATCTGCTCTGGAACAGATTAAAGGAGTGCATGGGAGGAGGAAAGGGTGGAAGCTCCATTACACAAGCAAAAATCTTTGCATCAACAGAATGAGTGGTGTGGAGCTACTTTGGATACAGCTCTTGAGTATAGTTTGGCCTAATAGTTCCCTAATATCAAAATCAAGAGAAATGGAACAGTAGTATCAAAGCCAGCAAGAAGGATTCTACTTATCATCTTATACACAGCAGAGTGGCCAAGAGTGATCAGCCTTACTGTGAAAGAGCTTTGGCCCGATCTAGGGCTAACACCTCTTGCTCCTGCCCGTGAAGAACCAGAGCTGCAGTTTTGTGGAACGCTTCGATAGAATAAGCTGTCAGTTCAGCCAGGCTCCTGATCGCACATGCGTGAATTTCCTGCAGAAGTTAGAAAAAGATGTCAGTCTCTCGTCTTTAAAAAAATAAATAAATTATTATGTTACTTTCCCACCCAATTCCATCCCGCAGGCTTCATGCAGAGATTGTAACTGCAAGCATGAAGCATCATGCTGTCAGCTATGAGCTTAGATTATATAAGCGCATTGACAGCTAGACAACAGTGCAATATTCCTTCGGTTAAAATGATTACCTCTACTGATTTTTTATCCTCTTGCTCAGCATCCCCGGAGCCCACTTGCTGGTCTCCTTCGTTCGGCGTTTCTTGTTTTGCAGTTCGCGCGCTGAGGCTCTTCGTCAATTCATGAGCGGAGTTCCTTGCCTGTCCGAGAGGAAGCAGAAACACACCAGCCCATCACCAAAAGGAGAGGCAGGACCATCCCGATCATGCTGCACATGGAGGAAGTACAACTGCCTCTGGAATGAAACTACGCAACGGGGAACATAATTTTTGTTGCATTAACACCCTGCAGTTGTTCTAACCTAATTTTGACGTGCTGATTTCATATCTGAAGTTGGTTTTGTTCTGTAAGCTCTAGTTTTTTTGCAATTCATGTTTTTCACTTTTCACCATAATCTTTGTTTTTCACAGTGCAAGAATTCAGTATTTTATTAAACACATAGCCAAAGTAGTACAATATGAGTATAAATTTCAGTGACTTATATAGCATTGAACGTGACATGTATAGCATTGAAAATGACATGTATATCTATGTACAGTTGGAGGTATGCAAAAAAATTTATTCCCTTGGGATACACAGTATACTGGGGAACAATTTTTTTTTCATTTTCTTTTGCATGAAATTTTTCAACTGTTCTTATATGTTCTTTCAATGCTGATTTCAAATCTGAAATGATTTCCGTGTACATGCTGTAGTTATCTTTCAATTTCCAACTCTTGCCGATATGTCATATTTACACTGGGGATAAGTGGACACTGACATGTTGATCTACCCTAACCACGTGGTAATTATTGTTTTGCAAACCTAGTTTTTCTTTATTTTTACAATTTTGTAACCTAAATATTTGTATTTTTCAGATCGGACCATGGCTTCTTCAAGTAGACAAAAATGTGTAAACAAGCCTGATGCCTTTTGTGGCTGCTACACACTTCCTCGTCAAAGACGCAATATAACAGCGTTTGTGAGGCGTGCCTAACAGCCAAAAGATGACAAAAAAAACACTCACTCACTTGGGTTAGTTTGGCTGGCGTTGTAGAGACTCGTAATTGTGAAAAGAGATCTCCTACTTCCTTTGTGAAGTCTTCCTCCTCTGAAAGCAAGAGATGACAGGTGCTGAATGCTATATCTAATCATCGACATTAAAACTTACTAAATTGCATTTGAATTTTGCATTTGTACTCATTTCTGTCCTTTTGTATAAATAGCTTTGCTTTACAAATACCGTATTTTTCGCTCTATAAGACGCACCAGACCACAAGGAGGAAAACAAGAAGAAAAAAAATATTCTGAATCTCAGAAGCCAGAGCAGCAAGAGGGATTGCTGCGCAGTGAAAGCAGCAATCCCTCTTGCTGTTCTGGCTTCTGGGATAGCTGCGCAGCCTGCATTCGCTCCATAAGACCCACACACATTTCCGCTTACTTTTTAGGAGGGAAAAAGTGAGTCTTGTAGAGCAAAAAATACGGTATCTTGGTCTCCTTAAAATCTACCAAGAGGGACAGCCTCCTGCTCAAGGATTTGCATTATAATGGTCGTCTTCCCTTTTATGTCAGGAATGATGAAGGAGATTATCCTGTGGAGCTTAGCAGTGCTTCTCTTGCGCAAGTCCACAAGACTTCTGCTGCGGTTTTCGTGATCCCACTGATCAACTGCAATATCCTTCATTTAAGCTTTGGATCACAGACTGAAAGAGTGAGTGAGTCAGAATACCAGTAGTGATTAACCAAGAGCCTGATGACATAGATAATCTTGCCAAAGGTATTCACTTGAAGAAGCTGGAAGTGCACAGAGTAGTCAATTAACAGCCTGTGTTATCTGCATCTCCTGCAAAGCTTCCAGAGAACTGTCCACTGTCAGAAACAGAATAATGGCAAGATGGACCATTGATAGGACTTAATGGACTGGTTCATATGCTTAGTTTTCCATCTTTCATGTGTTATTGCACCACACTCATAACGGAATGACTGAACTCACCATTCAGTCATTTTACTTTTGCTATTCAGTCTACTGTTACTTTTGCAAGTGGGAATTCTTGTAATTACCCTTCTTTTCTTCCTCTTCATCATCATAAAATTCAGCTAACGAAAACGCTTCTTTGAGCTGTTCCAGTTCAGCCTTCAAAGTATCTAGCTCATCTCCGGAGAGGGCGCTTATCACCGACTTCACCTGATTTAAAAGAAAAGAAAGCCACAAAGAGAACCGTAAACCCACCAGCCAGAAACGCTTGATATTTGGTGTGAAAAGTTAAGGTGGCAGCACTAATGACAAGCTGACTATGGAAAGCAATTCACTCTTTGAGAAGGGGAGCTCTGTGTTTGGCATATTCCCTCACAGCAGAGAGAGAAGGTGTGTGTGTAAAAATATCAAACTTGCTCTACCTCGCAGTGCCATTGATTTTTACTATCAATGGCTCAGTCATTCGGAGCAACAAAGATCGAGAAAGGTCTTATTTTAATAAAAAACACTACACAAGGGGTAAAGAAACAGCAGGGGAGGGCAGGGAGAGGTGTTTTTCCTGCATTTACTGGCTTTCATTTACTGATGCTTGTGTGGAATCCATAAAAGGGCTCATCTGCCAGAGTTTAAAGAAATATTCATTTTTATTCCTCCTCAACTGTAAAAAAAGGAAATTGCTCAGGGCCATTACCTTTGATTCACTCTCTCTGGAAAGCATCTCTAAAGCTTCCAAATGAGAAAGACCCTGAAACTCATCAAAGAGTAGCCCATAATGGGCTTTCTTCTCTGTAGCCATGGAAACCTCAGTAGCTGTCCGCTGTTCTTCTCTTTCCTTTGCCTCTCGCAAGATCTACAAATGGAAAAGTTGAAGCATTAATGCTGGTGCATGTATAGAGAAACACACACAAAGGAAAGGTTCGTCCTGAAATATCTGGTGTTCTGCTGTGAACAGCTCTAGGGACTGATCATTTGCCATTAAGGGAATCCAGGAAGAGGCTACTCTTTGTTGCTGTGTGGAAGCTTGAAGCAAGCCAATACCTGAGAAAGTGTGGAATTTCTGATCATCAGGCCTTTTGTTTTCTTAAAACCAGGGTCACCTTCAGCTATCACATCCATGGTCTTCTTACCAATGAATTCTAATGCATCCAAACTTCCACTAATAACAGTCTTCCCCTAAAAGTGGGGCAGGGTAAGGTGGGAAGCAAGAGAAAGAGAATAAACCTTTGATTGATGGAGTTTACTTACGTGCTGCATTTCCACAATGAGCTGCACCCAAAGAGGCTTACAGCACACATTCAAAACATCAAAATACAGAGCATTGGAAATACAAATACAGTGGTGCCCCGCAAGACGAATGCCTCGCAAGACGGAAAACCCGCTAGACGAAAGGGTTTTCCGTTTTGGAGGTGCTTCGCAAAACGAATTTCCTATGTGCTTGCTTCGCAAGACGAAAATGTCTTGCGAGTTCCTGCGGGGTTTTTTTCCTTTTCCCCTTTTTCCCAAGCCGCTAAACCGCTTATCAGCTGATCGGCTAAGCCGCTTAACAGCGGATCGCTAAGCCGCTTATCAGCTGATCGTTAAGCCGCTTATCAGCTCATCGTTAAGCCGCTTAACAGCTGATCGCTAAGCCGCTTAACAGCTGGTCCGCTAAGCCCGCTAAGCCGCTAATACTGTAGCGCTAATCCGCTAAACCGCTAATGGGCTTGCTTCGCAAGATGAAAAAACTCGCAAGACGAAGAGACTCGCGGAACGGATTCTTTTCGTCTTGCGAGGCACCACTGTATACAAAACACAGAGCATGACAGTAAATTCAAAAAATTGAAGGAACAGAGATCAAAACTCAAGTCAGAAATATAAATCACATGATGAGAGCACTGGGAGTCAAGTGTTCAAAGTGCAGGGTGGGGTTTTTAGTAGTCTTTGGGAAGAATGATAATAGGTGGCGATAAGAAGGAACAACACAGCCTAACACCACTTTATCTTGATGCTGGAACAACCATAAACATGACAAATAATTTTTCAAAAGCATATAATTATATGCTGTAAGAAGTGGATAAGTTTGCAAAAACTATATTTCTCATTTTGTTTTACGAACCCAGTGAGACGCATTTCGTCTGCTTATTCCACATTGATCGAAAATAAATCAAAAGTCACATCCACATCATACATTAAAGCACATTCATCACACATCTGAAGCACATGGCTTCCCCCAAAGAATCTTGGGAGCTGTAACTTGTTAAAGGTGCTGGGAATTGCAGTTCTGTGGGTGGTAAACTACAGTTCCCATAATGCTTTGGGGGAACCCATGCACTTGAAATGTGCATTGAATGTGCTTTAAATGTATGATGTGAATGTGACCAAATAATGCTTTCCAAAAAAACCCTCAGATGATTAAGAAGCCATGTTAGGTTGCATTGACCAGGTATAGGTCCCCCTGCTATTTTTACATTGAACTACATACAGCATGAACTCCATATAGTACATTGAGGTGGAAGGTGACGATATTAAACTAGAAAATTACTATGTGCTGCATTAGTCCAAACCAGGCCGCCGCCGCCACCTAACACCTTACAGTCTTTTCTCAGGTTAGATTACAAGCCAACCTTGAGAAGCACCCCCCCAACAGCTACCCGGCTGCAGAAATGACAGGGATGGATGTTTCTCTTCCCCTTTCTTCTTTGTGTTTGAAAGCTGCTAAGGCAACATTCCTCCTGCCATCACTAGAGCCAGCAGGGGGGTGGTTTGTGGCTCAGACTGTAGTGGAAAAACGCTATTAGGGGAGGAAATATAGGCTACTTCAGAATACCAGCATGTTAGGAACACATCACGTCTCTAAATGAAATAAAGTGTTACAAAGTTCAGCAACATCACTAATGGCTAGCAAAGTCCAAATACTACAAATCCAAATCTTTATTGCTTAGCCAAAGGTCCTTACCACCACAAAGCACCATGCGATGTACCTTTTGCTAATGTACTTGTATACTTTCAGGATATTTCAATCCACCCCAATTAAACATCAATTCTAGACTAAGGAATTCACTGAGATCGGTGCCCAAGTCTTAAGCACGCAGCAGGAAATTCTCCTTTATGAAGGAATGCCATCAAGACATTCCAGATTTTACATCTCAAGGATAGAATGCCCTCTTCTACTCAGACGCCAATCAAAAACTTTTTCTTAACATATACAGCTGCTAGACAGGTCACAAGCAACTAATTACCAACCAATAAGTTATGATAATGCATATTACACAACACTACAGAATCATTTGATTTAATGAGCCATTGCGCAGCATCAACCAACCGCTTGAATCAAGTTTTCCACTACTCAGAATTCAAAATGAAAGACAAGCTTCCAATAAACAAATAAATTCAATAAAAAATAATAAAATAAGCTGGTCTTCACTGATATATTGCTTGCAGTCTCACTCACTGTGCTCTGAACAGCAGCAGAGATGGTAGAAAACATTCCAAATGCACCACTAATAGGCGAGGGATTTTCAGACTCTTCTTTGCCATCATTGCCTTCTTCAGAGTTTTGGATTTCTGAAACAAGGGGAAGGGAATAGGATTTAAGTGGTGTGTGGGCCAAACTTAGCCTGTGAGGGATTTAAATTTGACCTACTAGGCCATTTCCCCCAAACCATGCACACCTCTCCACACCTGACTTCATTTGTGGTGCCAGGTGTGGGGCAAGCAGAGATGCAGCAGCTGCAAATGCACAATCAAGCCCCTTAATTGACCATCCAATTGTCCATTGGCAAAGGAAAGCAGGCTTTGATTCTGCTGCCCATCAGCTGGTGAGCAGTAGAGCCAAAGGCTGCTAGGTCAGGTGAAAGAGTTCCCTTGCACTCCTTATGCCTAGGGCTGTGCATGGTGATTTGAAGTCCCTACTTCAAAGCACCCAATCAGCTAACATCAATGTGATTGTCAAGTGACTGACAGGTGGTTACCACCACCTACCTGTCTAATTTGATAAGGATCTGGTCAAAGAGCCAAAAAGGTTCTCCACCCTGGTTTAGAACAAAAAAGGGAGGGAGAAATGTAAAAATGTCTGGGCAATTGTTTTACCCGTTTTAATATATGCAATTGTTTCTATGGTATTATGAAATTTCTGCAAGATGCTTTATAGGAAGCGATTCATTAAATAAATAAAGGTGTATACCAAATCTAAGATCTCTCTCTCTCTCTGAATTGCATAAAATTGATGCTTCTATGAAAAAGAGGCGGCAAATAAGGTCCCAAGCATCTTTTTTAATATATTTGTGATAATGCCACATAAAACTCATGCAATATCATAGATGTAGTGCCAACATGGATGTAGAGCATCACAGATGTAGTGCTTAATATCACAAACCTGTTGCAAATCTGATCTTCGTGTGACAAAATCCATAGTTGACTTCAGGGTCAGTGATAAAACAGCTACTTGATAGAAATCTAGGAATTCTGAAGTGAGCTGTAATCTTGTGTTCGACACTTGTGATTAAAAGGCAGTTCAACATTTTGTGACCCATGAGGTCATAATTTGAAAACTGATTTGGATAAGCATGTGTCTTTAAGAAATGGCAGATCTTTGCTTTATTTCTGTGTCCCAAATGACGTTTTCTGAATACGGCCAAGTAGTTCTATTTTTATTTTGGGTTGAATTCAAAGCTTGAGTTCATGAGTCAAACAGTCCTTGCCATGAGCTCCAAATCTGTTCCAGAGGGTTGGGGGACCCTCAAGAATAGAACTGAGGTGTGCATAGGAAGCTGCAGTGGGGATGAGAGGAGGTGAAAGTCCCCTAATGCAAATATTGGATTCTGCCCTCTGCCTCCATGTCTACTTTTACAATTGACATTCTACAATGAAGGAATCCGGTGTTATGGTAACAGTATCATCCTAGGCAAGGACGCAGGTTGCACATAATGCTAAGCCAAACCATGGCTTACTGTGAATGCATGAGTGTGCAAGTACTAACAGTAAAAATAAGGTCTGCTTTGATACCCACACCCACACGGTTTGGCTTAGCGTTACATCCAAATCCATAGTCATGGTTTGTGTCTTTCAGACAAACCACAAGTGCCAAGGCAAGAACAAACCTTGGCTACAGCTTGTCTGGAGTGAGACCAACCACAAGCCTGGATTTGGACATACCAGCAAGCCAGACCATGGCTCAGCTCCAGCAACATGCAGATCACAGGAAGAGTGAAGCAGGTTGCAGTTTTTACTGTTGGCACCTGCACACCAAGATAACAATGCTTAGCCATGCTTTGGCTTAGTGTTGCAATGTATCTAGGGCTTGATGCAGAGATATTTGGGCAAGGCCAGTGTAGCGTGACACTCCCTTCCCGACCAAAAGCAGACACATATGTCATCATCACAAGCTAACTTGAAAGTCCCCTTTATTTTCAATAGCTTGCCATGGGGAACTGCTCTTTCAAACAAGTTCAAAGTCCCTTTGAGTGCATGGAAATAAAAGTAAAGGTAAAGGGACCCCTGACCGTTAAGTCCAGTCATGGATGACTCTGGGGTTGCGGCGCTCATCTCGCTTTACTGGCCGAGGGAGCCGGCGTTTGTCCGCAGACAGTTTCCGGATCATGTGGCCAGCATGACTAAGCCGCTTCTGGCAAACCAGAGCAGTGCATGGAAATGCCGTTTACCTTCCCGCCGGAGTGGTACCTATTTATCTACTTGCACGTTGATGTGCTTTCGAACTGCTAGGTTGGCAGGAAATAGTAATGCAATTATTTGGATCCCAGCCAATCTACGCCAGTAGTTTCACATGCAATAAGCTGAGAAATATGCATTTGATTTGATTGGGACCAGTAGTCATTTACACCATACAGCAAAGAATCCTCACGTGCAAAGGCATCTCCCACAGCCATACAGAAGGTGCCAGTGCTAGATAAGACATAGGCTATGGGCTGTAGCTCCCATTCCTTTGTGTATGTCTTGGATAAAAGGAGGCAAGGGAAGCTGATACTTATGAAGAGCCTCACAACCTGTAAGTAAACTAGTGACAGCAAAATAGCAGCTTCTATTGAAATATATAACAGATTCCCTTGCACAAGAAGTAATAGCATTAAAACAACAACATCCATCATAGTACCACAAGGGGCAAACTTCAAATAGTTTATATATTTTTAATAGAAACCAACCTTCCCCAACATCTTTAGCCTCAGAAGATAATTCAGTAGGGCTGGGGATCCCAAGGGATGTCTCTGCTTTTTCAATGACATTTGAGATTCCGTGACCTAAAGAAAGCAAGAGATGTTACTTTAGTCCAAAGGTAAAATGAATTACTTCACCAAGCAAGCAGAGGCCAAGTCAGCAAGATGAATTGCTGCAGGCAGTATGCTGCATTTGAAAAGCACAATGAATTGCCCAATCAAGCCAGTAGCTTAGTATTTCCCTCTTTTTCCTCTTTAACAGACAGCACACATTGCAACCTTCAACTTCCGTGCTGCTGCTTACATTTTTACCATGTTTAACTGCCACTAATTAATTTTCTTCTGTTGTTTTCTATATAGAACATTTTGCACCTGTCACTTTTAACTTCTAAAGGCAAAAAAGAAAAAGAAAAGCAATTTCGAGCAGACCCAATTTATTTGATTCGGATTGCATAGCTTAGGTTTCGGGCAGCCTCACCTACGGTAGCCACTGTAGCAGAAGCAGTCGAGAGCAATGATTTTCCCCAGCTCCCCCAGTAACCCCATCCTGTCTGCGACTCTTCCATGGAACTGGAACTCTGGGGAAGAAACAAAAGGACATTGCCAACATCCAGTTTAACCAAAATTCATTTCCAGACAGGAAAACCAAGTCATTCAGGAATTTTTATAGCAACACAAGAGTCTTGAACCTTGCCATATGGGCATCCAGTATATATGTTTTAAAGAGGTGTCACATGCTGTTGGCCATCTGCCCCCATCAGCAGTCTAGCTGCTGCATTCTGCACTAGCTACTTACCAATGCATGGTCTACAGCGGCCAAGTTATCCCAATCCAGACAAAGCTGGTAAAAGGCACATGCCCTCAAAATATGCTCTAGGGCAGTGGTTCCCAACCTTTTTTTGGCCATGCCCCACCTAAGCAACTCTAAAATCCTGATGCCCCCCCCCCATGACATATCATTCTTATTATTCAAAAAGTGAACTCCTATTCACATGGAGGAAGCCTAAAAGGCCATTAACTGCTAACAAGTCATTCTTGAATTGTCCCCCTTAAAAATAAAATTGCCCCCCTGTAGGGCATGTGCCCCACATTAGCAACCACAGCTCTAGGGGGTCCAGAGCAGTTGTGGGTGTATATGGGGAGGAGAGAAAGGTGAAGTCTCATTGCACTAGCAGGAACCCGCTTAAGCAGTGTTAGATTCCACCATACATCTTTTTATTAAATAATTTTAAAAATAATTAATTAAACGAAAATTAAGCAGAGGAGAATGCAGGTCATTGCTTGTATCCCTTTTGACAGGTTCCATCCTCTTTAAAGCACTCAGTTTGTCTCAGCCTTTACAGACTGTCACAGTTCCGACTGAGTAAGGTAGCAAAATCAACAACAGGGTTTTGCCACTGTGCTGTCCGCTGCTACATCCATGCACATCTTCTTAGCCCATCATAAGTTACACAAGTCTGACTCCTGTTTTCCTTTTGTCTCAAACAGATCCAACAAGATGAATATTAATGATGCACCTGACTATTTAGCACACAGGAAAAATGTAGAACACAGATATCCACATCTCACAGTTCCACATTTCATTCAAATGGATCTTCTTGGCCCCCAAATCCTGCTAGGGAATGTATAATATTAAAATGTGAACATTGTTGTGGTAAATGAGAATTTACTGATAGCAGGTTTAGCACCGATACCTGTACATTCTGACCCAGTGGCTGTTGTGCAATACTGGGCTCAGAGATTTTCACTTCAGGCCTTTTCCGTGTCATAGCCACAAGCTCAGCTTCCCCTCCATTAGTCTCAGTGGGTTCTGCCTCCTCTGTCTTCTGAACATTTTCCTCAAGTTCATGAGCAACTTCATTCAAGGGTTCATTATCCTTTTGGGACATGACCACAGCATACCCTAGATTTATAAAGAATTATTGTTAAAACACATACAAGAAGTTTAACAAGATAAATGGCATTTTTTTCAGGAATAAACTTAACTGGAATATTTTCCAGTGGCCTACATAGGTTGTGGAGTGATTTAACATGTTTGGATCATATATACTTTTGGTGTCAATCTACACTCCTTACAAAAAATAATGCTAGTATGTGTTTCCCTAGCAAGGACAGTCATGGGAATGTGGGAGTTAATTACATTTTTAAGTGTCCTAATTTGATTGGCATTGTACCCAATCATTATGATACTAATTCTATGAGACAATGCATTTTGAAAACAAAGTGTTTTCCATAGAAAAATATAGCAGTTGACAACTCCCCACCATTGCTCACTACTAGTCCCAGTGTATAGGGGATCTAAAATCCAGGTTATGTCCAGTTGTGAAATTCTACATAATGAAATTACATGGCCCAGTTAGTACAGCTGCTACTCAAAACATTTTTCTTAAGATTGTTGTGCATTCCAAGATGTATTCTATAGAACAGAGAGAAGTGTATTAATGTTTTCCCTACTCATACCTACATCTACATTTTTAAAAATGTACTTGCCCTAATAGGGACCACCACTTGAAGACTTGAAGTGTCCTCCCATTCACCAATGGCTCTTTGATCCAGCAAAAACTTCCATAAACAGAAGGCAGGAGGCAATTTTTTGCCTCTTTCGCTCTGAAGATTCCTGTGCCTCTCTCCCCTGCCTGTTCCAGAAGGCTGACTGGTGGGGCAGAGGTCTTCAGGAGACAGGGACTGATACACACAAGTCACTCCACTCCCGTTTTTCTTCACGAAAGCCTCTGCTGTATCAAACATGACAATGCTTGTCATAGAGAGTCAGCTATGTCCTGCTGGTCCTGATTGTGAAGATCACACAATACTGACAGGCAGAAACAACATCAGTGTGTGTGTGTGTGCTAACAACATCGGGGAGCACTCCCCAATATCGTGGAGGAAAATAAAAGATGACCATACCATAGCCTCTCCCTCTCTCTCTCTCTCACACACACACACACACACACTTCACATATGCAGAACCACAAATATGTCTCTTCCTCTCTGTCCATGTGCATGACACAGGGCAGACAGCCCATTTCCCAAACATTTGCTCTTCTCAGGTCATATCACTTACCCCCCAAGTGACCTGTCAGCCTTCTATTACAGTTTAACATTACTGAATGACATCAGTGTGTTCAGTTGTATACAACACTGTTGTCAATAATAAAAATGAAGGGAGAAAAACTGGCTTTATTCAGGGTGGCAGCTAAAATAGCCTTCTGCTTAAACACTAGCCTGGTAGCTTTGTTGTTGTTTAGTCGTTTAGTCGTGTCCGACTCTTCGTGACCCCATGGACCAGAGCACGCCAGGCACTCCTCTCTTCCACTGCCTCCCGCAGTTTGGTCAAACTCATAGCCTGGTAGCTAGTGGTAGCTATACAGGTGGCAAGAAACGACATACAGTATAGGCAAGTGCATTGAATACCATATGGGTGAGTGAGGGAGCTGTTGGAGGAGGAACTCTGCACCTAGGATAGAAACCAGGGAAGCTCCTCCCCTCTGGTGTCTAGCACAGAAACACAAGATGCTGCTGCAGGAGGGCTAGAGATCTGTGCCCCTCCTTGGGCAACACCCAGCAGACTACTAAAAAAACCTTCCTTTTCTAGGCAGGCCTCTAACTTTCGTGCGCTTATTTGCAAGGCTAAGCTAAACGTGAATCAAAAAGGACTTTTTAAGAGCTATGTCTTAGGACCATTAAAAACAAAGCAAAACAAAAGTATATAAAAAAAAGTACAATTGTTACCGAAAAGTGGCAGACAGCAAGTACTGGAAATGCAGCATCTGTTGATACTGTAAAAGATCAACCTGAGGCTACAGCTGGCAAACAGAGCGAGAGGTTGCTTTTTCCACACTTATGAGAAAACACCCGCTTTATGGAGCTGCTTTCAAATGGAGAGCGGTGTGGGTGGGTCAGTGGGGGGGAGGAGAGAGAAGAGGGACCTCCAAAACCCGCAGCGCCCCTGGAAACCCGTAAGTGGGTCAGGGATTTCGCACCGGGGCTCTCGCTCCTCCCTCCCGCGGATGCTCAACAGGCAGGCCCACGGCTGCTTCAAGAGGTCGGGACGGGGAAAGCCCCATCACAGGGAGGGACCCCAACAGAGAGACTTCCCCACCCCTGAAGGGGAAGCCTGACCCCGCCCTTTGGTTTGGGGGACCATGACAGGCGCCCTCCGCCCCCAATCATCTCCTGTGAAGGTTTCGGCCAAGCATTGCTGCTGCTCCCCAGGGCGGCGTTGCAGGGACACGTAGAAGAGAGTCGCGCAACTTACAGGCAACACAAACAAACCACCGGGCAACTCGCGCTCCGCCGCCTCCGCCTCGTCGGTTTCCACTCGCCAGAGGCCTTCCCCGCCCCCACCGCAGCCACGTCTCCGCAAGTCAGGCACACGCGCCGCTCCCCCAGCACAAACACCGACGGACGGTCCTCCGAACCATAGAGGCGGCGGGAAAGAACGGCGGCGCGTGGGGGTGGGAGAGGCGAATCATTCCAGGAAAAAACACGCCCGACGGGCGGAAGTCGCGTCGCTCCTCCCGTTCCCTCGGTGGACCTCGCGCAGGAGCAGAAGAGGCAGCTCAGAGGAAGGGAAGGCGGAAGGTCCAGAGTCCCGGTTGGAGCTGTGCGCGGGGGCCCGTCAGCGGAGGGAATCTGGAGGCGGACTGAGCGGGCCGAGCGAGGGATGACAGGGCGTTGCCAAGGTAACTCGTCACGGGCGCCGCTCCCGCTCGGAGTTCAAGGCCATGTCGTAGGACCCGGAGCGACGCGCCGGTGTTTTAGTGGGCGCATTTATGACGTCGCGGGCGATGGCCTCGGGGGTGAGCTGCTGGGAGCTGTGCAATGCATATAAATCTTGTGTATACATGTATATGCATGCATGCATGCAGAGTTGAAAGGAAGCGTGCACGGCCGCCACCAGCTCCTGGGAACTTGCGCCTCCTCTCTCGCAGGGCAAAAGAGAGACCAAAAAGGCCCCAAGTCATGAGCTAGTGAGGATGTAGGTTCTACAGTGCTTGCTTTCATCGTCCCTCCCTATTCCTTTCCCCCCTTTTCCCTCTTGCCTGTTAGGTTGCAGACCTTGCTGCTCAGAAAAAACAACAACACAGGCACTTTATACGTGTTAATAATAGCACACATGTGTTTACTCCCTTAGCAGGGCTAGCAGATAAAGCTTGCACAGGCTTGGAGGTGACATGGACTCAGTAGAAGGCGGGTAAGTCAGAACAGTACCTGGCAGGTTGAGGCAGACCCTTATGGTTCCCTAATGGGTTATGACAGAGTTAGGCAAGTTGGGGGGGGGGGGGAGCAGGTTCAGATCTGGTAGTTGGGGGTGGAGTTAGTGGAAACTTGTGGTCCAAGAGCAGAGCCTGGTGGCATCTATGGTGGACAGAAGTCCATGAAGCATTACTAGTTTTTCAGGCTCCAGTGTTGGTTTTTCCACTGAACACAATTTTACTGGTTGGACCAGTGAAAAAGTGACTGTTTGATAATCCAAGTGCCTACCATAAATAGAGTTTGTTTTGCTAGTTGTATTGGGCTTCCTTTTTAAAAGGAAAGCTAGATGCAAACCGTGAAATGATCTGGTTACAGATGAGGAGGCTGATCTGGTCTGTAACACTGAAACCTGGGTGGGCGAACAGGGTGGAGTTGGTCTTACCCAGCTGTGCCCACCTGAGTACTCGGGCAGCATCAGGGCAGACTTGGGGGTGGGGAGTTGTTGCAGTCTATAGAGATTCCATCTCTGTCTCCAGGTTCTCTGTCCAGTTATGTGGGGATCTAGAGTGTGTGTTTCTGGCACTGGGCAATTGGGACAGATTAGGAATTCTGCTGGTTTGCTGTCTGTCTCCCTACCCAGCACTCTGCCTGCCTGAGGTGATGGAGCTGGTTTTGAAGGCAGTGTTGAGGACCCCCAGACTGCTGGTTCTGGCGGACTTCAACATCCAGGCCAAGGCGATTGGCTCTGGGATGGCTCAGGACTTCATTGCTGCCATGATGACCATTTGCAGGATGTGCTGAACCATTGTCTTGCCTTGGTAATGGATTGGAGAAAGCCAACAAACTGAAGCTCAATCCAGATAAGAGTGAGACATTGTTAGAGGGTGGTTCCCTAGATCATATGCATGGGAGGTTGCCTGCTCTTGGTGGAATTACACTCCCTCTGAAGGAGCAGGTACATAGCTCAGGGGTACTTCTGGCTCAGGTGGCTTCTGACCTGGAGTACCTTCCATCAGCTTCAGCTGGTGGCCAAGCTGCACTACATCTAGACAAGGGTAGCTTAACTTCTGTTTCTATTCCCTGGTAACCTCTAGGTTAGATTACTGCCACATGTTATACATAGGGCTGCCTCTGAAGATGGTTTGGAAACTTCAGCAGCCAGGTTGCTCACCAGGACAAGACAGTTTGAGCTGATCCTGGGTTTGGTGCTCTTCCTCAACAAACCCACTTTTTCAAAAATCACACTTCATGATAAGAAAATTAATAGGAAGATCAAGAAAATTGATAGGAAGATCTGGGGTAACCATTGCTTGATGCGATGTTGTGTAACCTCCCCACAAACAAACCAGAAAGAATGCCCAATAAACAACCAGTGTTGTATAACACACACACCCTCCCCTCCAAAGTGTGCAAACCAGGATGAATGCTCAACAAACAAATAATCTGGAATCAACCTCCAGCGTTTTTTGTGTGTGTTATTCCATCTTCTCAGCATCGTATTCCTGTGGTGTAATCTGCATCTGTGTCAGGCATGTGTATACACATTTGAAGTGCTTATATATAAGCATTGCATTTTAAAATGTCTGATATGTTTGAAAAAAATTACAGGTATGTAGGATCAACAGCATATTTTAGGTAGAGTGTTTATTAGGATAGTTTTCTGCACAGTGGTGGGGGGTAGTATTTGGGGCTCTTTGTCTAGGCCTTTAAAGCAAGGGTGGGAAAATCTACTCCAAATGTTGTTGGACTCCAACTCCCATCGGTAACAAATAGCACGACCAGTAGTTTGGTATTGTAGTCCAGCAAGATTCCCTTTTTTGCTTTAATTGCAGGGACTATCCTCCATATTATGTAGAACTAGAAAATATATATTTTATCTAATAAAGAATATCAGTGTGGTGATCACTTAAATTCATTAAATTAGTCTTAGAACTTAAATAAACAGCTTGCCCCTGTCACTTGGAGTCTTGGAAACACTCAAAAAGCTGCAAAGTCTAAAGTTGAACACTGTCAGTCCTTCATAAAGGTAAGGGTACCCCTGACCATTAGGTCCAATTGCGGACGACTCTGGGGTTGAGTGCTCATCTCGCTCTATAGGCCAAGGGAGCCGGCGTTTTGTCCACAGACAGCTTCCGGGTCATGTGGCCAGCATGACTAAGAGCAGCGCACGGAAACGCCATTTACCTTCCCACTGGAGCGGTACCTATTTATCTACTTGCACTTTGACGTGCTTTTGAACTGCTAGGTGGGCAGAAGCTGGGACCAAACAACGATCGCCAACCTTCTGATCGGCAAGCCCTAGGCTCTGTAGTTTAGATCATAGCGCCACCTGTGTCCCTCTCAGTCCTTCATATGTACAGTGGTACCTCGGGTTACATATGCTTCAGATTACATACACTTCAGGTTGAAGACTCCGCTAACCCAGAAATATTACCTCGGGTTAAGAACTTTGCTTCAGGATGAGAACAGAAATCGTTCTCCGGTGGCACAGCAGCAGCAGGAGGCCCCATTAACTAAAGTGGTGCTTCAGGTTAAGAACAGTTTCAGGTTAAGTACGGACCTCCGGAACGAATTTCTCGGAGTTCAAGCCTGATTCTGTACATATGTAAGCATAATTCTACATAACATCGGGCTGTTTCAGAAGCTACTCCTGAAGAATCTACTCTCAGCTTTAAAACACCTTGGAAATTTGGTGTGGGAGCTTCTTTTAAAAAAAGAAATACCGTATTTTTTGCTCTATAAGACTCACTTTTTCCCTCCTAAAAAAAGTAAGGAGAAATATGTGTGCGTCTTATGGAGCGAATGCAGGCTGCACAGCTATCACAGAAGCCAGAACAGCAAGAGGGATTGCTGCTTTCACTGCGCAGCGATCCCTCTTGCTGTTCTGGCTTCTGAGATTCAAAATATTTTTTTTCTTGTTTTCCTCCTCCAAAAACTAGGTGCGTCTTGTGGTCTGGTGCATCTTATAGAGTGAAAAATACGGTATAAATTCCAAAAGTATGGGTATGCTCTTTCCCCTAGTTTCACCTTTGTAAATATTGTCTCTCCGGATCACTGCAGTAAAATGAAGCAGCACCCAACTCTCTGTGATATATCAGCTTTGACATTGTCGTTTTCAAAAAGAAATGTTGTAAACTAGCAAATGTGGTGAGTGATTCTTAAGGGCTCTTAAAGCAGGGTGGGTTGAAACATGGTAACTCAAATATCTGTAAGATCCTTTGCTATTCATTGGAATATTAGCAACCAATAAGTTTTTGCCGTGATCTCAGTGTTTAAGTGAAATTCTTGCTCTTGAAATAGTTCTGTGAGTACTGGAGTTGCTGAAATTGATAAAAGTGAGACGCTTTGGAAGGATAACAGTAATTCGATAAAATGTCGCCATCCAGTAAACGTAGGAAACATTTGTTTTTGGTTCTCTTGGGGCCATAGTCTAAACTTTTTGCTTTTCCACTATCTATTTAGGCAGCAATATTGTAGATATTTTTAAAGTGCTGCAGAAACATGAGCATATGCTTCCTTCTGTTCTCTGAGAGTCCTGGTGGTTGTACACGGCATAAAATTGAGCATATGTTAGTTTTTAAGTGTGCAGATGAAAATGAAAGACATCTGTTCTGCTTCTCAGTACATATACTCTGGACTGAATCTGTCTTCAGGTATAGTGCATCTGCGGCTCACATGGAGCATGTTGAACCTGTGTTAATGTTCATTCATAACAGCTACTTTATGATATGCATGGCTGTGCTTTCCTTGAAAAATTTAGGGCATTATATGGTCTTTTCTTCCTTGTGGTTTATCAGCCACAGAAGCTGTTTTATATAAATATGATGGCTCTGTCATAAAAATGTAACCTCTTTTCCTCAAAAGAAAAAAAAACCCTGCAGCAGAAGATCTTTGCTTAACAGTAATGGGTTTGCATAAAAGAAAATGGGATAAACAGTTTAATAAATCAAACACTGAAGGATTTAATGGCAGAATCCAATGACCCATCACAACTGCTGCTGTGCATTATGCAAACAATGTACAATGTAGTAGAAAACATATGCGATTACTGCTGATAGTTATCTCGGGTCTTTGAAGGACAATGTAACTGGATTTTTCCCAGTTGCAACTAACAGCCTCAGGATGCTATCCAAGCCCTAGGTGGTGCCTGGTCAGGCATAACAAAGTGGCAGGACCATCACAGTCCTACTGCATGCCCTAGCTGTGGCATAAAGCAGGTAGGTGCAAAGCTGTGAGTCTGCAGCCATCACCCCAATCTGAGTCAATGCTGTTATATGATGGCAGTTGGTATTACAGTGGAACCTCAGAATCCAAACACCTGTAAACTTGAACGTTTTGGCTCTTGAACAGTCGAAAACCAGAAGTGATTGTTCCAGTTTCCGAATGATTTTCGGAAGCCAAAAGTCTAGCACAGCTTCCGCGGCTTCTGGTTGGCTGTAGGACACTCCTGCAGCCAATCGGAAGCCATGCCTTGGAAGTCGAACTGACTCCCAGAACGGATTCCGTTCTTCCAAGATACATCTGTACTTGAGATCCAACAGCTCCCAAGTCATCTCAGTAGCACCCCTGCTTGGAACTGATACCACTTCTGCCCACCCACCTGTTTGGTGTGCAGAACAGAGAGCTCGGCACTAGCAGAATAGTGGAACCAAATCTCATTAAATTTATATTGCTGTAGTTTAAACACATATATTTCAGGATGGAATTAGTTCACTCTGGGTTTTTAGAGCACTTTGAAGATATTGATGAAAACGCTGCCATGTAGTAGTACCATGAGCTGCCCTGTTCTGTACTCTGAATTACTGGGAAGTTAGATAGCATTGCAGAAAGAGGTGGTTAGGAAGGAAGCAGCTAGGATAAGAGTAGAAATGCATTAAGGGTTCAAGTTTAGAGAGTATTGTCTATACTGACTGGCAATGGCTTTCCAAGGTTTCTGGCCTCTCCCAGCCCTACTTGGTGATCAACCTTCTGCAGGCAAAGAAGCTGTGCTTCTTGGCACCTGCTCCTTTGATTGGTTTGCCTTTTTCAGTTTCAACCCAAGGGTGAACAAAACCTTGAATGTTGTATGCAGTGGACCTATTAATTTTGTTGCTGTTTATAATTTGAGCCTACCAAAGGAAAGAATGGTTAGTTTTTAGGTCCCATTCCTTTCCTGGAAAGTTGCTATTTGTGCCAATTTACCTTAAGCTCCTTTCAGCTCTAGACAACTAACATTTTATACTAGGGGTGGCTCGGGCTGCTTTGATGGTTGACAACTTTCTGGAGACTGCATACCAGCAGCTGGCATGGCTAAAGTGACCAGTGCATACTCAATTGCATGTGCACACTTACCACACATTTTGAGAGGCAGACAGACATGCAGACATATTCGAACAGCCCACCCCCTGCACACTCTTTTGCCAGTCAGCAGAGGATCAGGTGGTTTCCTTCTCATCACATCAGTGGGCTGGGAGTAGTTCCCCTCTTTCTTACCCAGCCCTGATACGGAAAGGAAAATACTGGTAAGTGTTCCTTTCTATTTCTGAAGCCTTTTTCTTCTGCTTAAGGGGGGAAAGGCACTTTTCCAAGGTAAGAAGAGGCAGATTTTGACAGAGGACAAGGAAGCCACTGTAAGTGGCTTGGCAAGCTGAATCTGGTCTGTGGGTTCGCCTTCCCTGTTATATGCCATTTCATTCTGGAATTGTATTGTTAATTATTTGAGTTTGAAAGCCAAAAAGCTTTGCGTTGTTAAGAATCCTGACTTGCATCGGTTTTGTTTTGTTTTTTTACATTTCAGTTGGATTGTTCCTTTACTTGTAAAGAAAAACCCAAAGCCCTTCCAAAGTTGATGAACCCGTCAATATCTTCCATGGTGACTGGTGCAATACAGACTGCTTAACTTTTTGCAGTGTGCTTTATACTTCAAGCTTCCATGAAGCTCAGCTGCTGCCTATTGACTTTGATTCTCAGTTCTAGTGTTTCTGCACTAGAAAATGTGGCCTCCAACCTGACAGCTGCTACTGGGTCAAGGTTCCTTCATCTCGATGCATCATTTCTTCCCACCCTACAAGCCTTCACAAAATCGGCAGTACCTCAAGATATCATAGTGAAAGAAGGTAACGGTGCTTTCATTGAATGTAAGCTGAACATCAGTCAGCATAACAGCATCCTTTGGTTCAACTCAAAGGGGCATCTACTGAAGCAAGATGGAGAGGGTAAGAGACAACTGTTTGACTTGCTTTACACAATGTACCAGGTGTGCTGTATTGATCACAGAAGTTCTCTTGTATGTGACACTTTTAAGAAGACGTTGAAGGGAAAGCCACTCTTCCTAGGTTCGTTGCCTCTCTGCCCAAACATACCTACATTAAAACACAATACAAGTCTATTTTAAATTAAAGTACTGGATTTTGGCTGAAGCTAAATGGGCTATAACTTACACAACTTGCAATCTAGGTACTGTTACATAATATTCGAGCAGCTAGTAGTTTTCATTCCGAATTAGTTGCTTTAGGAGTATAGCTACTTGATATTTTAATCCATGTGCTGATTGCATGGTTTTTATCAGGGGAGAATGCTCACCTCATCAAACCCAGATTTACATTTAGATTGGGGGACGACAGTGCAGCAATAATTTTTGGTGACCCAACCCTCTAGGGCAGCCTTTCTCAACCTGTGGGTCCCCAGATGTTGTTGAACTACAACTCCCATCATCCCTAGCTAGCAAGGCCAGAGCTCAGGGATGATGGGAGTTGTAGTCCAATAACATCTGGGAACCCACAGGTTGAGAACTGCTGCTCTAGGGGCTGCATGCCAGCAGAAGATGTGACCATTTCATATGGGCAGACAGTCTCCTCAGCTGAGCCTTGCAGATCAGCTGGGGAGAGGGGGTTATTGTCCGTTATGCAGTCATCAAATGATCAGTCTGGTGACTGGGGAAGGGAGTGGTTTGCATCCCCATCATGGCACTGGGCTCTGTCCAATCCAGCAATACATTTACCTTTTTTTTTTTACCTTTTTGCTGTTGTTGCCAGAATAGGGTATTGGGAAAGCAGAAAACATTGCATGAAAAAGTGAGATAGCACTGTACACATATTTTGTCCAAGTGTCCACCTTTTATAGCCCATCAAGCTTTTAAGTACACATTTGCCTGCTGCCGCAATCCAGTGGATCTTGCTACATTTATTAATAGAAACATTTGCAGTTTAACAATATAATTTTCACAAGTAGTATTGGGGTTGGAGGGAAGGGCCACCCGGTAGGGATGAGTGCCTTTGCAAATGGATAGCAACATTATAATGTAAACAAGTGCCCAAATCAGACCCAGGCCCAGCTCTAACCCAAACATGCATTTGTAGATCTATTTCTTCCTTTTTACAATATATTTGTATGTTGGGAGTGCTGCTGTGTGACCCACCTTAGATCAGGCAGTGACCCAGAAGTGGGTGGTCTCAACACCCCAGTTGAAGACCAGTGACCTAGATCAAGTACATGAGATGAGTATTTTCTTGGCTAGGTAAAGATATTCAACCCTGCTTGACTAGTAGGTTGGCAAATGACCAGACGTATGTTGTTATCCATATTCCCAATTCAGTGTTGCTGGTTTCATAATACAGTTCACGGGGCATGCCTATATATATATCAGAAAAGATGCAAGTATGATCTGTTACTCTAATGTTGAAATCTTTTTTTGTATTTCTGTTTTAGATGGAAGATGGCTGATCTCTAACAGTACCCTTAATATCACAAGTGTAACCTTTGGTGACCGGGGGCGATACAGTTGTGTTGTCACTACCCAAAATGGCTCTTTCTATTACTCAGTCACCCTCAGGGTGGTCTCCACATCTGGGGACATGGGCATTTACTACATGATTGTCTGCCTGGTTGCCTTTACTATCACCCTGATCTTAAATATAACACGTCTGTGCATGATGAGCAGCCATCTCCGCAAGACAGAGAAGGCCATCAATGAATTCTTCAGGACTGAAGGGGCTGAGAAACTACAGAAGGCCTTTGAAATTGCCAAACGCATTCCAATCATTACCTCTGCCAAAACGCTGGAACTGGCCAAAGTCACCCAGTTTAAGACTATGGAATTTGCTCGATACATTGAAGAGTTAGCCAGAAGTATCCCTCTTCCGCCGCTCATCCTTAACTGTAGGGCCTTTATGGAAGAAATATTTGAAGCAGTGAGAGTCGATGACCCTGATGAAGTTGGAGATGGAGTCAAACAAGCCCTCGGTGTCCAAGACGGACTCTATCCCTTAAACCCAGAAATTAAGCGCAGTAATTCACCGACAGCAGACTCGGATGATGGTTCTGTAAATGACCATGGTAAAGAAATAGCTGTTGAGGTATCCATCCACCTTCAGTCAGAAGCACAAAGCATTGACACTGTTTCCCACGACAGTGTTCCCTCCATACCTTCTGAAGATGATGCAGGTGCTGAAGCCAGTACAGCAGCAAAGGCAGATGTATGAAAGCTTCATCTGGAAACTTCAAGAAAAAAGGGGGGGGGGGGAAAGCAGCACAAAAACCTTATCTCTTTTTAAAAACTCCAGTGGCTATAAGGTGCTGAACATTTAGCAAAAGTATGGATTTGGATTTTTCTTTTGTAACATATCTCAGTGTTCACCAACCAATTAGGAAAACAGCTTAAATCATGTTTTTAAACATTCTCCTTGGTAGGAATACTACTGGGGGCATTTTACAGAGGGGATACTTTCTCCCAGTTTTTGGGATCTCCAGCTAACATCAACGAAAGATCAAGGATACATTGACATAAACTGTTTTTGCTATTCTTACAGGGAGGTTGAATTCCTGAATATGTCCAGTGATGATTTCATAGTGTGTGATGGCATAGTTCACTAGAACAGTGCTTGTCTTGCTTGTCTGAATTTATAATATCTGATCAAGCTTATCTTGAGTTTGTAAGAAACATACATTTTAGCATTTCTTATAGTAATAGTATGGGATTATTACACTTTTAAAATGAAGAGTTGGATCCAGACTGACTCATGTTTAGAGTAGATCTATTGCAATCAGTGACACTTAAGTTAGCCTGAGTCCAGCCTTATGTCAGTAAGCTGTGAAATTACCAGAGCTGCCAGTTTGTCATGTTGTTCATGTTCACGTACATTGCAATCACATGCAATACTTGAACTAGAAAATGGAAACCAAATGCAAATTTTGGCATCTGAATTTCTCATAGCAGCCAAGAAGTGGTAATTTGGTTGTTTTAAATGTGCTGCTGCTTGCCAAGCAGTTCAAAAAAGGCCCTGTCTGTTTGGGGTTTTTTTTAGTAAAGCTCCAGATGTCAGCACTTCAAGTATTCTTTCTTCTCTGACACTGCTGAAATTCCAATGTGTTCTAGTGCCATCAGTATTGCTAGGAGGAAAGCAATGACAACTTAAACAGTTATGATCTTGTTGAAGAGTTTGCAATAAACTCTCACATTAAAAAGGGAAATAAAACCTCTTTGGTTTCTCAGGCAGTTGTTTCTGAACAATATTTATAAGAGGCAAATGTGTGGCCAGAGTCTTTGGAACTAGTCATCACCCAATGGACGTGCCTAACACTCTCCTAATGATTCAGGTAGGTAGCCGTGTTTGTCTACTAATGTACATTTGTGTTTGATGAAAAGCAGCCATGGGTGCAGAATGATTGGGGTAGAGGAGCTGTGCAGGTGGATGAGGAGGTTGTGGCTGGCTTTTGCATGAACATACGCTGTATAACATTCTTTGGCACTTTAGTAAAATCTGATGAATGCAACAAAGGGTAAATAGTTAACACATTGAGTGACTTCTCTCCTGTGTTGATGGCTTAGCTACCTCTGCATGTGCAGCAGGTGATACAATGGACTGTACCACTTCAGATGGGGGATACTACATTTGAATTCTCACACACACATTAAAAAAAATCAGAAAAAGAGGTTGTGGCCTCACTTCTTATTGGCCATTTTGTTTTTTGTTTGCTATACAGGAATCTTCCAAATGTTTCACATGATCTAAGGTGGTGCAGTCCTTTCTACCACCACATTGCGTGGCATAAGTAGACTGATATTTAACCAGCAAATTATTGCTGCATGACAGGTTGATTTGTTAATAGCCACTATAAATGTTTCCAGTGGCCATTTCCCCATGTCATGAATTGGGCCATGTTATACCATGTAAAGCTGGAAAATAGAATGAATAATTGGAGGATGATAAAATTAACTTTTGGCATCCTTCTGTACTCTGAATAATATAGCTGGTTGGCTTCCTACTTGGCCCATGTTCTTTTTTGTCTTTCATGTGGCCATAGCTGTGCAGACCCAGTTTTGTGATAGGAATGTGCCTCTGCTAGCTGCTCATTAAGCTCCAGTCAAGGCAGATTCTAGCTTTTGCTATTTGGTGCTTGTTTTTTTTATATACTTTAAGAGTGTGTCACTTTAATTGCATCTTATATTCAGTTTTGTTTTAACGTATACAAAGCTTGTCTACATTTTTTCACGACTTAAAACATAATGTCATATTGTTTTAACAATTGGCAATGGGGGTTCCCATTAATTTCCTACAGCTCTTCTTCTGCTGTTTTATTCATAGAATCTCATTTGAACTAGCAGTCGCTGAAGGGGAATAAACACAATTTTCAGGTGGATTTAGTGTTACATCTATAGCACTAGAAGTGGGTGGGAAACAGCAACGGTAATGCTACCTAGGAAATGAGAGTCATTGGCAGTAATGCTCGCTATGTAACTCATAAAATGAGTAAATGATATTTACCTGTTAGAATTTTGCTTGAATTTCTTCTGACAAAAGTTCCTAAAGCAAAATAGAGATGGTACAGACATTAACTTGGCAGTGGGATATATCTGAGTTTCCCCTAACCTCCAAAGGTGCTCTTCAAATTAAGTTGCTTGCTTCTGACCCTTGCTTCATGCTCAAGTAGCCCATTCTTCTCCACTTGACTGCTGCTTGCTGTGAAGCATAAGCTGCTTGGGAATGCAAATAACAGGTAGGATCTCTGGGTCAGGAGCTAGCACATCTACACTCCACCCAGGCCCTGTTCATTCATTACTTGCATGTAGGGTGTAATTGTGTTTACATGTAGCAGGGCTGTGCTTTTTGTCCTGCCCGCCCATATCATGCCTCCTTCCTCAAACAATTTCAGACAAGCAGGAGGTCACATGTTAGAGTTTCTGTTCAGTAGTGGGCAGCTTGGTTATTTGAGGAAGGAGGTGTGACATCACGGGGGGGCAGGGCTAAAAACATATACCCTCCTTCAAGGAAACACAGCTATGTCCTACATCAGGCATGTCCAACTCCCAAGAGAATGCGATCTACTCCCACTATTAAAAAAACTGTCAGTGATCAACCCACTGGATTGACCAAAGTTGTTGAGCTTTTTTTGGAGTGGAGGCAAGGAACTTGCAATCAACTGGTAGCTCGCAATCGGCCTGTTGGACATGCCTGTCCTACATGTAAATAAGGCTGCAGTATTTATCTGTTGACTCCTCTGGGCTTTCCACAATGTTTCCTGTACTACCTGACTATCCTAAAGATAGAAACTGTGGACTGATGCATAATAGCTTCACTTACGTAAGCTAATCTGGCAGCAATGGGTGAAATTACTTTGGCAGGCTTGGCTGATAAATGTATTCCTCTGGGATTCCACTCTGTCCTAGATCATAAGAACAGGTCAATTTATTTTCAGTGTGTCTGTTAGATGAAGAAAGTCTGCAGGAAGGAATTAGAATGCGACCCCTGCCTCTTGCTGAATACCACAATCCTGATTTTTCACAGTAAGCGTTTATCAGCAGCCCCATCCTTGAATGTTAAAGCACACAGTTCACTGTTTTGCACTGAGGGGAGATGGTGTTTAATACTTTCCAGAAGCGTAGGCTCTTCTAACTCTGGAAACAAGCGATTAAATGTTTTGAATCCCACCAATTTATTCCTACAGTTACAGTTTACAGCAGTAAATTCTACAGGCTATGGATTCCACTGTGCCCAGTTAGCACTGCACTGCAATGCTTACATGGCAACAGTGGCAACACTGTAATTGCTGAATGGATTTGTAGGCCTAATAATCAAGTCAGATTATCGTAATTGTCCTTGTGAATCTGCAGAACATGATGTTCTACGTATAATACGGAGGCACAACTAGCAAATTCAGGGCTTCCAACCCAGCAGATACAATATAGCAGTGTTTGACGCTTCCATAGAAAAGTCTCTGGAAAATTCCAAATAATCATATGACACTGGAACCTGGGTATAAGATCTGTGCAAGACAATAATACTTATTTCTGTTTTTCAATTTCTGTGTATGAAAATATAATGTACATTCAGGTATACCGTTGAAATATTTTGAACTGATATCGTCTACTAGGAGTAAGGGGGTGGGCAATGGGGAAAGCAGTTCCTAGAACATGATCTCCAACCCGCACTCTCATTGCTGGTAGACAGTCCATATTTGTTCTGTTCCAGGATAGAAACTGTGAGGTTTATTTTCTCTAGACTCTTCTGTAAATAATTTGCATTTATGACACAGGCATAGGACCCTGCCTGTGCAACAAAGGCGCAACTGAAACATACAGTACATTTTCAAGACTAAGTAAAAAGAAAAGTATTAAAACTGGATGCATGATGAATTTGTTGTTGAGCGTGGATAAGCTTTACAAAATGTTGATGTGATATTGTTAATTTATATGGAGAAGATTGATTGTGTTTGCATTTGTTTGATGCAGCTAACTAAAAATTGATGTAAGATTACTCAGATGGCCAACAAATGGCAAGAGTCACTTGCAGATGAAATGTCACTTGCAGAATGCCCACTGGCTCACTGAGTATAAATTATACCAATGCTTGACTTAAACTAATGTCTCTTGTCAATCATGAGGTTGTCTTGTCTTGTTTCCTTAGCCTCTGAATTTTGTGGCAATCATAACGATCTACTTTTAACTGAAATAGTATTTAAAACAATATTGTAGTAATTTGCATTCTGGTGGGGGCAGTGTCAATTTTCTGTAACAGCACAGGATTTCATACTTTCATATAAAAGGTGGTGGGTTTCCCCCCAGAATAAAATCCATTATTAAAAGTTTGGGCTGTTTTTTTCCTGATTTTTGCATGTCTTCCTGCCAGAAAATGACAGAAAAATGAACTGTCCAATATAGGGTTTGGAGAGCTGGCTTTCGCTAATTGCAAAGACCTTACAGCAAACCTATCATACAATGAAATAACGTTTGCTAGAGTATTTGAGTGTCAGGCCATATAATAAAATATTTGGCTTGTAGTGTTGATGGTCCTGTGACCATCTAAAACAATTCATGCCAGTCTGGAGAACTGTTGTTGTGAAATAACTGTATTACAACTAATATCCCTAGCAACAAAATGCTCTTTTCCTTTGCTGAGCTTACATAAGTTCTTTATTTAGTTTTCATAAAATTCAATGCTGTTCAGAACAATGGATTTTTAAAAAGGGAAATGCGTAATTAACCTTCAGCAAATCTATTATACAAGTGATGGAACAATTACAACTTGATAAGCACAGGATATTTAGCCTGGCAGAATCTCAAATGTTGCCCTGTGAGTAGGCCACAGGTTAGACCATAACTGCCACAACCCAACTGAAACCTATTTCTCCAAGGAAAAAATAACTCCTTAAGGAGAAAATGGGAGAATATGTTTTATTTGGTTAGTGTTCATAATGCAGTGTATGATCTTTTAGATTATACTTTCGGGTTTTAGGCATTCGGGAGCCGAAACGTTCGAAAACAGAGCCGTTCGAGAACCGAGGTTTGACTGTATTTGTGTGTGAGCAGATGAGTTGAGTTCCATTGCAGTAGCAGAAGTCAAATTGCTCACATAATGACTTTGAGACCTAGTGTTGAAACCAACTATCTCCTTTTCCTTTAAAAGTATTCGGTCATCAGTGGAGTGTAAGAGGGGAGATCCAGATGTCAGCTGAGCCCACAGAACGGACCTTGTATATTAAAAACCTGGTCAGTGAGTGTAATTGGTTTGTGTAGAGCCTTTTACACAGCAGGGGCACAAGAAAATGTTTGAAAATGACAGTAATAATAGTATTTAAACCAGGGAAAGGATTCATGAGTCACACCTGATAACAAAATGGCAAGAAAAACTGTAGTAGGCATATATTACCTCAGAGCAATGAAGAAGCAAATGCACTCACATATTAAGAAAATATCTTCTTTGTACATTATAATCTCCATGTGTACCTGCTGTTTTTAAACTTCTTTTGTAATTTGCCTGTTGGATGCTACATCAAACCATGTGGGTGATTTATGTATCAAAAGTGCTAGCAAAATGCCTGTTGATCTTCCGTTCAGCTTCTCTAAGGCCAGAGACGTCAATTTTTCCAAACTGTAGCTATAGGCATTTAACACTAGAGGCAGCTGTTGCTTTGAACACGAAGGAGACACGGAAAGCTAGGTGACTTGCACAGTGTTCGCTTGGTGGGGTGTGCTGATATTCAAAGCTCTCACATGTCCAAAAGGTTCTGGTTTGGGGCCTGTGCATAGCTTGAGGTTTGCTAACCTATTTTGAATTTGTAATGGATTATAATCTGTGCATTTGTAGCTGAACTATGGACATATTTTTAAACCATTCTGTAAAAACAGGAGGGCAAAAATGTACTTCACTGAAAGCTGAGAGCCTCACACTTAAGTAGGGCATGATCCAGCCAGTTGTAGAACAGAGTAAAACTATTCTTTCCCCAGAGCTGCTCTGCTTAAAAAATTAAATGCGATGTTCACTGGGTGATCGTCACTCTCCTTCAACCTAAACTACATTATAGGGTTATTGTGGGACTAATCTGGAGGGAAGGGAGAAAACAGATCATTTACACCAGCCAGAACTCTTTGGAGGAAAAGGAGGAAATTATAATTGATTAATCAATAAGGGGTTGGTAGAGGGGCATAGAACCCTTGAATTACTATTCCAGACTTCCCAATTATAAATCCCATAAAGGGATCCAGGTTTGGGCAGAAGACTTGGTAAAGTGTTTTGGCCCTTTTTAAAAATCTGGCTGCCGGTTTAGCAGGCAACTAATTCCACAGTCCCTTAGCTGAAACCTAACATCACTCCTAGGCACTATGGTCCTTGGCTCCCTTGCTGGGGTTGGTAAAGATATCAGTGCATTGAACCCTGCAATAGCACTGGGGCCCTTGAAGATGCCAGATGCTGGCACCAGACCTGTTCCCATGGACATCTTAAGTAGGGTTATCCTTTTTTTTCCTGGCAGGACTTTGGCCACACATGCAGATGGAGCACATATTTGGTGAAGAACAGAGCCGTCACTTTTTTTGCTGCAGGCCTCTTGTGTCCTCAGCCACTGCAAATGATGCAAAGAGTCTTTGAGAAACCAAATCTTAGGGGCAGCATATGCAAAACAAATACAAGAATGGATATAACTAGCTTTTTCTTGGACACAACCCTTCATAATGCGAAGAGCAAAATTGTATTAGCTAAAATTGAGACGAATTGCATCAGGGGAGGGACGGCAATGAATTATCACCAGCTAGATGCATTAACATTAGAATCAATTTTCGTAAGCACTCATTGTGTAAAAAAAACACACCCAATAAGTTAGAAGTTTATAATAATGTCCAAATACATTGATATAAAGTAATGATTTCGTTCCTTCCACTCACAAATATTTTTCACATACAGTACTTAATTGACATATTTCCCCCAATCTTTGTGCAACGTAGTACAGTCACTAGTGCCACCCATATAGTTTATTCCATGTGCAGTACAATCCTGCACAATGCCCCAAAGCACTGCAGTTGGACAGCCCTAGTAAAATACTTTCCTCTGATTAGAAGCTAGATCTATCGGTCATAAAAGAACTCGCCCTTCTTCCCACCCTGGCATTTCCCTTAAATAACAAGCTTGGAGATAAATGTTTCAATTTTCAGGAGCTGGATCTGAATGTTGATTGTAATTTGCCATCTGGATTGACATCCCAGTTGAGTCATGGCCATGTTTCCCTCTATGCAGTTATGACAACACTCAGCAAAGATGCATCACTGTTTCAAAAAAAAGAAGGCAGCCCCAGGTGGCCAATTAACATCCAAAATTGGATTCAGTACCTCACGACGTATCCAATGAGTTGGATCATGAAAACCCACATCCGAGATAATCCCCTGTATAAGAATGTTCCCCGGCTGTATTTGATCTATAAAGCCAATTTGGTGAACACATCTTCCCTCCTTTACATGTGTCCTAGTCGGTATCTTCTTATTATTGATGGTTTCTGTAATTTGGTTTCAAAGGGGAAAATAGAATGTGGTAAAAGGAGAAGAGAATTCCCTGGATGTCTCAATCCAATTTTGGGGCAAGTACTTATTGGTGAGAGAACCCCAGCAGAGATTCATAATCACAAAACACTCAGCAAAGTAAAGCATGGAAATACAGGTTGTTAGATCTTTAAAATATCCCCTTATAAGTTGCTTCCAAATTATTTGTATAGAAACACTCATATGTCTTGCTAAAGCCACGCAGTCTAAGCTTGGAACATTCAACTTTGACTTTACACATAGGGTTCACATGGTGGAAGAAAGAGAACAAAGAGTTTGGTAACCCTTTCTCCTAAGGTGAGTGGTTGTGACCTAGCTAAGCCTGGCAGGACAACTTACTCTATGATCTTAACCCCTTCATGCATTAACTGGAGTTAAGCATGCTGGTTATACGAGACTGGATTTATCCCATAATTATAACACACTAAAACAAATCAGTAGTTTGTTTTCCTTTTTGCAGTGTTCCAGCTTCAAGAGCGAAACTCCTATATTGACAATTCAAAGGCTCGATGAATCCCTGGGGAGCTTCAACAGCTCACTGCTTTCTCCCCCTTGCTGCTTTTGTTGTGTGCAATATCCCGATACGTGCCACAGAGAGGCTTTATATGTGCGCTGCTTCTCATTGATTTGATCACAGGGCACGGATGGGAAATGTGATTCAACTGCCTAAAATGATCTAGTTGGCTCTTCCATTTGTAATCTTCAGCTCATGCCTTTGAATTCATTAGCTGTGAACACACACATACTGTACACCAGTACACACTTGTAAAGATACTGCCTTGCATTTCTCAAAGCATCATTCTTCAGGGGAGCCATTGACAAAGTCAGTATTTTTGTAGTGCTTGTTCTAAATGCATTAGGACACTCACGAGATGCCTGCACCATCCTCAGGCTTACAGGCTTACATAGCTAGTCTGTCGTATGCAGTTGATTTTTATCACTATGTATATGCACAGCAGGCGTGCTACATGGAGACAGAAGTAGCTAGGGATAGGCAGAAGGGTGTGGAGATTCAGTTCAGATTTTAATGCAAACCTAACCACATTATCTGAAAAAAATATGCAAAGCATAACGTAGCTGACCTCTGGAATTTGCACTTCTTCAATTTTTGTGACGCAGTTCTCCAACCAAACCCTGAGTGAAAAAAATGTGTATGTTAGGGGAAGGTTTAAGGCAACCGAATGAAGACCCAGGTTCATTGTGCTCAGTGATGAATGTGCTCTTACATAACAGACAAGAAGCATCTTTACCTCCATCTCATAGAAGCTGAGGGTAGAAGCGGCGGTATCCCTCTTTGCACCACCTCCTTTAAGGCAGCAGTGACACACCAATAAGGCTAAGATAGATAGATAGATAGATAGATAGATAGACAGATAGATAGACAGATAGATAAAATCACTTGAAGACTGGAGAGAAGCAAAGAGCAAATATGCAATAAGAACAAATGCTGGTGTCAGGAAAAAAACCTGGGCATGGAATATAAATGTTTGTGGTAGCTTCAGCAATTCTGAAAACAGAATCAGAGCACAGAGGCTGTGACATGAAGAACACTTTGGATTTGAACCAGCCAGCCTTGCAAGTTGTTACCCAAAAATAACACAATAAATTTGTCATTGGATCTGGAATATCATGATAGGCTAATGGAATGACTGAACAACCACACCATTTCAGCATTCCTACGTAATGCGTCATTTCCCCAGCAGCCAATGTGGTTGTTTGGTTAGCTAAAATGATATAATTCATGGGATTAGTTTTGCAAAGGCCTGTTGATTCCTACTAGAACCT